TAACTCCGAGTTTCGGGGAGCCTGGACAGTGTTTTCCTCTGAAAGGAAGCAATGGCTATGTTCTAGTCAGGCTAAGAGCACCAATAATTCCAGAGGCCGTTACCTTGGAGCATGTCTCTGAGGTAGTACTAACATCTCAATACTCTTACTTTCACAGAATCATCGATTTCTATATGTTAATTTGAGCCCTTAAGAAGGGTTCTCTGTTAAATGTTGTTGGTATTGAGTTGCCATGTACTTCGGATTGGATTGCTGGTGACAATGGATTATCGAATAGAGGGCAAGAAACTAGTTTTGTGAATTTGAGTTCTTATAGCTTGAGTTTTAGTTTAGGCAATAGCTGTGAAAATATGCATTGAGAAGGGTTTTACCGTATGTTATTTTCTGCAAATCACTAGCTTTAGCAATTCCTTTGTCTAATGTCAATATGCCACTGTGTTCTTGTGCTTTGTTTGAGATATCGTTGACAGAGAAAAGAACCGTATATATGGGAAGAGCTTGTAAGTTTACAGTTAGTGGAACTGTAATATTCACAGTTTAGGGATATCTTTAGGAAACAGTAGCAAAAGGGAAATAGTCTCATTGCTTAGAGAGTGTGTAATGTGATGGTCACACATTGCTTTCCATCATTGTTCATCCTTGTAATCATTTGTCTGATAAATTTCTTCTAGTCTGACCACTAAAAGGCATTACTGATATGTTTGTTATGCACCATTTAATCGAGCAGGCTGTAGCGTATGACAGATCGAGCGCCCCAAAGGATTGCCGGGTATCAGGATGGCTAGGTGACATAGATATGGAGACTGAAACCATGCCCATTCTTACAGAATTCAGTTACGACTTAGACAGGTCCAATGCACAGACATTCGACATTGCAGAGTCTGCTCATTCGGGACTTGTCAACACTGTCAGGCTAGACTTCAATTCCAACCATGGAAGCTCTTCACACACTTGCATCTACCGCTTCAGGGTTCATGGCTGTCAACTAGACTCAGTCTCTGTTGTTCATGCTTGATCTGAAGTCCACGTGAAACTTTTCTTCTATTTGTAACAATTCCCTCTCATAGATTATCTCTCTTTTTTTTTGTTAGTTTGTGTGGTGGGAAAGCTTCTAGTCTGTAATCAGAATCATTTGGTTGTATTCGTGCTTATTAGTTTTCAAATCTGTTTTGGTTAGGGTATGTATCCTCCGATTTGAAATAATATAGAATGTAGTTTGATGTTCGGTTTTGTTTTTTTGAATTTTGACAGAGTTTCTCCTAAAGCTTTCACCTAAAACAAAAAAAAAAATCTCTGTCTCTGTGTAAATGGTGAAGTTAACAAATTATATTTTTTCATGGTTCCTACAAATTCTAGTACAGTAGACATATTCATTAGTTGAAACAAAGATAGATTTTGGATTATTAATGGTTACCTTGATAGGAAGAGTGTGTATTTAGAATTTTAGATGGACCATAACTTGTTAGTGTGAATTGCGTAAATTGACAAAGTGACGACTTCTTCTTTTAGGCTTCACCGTCTTGCCTTGTCTAAAAGCTCCCCAACACATCACATGCATATCTACGGTCAAATAATTGATATCAATCCCTCTTCCAAGTCAACACAGCTTGTTAAATTATAAATAACATTAAATACAAATTAATCTTTGACATTTCTGATAGATGTTAGTTAAGCTCTAAAAATACCCATTTTTTACGGTTAAATCACATGAGAAAAACTCTTCTAACCAAGTCAACCCAAGCTTGGTCATCGTGACGGTGGACCACCGGCTCCAAAAACAATTGGATCTCAAGAAAAAAGAAAAAACTCGTATTTGACCAAAACGAAATTATATAGTATACATTAGGATGTATATAAATTATTAGACCAACATGCATTACATAATTTAGTTTCCCTCGAACCCATGCATTCATTAAATGGCACAAAGCTCCTCGTATAGTCTATATATATAGCAGATCCACAAAAACAAACACCATCAATACATACAAACAAAACACAAAAGATAAAAATGCAAAGACTAAACTTCTCTTCTTCACTCTTATTCCTGTCTTTTTTCTTCTTCTCATGGGCTTTGCTAATCTCATCACAACAATCTCCGTCACAGCCACCTTCTGACCCTCCGTCACCGTTACCTTTTGAACCTCCGTCGCAGCTACCTTTTGAGCCTCCGGTAGAGTCACCATTCTTGCCTCCGTCACAGCCACCAATATTCGTGCCACCGTCACAGCCACCTTCTTTGCCTCCGTCACAGTCTCAGTCACCTTCTCTCGCTTGTAAGTCAACTCCATACCCCAAGCTCTGCCGTACGATCCTTAACGCTGTTAAATCCTCACCGTCGGATCCTTACCGTTACGGCAAATTCACCATCAAGCAATGCCTCAAGCAAGCAAGCCGTCTCTCCAAAGTCATCACCAGTTACGCGCTCCGCGTGAAAAGCAAACCAGGCTCCGCCACGGCCGAGGAAATCGGCGCTCTAGCGGACTGCGGCGAGTTATCGGAGCTGAGTGTGAACTACCTTGAAACGGTCACTACGGAGCTCAAAACGGCGCAGGTGATGACGGCAGCTCTAGTCGAGCATGTGAACAGTCTTCTCAGTGGCGTGGTGACGAATCAGCAGACGTGTCTTGACGGACTCGCGGAGGCGAAGAGTGGATTCGCCGCCGCGATTGGGTCGCCGATGGGGAATCTCACGCGACTTTACAGTATCTCGTTGGGGCTTGTGAGCCACGCGCTTAATCGTAACCTAAAGAGGTATAAAGCTGCTAAAGGGAAGATTCTTGGTGGTGCGAACTCAACATATCGCGAACCGCTCGAGACTTTAATTAAGGTAATTAACTAAACTTGTTTCTAATTCTGTTTCTTTCTTTGTTTGTTTGTTTGTTTATAATAACTTTTATACATTCCTTTACATATTCTAAAGTCGGTAATAATCTAGTTATATATGGTTGGCATAGAGATAAAAAAAATAGGAATTGAGGGAAATATCCAAAACAGTATACAGTATATGCCTTCTTAATTACAAACATGGTGTTGTGATATAATATAGGTCACCACAATTCAAACCTGAATAATGAAAGGTTATGAAAAAAACTTTTGGACATACATGTACGATATATATAAGCCTCGTAGACGTATGGGGGACATACTAAGTTAGATATGGTATGAATTTACTTGTTTAGGACGCACGGAATGATTTAATATGCGAGCATATCTAAATTTTCTAGATCGAGTCATAAATGGAGGTGCTCTTGATGTGTGTGAGCCAGAACACGCGTAAGAGAGTAAATGGCACATGGCCTACGCAAATTTTAGTACAATTCAACAATGATCAAATGGGTCCAGTCTTTGACTTTAACAAAAGAAATCAATTTGGTCCCCATTCGGATCCAACTGTATTCACGTGCATAAGAGTGTCCCCGTCATTTCATGTGTGGCTACAATGAACATTGATATTAAAAAGGCATGAGTCTACATGCTAATCATGTACTAAGAACGTTTTCTTTTCTGGTATAGGGTTTACGTAAAACATGCGACAACGACAAAGATTGCCGGAAAGCTAGCCGGAACTTAGGGGAGCTAGGTGAGACGAGCGGTGGTTCCATCCTCGTGAGTAAAGCAGTGATCGTCGGCCCGTACAAATCCGACAACTTCACAACCATCACCGATGCTATTGCAGCCGCACCTAATAACACTAGACCAGAGGATGGTTACTTTGTCATCTACGCAAGAGAAGGAGTCTACGAAGAATATATTGTTGTTCCCATCAACAAAAAGAACTTAATGCTTATTGGGGATGGGATCAATAAGACGATTATTACTGGGAACCATAACGTTGTTGATGGTTGGACTACGTATAATTGCTCGAGCTTTGGTTGGTGTTTTTATCTCTCTTTTTGTCATTTGGAATTGTGTGCCTACTTAGTTTATGATATAGAATTCTTTTTTTTTCTAGCTGTGGTTGGAGAGCGGTTCATGGCGGTTGATGTTACATTCAGAAACACAGCCGGACCTGAAAAACATCAAGCTGTGGCTTTGAGGAACAATGCAGAAGGATCGAGTTTTTATCGGTGTAGTTTTGAAGGCTATCAAGATACTCTCTACGTCCATTCTCTCAGACAATTCTATCGTGAATGCGATATATATGGTAATATAAGTTTTGTTTTGGCTTCATTTTACATACTTATTTATAATTGTTGGAATAAGATTTTTAAAACTAGGCTCAATCTCATAACTGTAGAACTATTTCTTAGTAGTTAGGACTCACCAAAATAGTCAAAACTAGTCAATCATATATATATAGACTCTTAAATTTGGAATGGTAATGTGGTCCTTGCATTAAAAGTTATTTATTTCACTAAATAGGTTTTAACATGTGTATCCAATTTTATCCCTTTTTTGTTATAGGTACCATCGATTTTATATTCGGAAATGCAGCCGCAATTTTCCAAAACTGCAACATATATGCTCGAAAACCAATGGATAAGCAAAAGAACGCGATAACTGCTCATGGAAGAATCGATCCAAACCAGAATACCGGAATCTCTATCATCAATTGTACAATAAAAGCCGCCCCAGATCTTGCAGCCGAGCCTAAATCAGCCATGACATTCTTAGGGAGACCATGGAAGCCCTACTCAAGGACGGTTTTCATGCAATCATATATTAGTGACGTTGTCCAACCAGTTGGATGGCTGGAATGGAACGGTACAACTGGACTAGACACAATCTACTACGGTGAGTACGATAACTTTGGACCAGGGGCTAACACGAACCAGAGAGTGCAGTGGTTAGGGTACAATTTATTGAACTTGGCAGAAGCCATGAACTTCACGGTCTACAACTTCACCATGGGAGATACATGGTTGCCTCAAACCGATATTCCTTTCTATGGTGGTTTGCTTCGCAAAGAATGATTAGAACACCATATTATATGAAAATATATTTAACTATACGTACTTCCTCATTTAAAAATAAAGCAATCAATTTTCGTCTTTTCTTGATTTTTTTTTTGTTACTATCTTTTCTAGTTGTTGGGATCTATAGATTTGCGGTGTTACGTTTTCTATACACATACAATATCGTCGGTTGAAATAAATTAGCTAAAGCCGTACATCATGTCTTGCTTATTTATTGTTTCGGATAGTTAATAATTTGTACACCAAAATCTACATATATATCAAATTTTGCAAAAAGCCAAGTTTTATGCCACTTAAAACATGTAAAATAGCTAACATAAAAATACATGAAATTAAATTGATTATAGCTTTTAAAAAATCTGGACTAATAGACACTACTACGAAAATATGTTTCTACTTATTGTTTTAATACAGTGTAATCAATAATCAAACAATGATACAAAAGAATAAGAGTAACACCGAAAACTCTCACATAATGAAAAAATTGTATACTTATAAATTACAAATATCCAAAAAGAAAAGAGATTTGAATTGGAAATCTCGTTGACGGAAAAGACAAACTCAGAGACCGGACCTGTACGGCACTTTCGTGGCCGGAAGCCATCGTCCTCCGTCGATGAAAGGTTTCACCGTAAACCTATTCGCTTCCTTCGTATAAAGAAACCTCAATCCCTTCCACTTAACTCTATTCTTTGTCGACGCACCAGCGCCGGTATTCTTATACTCACCGTAAAATATAGTATCCGGCGCCGAATCTCCGGTCCACGGTAACCAACCTTTCCGGTCAACAAACCCATGCAAATACGAGTCCATTATCACTGTCGTCGAGAAATTCTTCCATGGTCGACCTAAAAACGTCTTAACATCGGTTAGGTCACCGAGCGGAGAGATGTTACAACGGTGAATTGAGATTCCTGTGTTCATGTTCGGATCAGTACGTCCTTGAGCCGTGATTGTGTTTTGTTGTCCTTTCATTGGTCGGCGAGGGAGAATCCGGCAGTTTTGGAGAACTGAAGCTGAGTTACCGAAGATGAAATCGACTGTTCCCATAATGGTGCAGTCACGGTAGAATTGGCGTTGAGCGTGCACGTAAAGCGTGTCTTGGTATGCGTTCATTGTACAACGGTAAAAGGCGGCGAGATCCGCGCTTACCATTAGCGCTACGGCTTGGTGTTTGGATGGACCAGCTGTGTTGATGAAGCCCATGTCTCTTGCCATAAACCCTTTTCCGAACACAGCTGCATAAAACAGAGCATGTCAAAAAACCGGTTTCTTGATTTATAAGTAACGATATTATGTTCGGTTTTCTAGTTGCTATTATTTCAGAATAACCTTACCAATCATAATTCTAAACACTCTATCTTTGGTTTATGAGATTATTTGGACTATTTTGTTATTATTGGGGTGTAATTAAATTGAAGAAACAACCAAGTCGTGTTATTTCAAAATCCTCTGTTTTCAAAGCAAACAATATAAAAACAAAAAGAGAGAGCGATTTACCGAATGTGGCAGTCTTAAAAGTGGGAGTTCCATCGATGACATTAAGTCTGCCAGAGACAATACTCTTGCTCTCTCCATCTCCGACCACCACAACATTCCACATCTTTTTCTCCACCTTCACATTCTCAAAATAAACTCCTTTCTTCACATATATAATCGTCCTCTTCTCACTCTTCTCAGGCACATCCTCTAAAGCCCTACTTATCGTTCTATACTTCCCCGAACCATCCTTAGCCACCACAATATCCGCCACTTTCCTCAAATCCGTGCTCTGCAACAATCTCCTGCCCGCATGGACGTCCACCTCCACGTCAACCGTAGTCAACAAACGCCTCCGGAGTTTGAACGAGTCAGCGATCTTTCCGAGCCATGTGATGATCGCTAGTGCGTTACTCGTCAGCTCCGTTGAGTTCTTGAGATGACTTTCTCCGAACGGCTTCATATCTGGAGCCAACGTTTCCACGCACGTTTCTTGATACGTCTCGGCTGAGCTCAGCCATGTACGTAGGTCATCAACTAGCTCAGGAACCGTGACACCACCGTTTGCTGATGACGTTAACGTGTTGTTGAGGTTATCTATCGTTAGGTCAAGAAGCTCAGCGCAAGCGTTCATGGTGATGTTGTTCTTTTCATCGCCTAAGGATGAGGAGAAAGCGTTGAGAGCTTTTGAAACTTCGGTGATTGTGATTTTGACTGCGTATTTGAAGAGCTCTTCTGGATTAAGACTGCTTGCGTTTGGAGCTGATCCGAGGGTTTCGAAGCATTTGTCTTTATGCAACGTAACGTCGCAAACGGCTTTAACGGAAACGGAGATTGAGTCTCCGTTGTTATTAGTCTCCACTGTCTCTGATGACTTCTTGTGAGCCATGGTTCCAAACACGGCTCCGATCACGATTCCGGCGAGAATGACGAGTGATACAGCGATTATTGCGATGTTCTTTCTCGTCTTACGACGAGCTTGGAGCCTTACGTGTTCATGCTCGTCGACTTTGCCGTACGGGGAGGACATTTTCTCCGTCCCTCTTTTATGTTTTTCTAATTTTCTTTTGAAGTTTCTCGTTAGTTATGTTTGGTTTGTAGATGTTGGATAGTCGATATAAATACATAGAAAAATATAATAATCTGAATAGACCTCTAATAACAACTAACGTGCGAGGCACAAAGGGGATTATAAATTTTCACATTAAAATACCAAGAATGTATTTAACTACAAGTGCTTCTCATGTTTTATTCTTTTATGTAATATAATCATGTCGGTGAAACATATTTGTTTAAGATTGGCCAGTGGCGGAGCTAGAACTTGTATTTACGGGGGTCAAAATGTCAAATTAATAATTATAGGGGTCAATTTGTTCTTTGTATTGGTGTCAATTTGAAAAATTTAGCCAAAAATTAACTAAATTTCAAAATTCTATAGGTGTCATTTGACCCCTATGCTTTTTAACTACCTCCGCCCCTGAGATTGGCCACTATGTGGTTGGACTTTAGCTTCTGCATGTTTCTTGGTTTAACGAATTCATTATTCTCAATTCTATCTTTAGTTTACAAAATTTGGAAGTATATTTAAGTTTGTGTTATGTTTATAATTTGTGGTTCGATTCATTGTTGGTTCCCTCTTTTTATTATCAGTGGTGATTATCTTTTGAACACAAAAAAAGGTCCGTCTATTTGTTTTTTTTTTTTTTTTTGGTAAGCTCGTCTATTTGTTTATTTAGTTTAATAGAAATTAATCTCTTGAAAATCCTCGACATTACAATATTATTCATAGGGATTATATTGTCAACTTTGGATAGTTTAATTATGTTTGATATAAAGCTGTCAAAGAATAATTTTACTAAAAATAATTTGAGAGTTGGTTGTCGTTTATATAAGAATTTACTCAATTCATCTGTTTTCCTCGGACATTTGTCGGCAGATGTTTTCTCCTGCTCCGTAATAGACTTTTCAAACCTTGTTTAATTTGGAGCAATTACATATACATGTACTAGGAACTCTTGACCTTTTATTAATATAATCTTTTACGCTAAGCCAAAAATCAAATCAAGAAAATCCAAACTGTAACTAGAAAGGTCACATCTGATCAAAAGATTGCAAAAGGGGGTAAATCTGACGTTGGAGAAGAGCTTGCGTCGTAAAAGTCATTAGGGGATTGAAAGATGGTGGGTGGTACATTCTTATGATCCTTGTACAGTATATCTGATGATCTTTAGTAAGATCTATATATCTGATGGTAACTATGAGATCAAGTTCATGCGAGAAAATGTACCGGAGATCATAAGCATGTTTTACACTAAAGCTACTTACTACTCCAAATATAGAGGATTGATGTGTTTACGTAAATTGGTATATATATTGAGAGGGGTGAACGAAAATCATATGGATAACAAAAGATATGAGATCAATAATGTTCTATCGTCTCTTTCTATTTGAAAATAGTTCAATTAGTACAAGCAAAACATAGTTTTTGTCGACAAATGATTTTAATCAATTTATGAAACTATTATTTTGTACTCACAACACTAGTTGATAAATTTTTTTTTACTCATGGAAAAAACAACTAAAAATGGTGAGAATAGTTAGCAAAAATCAAAGCTTTTAAACGAAGGGAAATTAAAGGTTTACCAATAACAAAAGGATATAACTAGACGTGTTACCAAACACCACCTTATTTGGTCATCTTCCTCATTCCACGGTTACTCCCACATCTCGCACTTCCTCTGTACACTTCTTCGTCTCCATCCAACCCCAGAACTCCTACCACAATCTAAGGCTCTAAGCATTCGTAGATCTTTAGCTGAGAAAAGCTTCGCGACAATGTCTTGGCCTACGGATTCTGAGGTTAATCTTCATTTTTTCCCATTTACGCACGAATCTGCTTGTTATCGTTGGTTTACTCGGTGCCAATATCCTCCGTTGTGTTAATTTTCGTTAGAAATGAGCGACGGAGATGTATTATCCGGTTACATTTTCCCGGCGAAATGTTAATCGGACTTGTGATCGAACAATTTCATTAGTTTCTGTGCGTGGAGCTCAATGTACATGCTGCGAATTGCCGCGAGTGTTTGTTTTGTGTGTTTGGATATTTTGAAAGTTGGCTTTGGTGTTAATCTTACGAGATTGTTCATTTTTTTTCCAGTTAATTTCCATAAAGGAAGCAGTGGCTCAGATGAGTGGAAGAGATAAAGGAGAAGTTCGAGTGGTGGTTGCACCTTATCGTATATGTCCTTTAGGAGCTCACATTGATCACCAGGTTTGTTTGTGATAATAGCTATGTAATCACGGTTTTGACTAAACTACTCATACCATTTCCTTGTAAATTTCGTATCATCTTTGGTGTTCACAGGGTGGAACTGTATCAGCTATGACGATTAATAAAGGGATCCTTCTTGGTTTTGTTCCATCGGGTGATACTCAGGTGTGTATTAGTTATGATGATTCTTATGTGTTTTGGCATTCCTCCAAGTGAACTTGTCAATCAAATTCATATGTTTGACCTGCTTGAATTCTTGCACAAATTAGCAACATTCTAATTTTGGGATGAATGTCCCGTTGATGGTATAATGCAATTCTCTTGAATAGCATTCAATTATCTAGGCTTGGCTTGGTTCAGTTTGAGGTAGATTGAGAATTTGAGATTATGATAGTGTAGAATATATTGTCTTGGTCTCTTTTTGTTTCTCACCTGACCTGAAGATAGCATTTAAGAATTGGAAATTTCAAAATGAATGTGGTATGTAGACAGGAGATTAAGATATATTTCTGAGTTGGGAATGTACCCTGTGTCTGTGTGTTTCACTTGAGCCTTGAAGTCTTTGTACCATTTTATTCTATTTCTAATTTATATGCAGGTCCAGTTGCGTTCTGCACAATTTGAAGGAGAAGTATGTTTCAGGTGTGCATATCTTTCAGGATCTCTCATCTTGTCATTAGTGTTTACCAACTTTTATGTCCATCATCAGACATGCATAAGCTGGTTACTAAGCCACGTATAGGATAAAGCCTGCATCTAGGATATTGTGGAAGTATTTCTATCTTGCCAGCATTCCATTATATCTCATTTTAGTGTGTAGATGAACTTATCTTTCACTTAAGTCTTAGACATTTATCAAAATCAACCTTTAGGTTTTGTGAATATTTCCCAAGAATTCATTGGAAATTGAGGACCCTTAGCGCTGTAAGGGAAACAAAAGTATCAGTGTTGGAAGAGCTTGCATGTTTTTCTAGTTTTTAATAATTTAGCTTTTCTAGAGGTATTTTGTTTTCCTTAGTGCATTTCAATTTTGTACTCGTTGTGGTGGTAAAGGAATTGAAAATCTTCTATGCATAATGCTAATAGCTTTTTCGGGTTCTGAAATTATAGAGTAGATGAAATCCAGCACCCCATAGGCCTAGCAAACAAGAATGGTGCAAGCACCCCATCTCCATCGAAAGAAAAAAGCATCTGGGGCACTTATGCCAGAGGAGCAGTTTATGCGTTACAGACCAGCAAAAAGAATCTCAAACAGGTAACAGGTTCAAATTTGGTCTACTGGTTATAGCTATAGATAAAGTTGACCATTAAAGGGAAGTGGGTTTAGCCTGCACATTTGCCGTGTGATCTTCTGGGGTTCCACCTTTACCCTTTTCTTTTGGGCCTTGCTTTCCCCAAAATAGTTGACAGAATTGTATTTAAAGCAAAAGGTATTTGAATGTGTTTCTAAGTAATTGTTTTGATCTTTGAAGGGCATTGTTGGTTACCTCAGTGGCTCAAATGGACTAGATAGTTCTGGGCTTAGCTCATCAGCTGCTGTAAGTAACTAAAACCCGCCAGTGTTTATACAGCACAAGTTTCTCTGCAAAGACAATTTGTACTGTTCTTTACTAGTAACTATACACTTGTAGCATATGAGAGTGGTGTTTGCTTATCATTTTTGGAATATGAATCTTGTATTATTTTATGATCGCCAGAAATGTGACAGGTTGGTGTGGCATACCTGCTCGCTTTAGAGAATGCAAACGAATTGACTGTATCCCCAACAGAAAATATCGAATATGACAGGTACAATTTTCCCTCTAATCTAACTAAGAACCTCGTCTTTATTGCTTCATGAGTATGCCTTCCTGCAAACCAGCAATTAGTGCTGCAAATTGGTCGATTTACATGTAATTCATTGTGTCTGCAGACTTATTGAGAACAGATATCTGGGTCTGCGGAATGGAATTTTGGATCAATCAGCCATTTTGCTTTCGAGTTATGGGTGTCTAACATACATGGACTGCAAGGTAAAATTTCCTTGACTGTGATATAGTGTGCAAAAAAGCAAGAAGCTTGCTCATGTGGTAAAACCAAGACTGTTCTGTAGGGCAAGTTCACATGGGATGCCTGAGATATATTTTGATTCCTAAACTGAAATCTGCCTCAGGATCAAATCAGATCTACTAAAAGGACATTCTCAATGCTTTTACGAGCACATAAGTGTTTAATCTTTTCAGTTGCTTCAGTTTTTATATATTACAATGCAAAGTTCCTACTAAAAGGAAAATGAATGGTTAGTATCAGGAGGCTCATAAAGTCCTTCTTAACCAGCCATAGATAGGGAAACATGAATGTTGTTTGCCTAGCTTTATTTTCTTCCAGACACTGCCATCTCAGAAAAACTGTTTGAAATATGCAGACTATGGACCACGAGCTTGTACAGGCTCCTGAACTGGAGAAACCGTTCAAAATATTGTTAGCATTCTCAGGTTTGAGGCAGGCATTGACCACCAACCCAGGATATAATCTGCGAGTTTCTGAGTGTCAAGAGGCTGCAAAAGTTCTTTTGACGTATGTGCAAATCTGCTTAATTCATATTTTCTACACATTCGCTTCTTTGTATTTAAATTTTAGTGAAACTTCTGCAAAGTCAATTGCTCTATTGCTTGTGATACTCATTTCTCTACAAGCTTCTCTTGATTTTCTTGTTCTTCAGTGCATCTGGGAACAGCGAGCTGGAACCTACCTTGTGCAATGGTAAAAAAACTTTGAGTTTGGACTTTATGTCTCTTATTCGTTGCATGCTAATCAGAATTTTGTTTGTTGCCATGTCTGTAACTGTCCCACTGAATAGTTGAGCATGCGGTCTATGAAGCTCACAAGGTAAGAAAACAAGATTACTAAGCTTGTGGTAAAACAGGTTCCACTTATATCAGGCCTCTAAATATATGTAACACAATCATACTTGCTTGTGCAGCATGAGCTGAAACCGGTTTTAGCTAAAAGAGCAGAGCATTATTTCTCGGAAAACATGCGGGTTATCAAAGGCAAATGCTCTTGAATTCTTATAGAAGTCTCTTTATTGGAAAAATGATTCATCAACCTCTTTCTGATTCTTTACGGACTTGTATGAATGATTGTGATTTGTGATTCTCAAAAATTTCAGGACGGGAAGCCTGGGCTTCAGGCAATCTTGAAGAATTTGGAAAGCTGATTTCAGCATCCGGCTTGAGTTCCATTGAGAATTACGAATGCGGTGACTCTCTTTTCTGCTCTCCCAAAATGCAACATATCTTATAGTGAATACAGACCACAAGCTTGCTTTCACAGACAATTCTATCTCAGATTCATCATTTTGGTTTTAAATTCTGTGAGTTTTGTGAAGGTGCGGAGCCACTAATCCAGCTATACAAGATTCTTCTGAAGGCTCCTGGTGTATATGGAGCTCGATTCAGCGGTGCAGGCTTTAGGGGATGTTGTCTAGCCTTTGTAGATGCAGAAAAAGCTGAGGCAGCTGCTTCATATGTGAAGGATGAATATGAAAAGGCCCAACCGGAGTTTGCTAAGAATCTGAATGGAGGAAAACCTGTTCTCATCTGTGAAGCAGGTGACGCTGCTCGTGTTCTTCTCTGATCAATCCCGGAGTTTTGGTTCCTTCGATATCCCACTGAAACTCGAATTTTTGCCCCTTATATCTCTCATGCTTATCGATTCTTGTTTGCTCATCATGATAGATTTTGCAGAGTTTGTAGAAATGATGCATTGCTTGATAAAATTTCTATTCATTTTTGTTTGTTTGTTACAAATACTTTGACAATACATAACGTAAATAATCTCTACCGTTTTGAACTCGATAGAACAATCGCAAACTTCGGGGTAAAACTAAAAAATGTTCACAATTCATAGGGATGATTTTCGATGAAAAAACAAAAAAATATGTGACTAACATGTTATTTTTCAAAAATTGATGAATTTAGTTCTTTGATTAATCTAACAAAGACACTATATAAGTATGAAATTAGAAATCAAAATCGAAATTTAAGACAATTTGAGTGGTATTATAATTTTGTTTGTAAAAAATATAGTGTGTATATCACAAATAGAGATAGATTAGTTTTTTGTTTGGACAATAAGCCCCCCGCCAAAGTCTTGAAATTCGCGCCTGGGAAATCCTCCGGCGTGGCTTTAGGGTTTTAGGCTCTTTAATCCATTTTTACTTTCTAAAATCCCTAAAACCCACTGGGCATGACTCCATTATTATGCCATTCCACTGCTTCAATCCCTAACCCTAACTCTTTCATGTCTCTCTCCTCCACTCTCCGTCTATCTTCCTCCTTCCTCCGCCGCTCCTTCTTCCGATTTCCCCTCACCGACCCATTATGTCGTCTCCGCCGCACTGAACCCTCCGCCTCGCGTTTCTTCTCCTCCCGTACTCCCCGGTCCGGCCAGTTCGTTGTCGGTGCTTCCAAACGCGCCGATGAGCAGTTCAAGGAAGAGTCCGGAGCTAACAATGGCGGTTTGGTGGTTTCTGGGGACGAATCTCGTATTGTGCCTTTTGAGCTTCATAAGGAGGCTACTGAGTCCTACATGGCGTATGCCCTCTCTGTTTTGCTTGGACGCGCTTTGCCTGATGTTAGAGACGGACTGAAACCAGTACATCGGAGAATTCTGTTGAGTGACTTCGTTCGACTTAAAGCTACTGAAATTTTTAAACTTATTCAGTGAATTTTGTTCCTTCTAATGTTTGATTATTTGTCTTCCAGCTTTGCAATGCATGAGTTGGGGATGTCATCTAAGAAACCATACAAGAAATGTGCAAGAGTTGTTGGAGAGGTTAAGTATTGATTTTTGGAAATGTTTTTCTCATTCGATTTCACTAAATATCTTATTCTGAAGACACGATTGTGCTGTTGAATTCTGGAAATTTTCAGGTTCTTGGTAAGTTTCATCCGCATGGAGATACTGCTGTTTATGATTCGCTTGTTAGGATGGCTCAGGTAAATATCTGAATCCATGGAATGTAGTCCAGTCCTCAAATAATGTTTCAGGCACGATTTGATTCTTCCCAATGTTTTAATACATTTGGTTCTTTGCAGAGTTTCTCCCTGAGATGTCCACTTATCCAAGGCCATGGAAATTTTGGCTCAATAGATGCAGATCCTCCTGCTGCTATGCGTTACACCGAATGCAGACTCGATGTGAGTGCCTTTCACATTATTTTCCCTTCTAATTGATATGTTTTTACTTGCAATTCACTTTTTCTATTTGCAACCCTTTTGTTTCATTTGGATGAGTTTTTCCTTGTTTGTGCTGTTTATACTCTATAGTGTTTCTCTCATCTCTATTTTTTCTCTTGTCTTGAGATGAACACGTATTTTTGTTATTGTTTTCAGCTGATTGTTCTTATTTTTTTCTATAGCCACTGGCTGAGGCAGTACTGTTGTCTGATCTGGACCAAGATACGGTAACCTCACTATTGACTTATTGCCAAGTTTACTGTTACTCAACTAGGTGGTCCTTAACCTCTTTTTGTTTTGCAGGTTGATTTTGTGGCCAATTTTGATAACTCTCAAAAAGAACCAGCAGTGTTGCCTGCTCGTCTTCCTGCTTTGTTGTTGAATGGAGCTTCTGGGATTGCGGTAAAATAATCAAACAAATCTTAAATCTGAATTCCTTAATAAATTTTGTCTAGGTTTCTGCAGTTAATCTCGTGAAGATTTTTCCCTGCTGTATGAGATTGAATATGCAATTGAATCTTGATCATTTCACATTGTTTAGGTTGGCATGGCAACAAATATTCCCCCTCATAATCTTGGGGAGTTGGTAGACGTGCTTTGCGCTTTAATTCATAATCCAGAAGCAACGGTATCATTCATCTCCTCTTTGCTTTTCTGTGATTGTCAATTTGTGGGTCTTTTGTTTTACATGAAAACTTCTCTGCCTTATAAGTAGACAACTCATAAGATGTTCTTTCCACATTCTTCTTCGTCTTGCCAGCTGCAAGAACTGCTGGAATACATGCCTGCACCTGACTTTCCAACTGGAGGAATAATAATGGGAAATCTTGGGTAACTCTTTACTTTCCAGTTTCTCCCTGAAGGGATCTTATACGTAATGAATTTTGTTTTCCCACCTCGTTTGCTAATTTTTTTGAGGGTAGGCTATCTATAGGATCAATTAGAAGGATATACTTCTAAAGTTTGAAACTTTTTCTTATGAAAATAGAAAAACATTTTGTTTTGTTTAGATCTATGATTTTAACAGAATACAGAAGCTGTACCTATGTCTTAAAAGGAACCTACAAAATGAGTGAAAGGATGGTCCAGTAAATAGTTTTCCTTTATTTGTTGTCGGTCCTATGCAGTTTTTGAATCATCATGTATTTCTGATGATGTTTAGTGATTTTTTTAAATGTTTTGAAAGCTTATATGTTGTGTAGACTGTAGTACATATACTTATCCATAATTTATTTTTCGAGTTTGTTGAATACCTTTATTAAAAAAAATAGTTTGCATGCATATACCATTTCCTTTTGTAATGTTGGATTCTTATAATTCTCTAATGTGTGGATGCTCTTTCAAGGGTTTTGGATGCTTACCGAACTGGCCGAGGGCGTGTTGTAGTTAGAGGAAAAGCTGAAGTTGAATTGTTGGATCCAAAGACAAAGCGGAATGCAGTTATTATCACAGAGGTGATCAATTTAGTTTTTCAGATTAATGTACAGTTCTCCAAGGATGAGCCTTTCAAAAAGGTTTATTAGCAGTAGAGTAATGCCTTTAGTGTGAATTTATTTCAGATTCCTTACCAGACAAACAAAGCTACGCTTGTCCAGAAGATTGCCGAACTTGTTGAAAATAAGGTACAACTAAACTTGCGTCATCTAATGTTTTTTTTTTGCTGCGTTTATTCATTGATGTTGGTGTTTGTTTTCAGACGCTAGAGGGCATAAGTGACATACGTGACGAGAGTGATCGTAATGGGATGCGTGTGGTTATTGAGGTATCACACTGTTTCCCCTGCACTTAGATGTATTAGTCTACTTTAAATTTTCATATTGAAAGGTAATAATTTTGGGATAATTTCCGAATACTTCTCTATAGCTCAAACGAGGAGGGGATCCTGCACTTGTGCTAAATAATCTTTACCGGCATACTGCCCTTCAATCAAGCTTCAGCTGCAACATGGTGGGGTAAGTTGCTTTGAAGTAGCATTTTTATTTTTCCTGTTGTATAGACCCAAGTCATCATAATTGTGGAAGAAACAGAGAAAAAAAAATCCACATTTGTTATCTAGAGAAACTCTTGCAGTTTCTGTAAAAAAATTTTACAACAAAGTCTTTCAGTTCGGCAATTTTTTTCTTGGAATACTATAGATATCCCTGCTAGAAAACGATAAGGATAAGGATCTTGCCAACTATAATTCTAGATTTAGTCACTTCTCATCCTTCTGTAATAAAACTAAGAGTTGGGAGAGATGTAAGATGGGTATAGTTGAATGCATCAACCAATAACTTCTTATATCTCAGTAATGACATTATAAAAATTGGGAGACGCATGGGTGGGTCATGGAGATAGTGGAGTATGATAGAGATTCCTGTATTTTTTTTATAGAGATATAAAAGAACTTGGGGATTTTCCAGGGTGACTCGTTGAAAATCGTCTAATGAGTATGTGAAGCTTGTAGATATATTAAGGATCATGGTTTCACTTATGTGTTTTTCTTGATCGTAACTGGATTGTGATATTGTGTCTTTTACAGTATCTGCGATGGAGAACCCAAGCTAATGGGTTTAAAAGAACTACTTCAGGTAACTACTTGTCTATGTAAATCATTTATCTACTTAGCCCACAAGGAGTAATAGAAAAGTGAAGATTAGAGATAGGATGTTTATTTCTGTGCTACTGTAATCACATTAAAATGATTACTTTCTGTTTCTTGCTTGTGTGTAGGCATTTATAGATTTCAGATGTTCTGTTGTCGAAAGGCGTGCAAGGTTCAAGCTTTCACATGCACAACAACGAAAACATAATATTGAGGTGTGACTAGAAATGTTTGACTTTCTTAAATCAGCGTGTGAAGACCAGGATCTCACAATGTAAAGCTTTTCTTCTAATATCTTCACTGTATATATGCTTAGGGTATTGTGGTTGGGCTTGACAATGTGGACGAAGTAATCAAACTCATCAAGAACGCCTCAAGTCATTCCTCTGCTAGTGCTGCTTTACAAAGTGGTGAGCTGTATTTTACTTTGACAATATACTCAATGCAACAATCTTGAACTGCACATTATAGCTTGATGTATAAACAAAATTCTGAAAAGTGAGCGAGAATTGGGAGTCGAAAAGTAAACTAGAGCCAATTTTTCTTACGTGGACTGATAGAAGTAGTCTAGGATGTACACTATCAAAAGAACGCATCTTGTGGTGAACTCTTCCATAATTATATTTGACGAACATTATATATTACTTGTCTTTTTATCTGGAACTGCTGGAGTCTCATTCGTTGTACGATTTGACATTAATTGCAAAGATTCGTAGGGATTTATGCTACGTAAGTCTCTATTGTAAGGGACGATACCATATATTGAAATTAACACAGTCAAACATTTACCTATGTAGAGTATGGTCTTTCTGAGAAACAAGCTGAGGCTATACTGGAGATAACTCTTCGAAGGCTAACTACTCTTGAGGTGCTTTCTTATTCTCGCTAAGTAGAATTTATGAAACTTTTAAGCTTGAAAAATGTTCTAACTAGATTCTCCCTCCATGTGCATGCAGCGGAAAAAGGTTACTGATGAGAGTAGTTCACTGACAGAGCAAATTACAAAGTTGGAGCAGCTATTATCAACCCGAGCAAATATCCTAAAGGTGACATACTCACTTTTTAGTTGTCTATTACTGTTCTTTTGGCTGAAAATATTTGAACACCTAGATGCTGGTAGAATGATAGATGCATCAATATATGTACTCCAAATTTGTAAGCTTGACTGTTTGAGTCCACTGAGGTTCAAACTCTGGTCCATGTATTACGATGTGGTAAAAGGATTCAAATGGTTCTTTCATTTCTTATATCTGTAAAGCGGCTTACTATATATATATATATATATATATATATATATATGTTGCTGTTCTGGGCCAATGTTAGGAAGATTAGTGATACATGATGATTTTCTTGTAGACCAAAATATAGTTCTTTGCTTCGTTTACTTCATTGTATGTTTTACTTTCTTCCCTTCGTTATCTTCTTGTATTTTTCTTTAGTTAATCGAACAAGAAGCAATAGAGCTGAAGGACAGATTCTCAAGTCCCAGGCGTTCAATGTTGGAGGATTCTGACAGTGGTGATCTAGAAGATATAGATGTTATTCCAAATGAAGAGATGCTGATGGTATGTTGCATACTTAAACCTAGAAAATTTCTCAATGTTGAGAACTTTGTTGTTTGTTTTATAACTTTTGATATCTGGATGACTATAGGCAATCAGCGAAAAGGGATATGTGAAGAAAATGAAGGCCGATACTTTCAATCTTCAGCATCGTGGAACAATTGGCAAATCTGTTGGGAAACTGAGAGTTGATGATGCAATGTCTGACTTTCTTGTTTGTCATGCACATGACCATGTCCTCTTCTTCAGGTATGCATAACTCAAAATTTCCTTTGTGTTTGCTACGCACATGGATATTAATTTTCTGCGTTGCTGTAATTTGTTGCTTATACTTGTTCTACATTCAGCGACCGGGGTATAGTGTACTCAACCCGTGCGTATAAAATTCCAGAATGCTCTCGCAATGCAGCTGGTACTCCTTTGGTTCAGGTAATTTACATATCGGTTTATCTATGTTTTCCTTCTGCTATTTCGAAAAATATTCAATTTTATGAAAGGCTAATGTTCTGCTGTATTCATGTGACTTGTGGAAGCAGATATTATCCATGTCAGAAGGTGAAAGAGTAACCTCCATTGTTCCTGTTAGCGAGTTTGCTGAAGATCGCTACCTCCTGATGCTTACAGTGAATGGCTGCATCAAGAAAGTATCGCTGAAATTATTCTCAGGAATACGCTCAACTGGAATCATAGCAATTCAGTTGGTTTGTCCCCTTTTTCTTTTTACTCCAAATCTAGGAAGTCTTCTTAACAAGGTTACTCTAACATAATTATTTGTCTTCAGAATTCTGGTGATGAACTGAAATGGGTTCGCTGTTGCTCAAGCGATGATCTTGTGGCCATGGCGTCCCAAAACGGATTGGTCGTCTTGAGTACATGTGATGGTGTAAGTTGTGGTTCTTGATTTTTTTTTTTTTAAATGATTCTTCTTTCAAGTAAACCTTTTATTACTTGAGCAAAATCTGATGGCTTTTGTTTATTTAGGTTCGTACACTGAGCAGAAATACAAAGGGAGTGACTGCCATGAGACTCAAGAATGAGGATAAGATAGCGAGCATGGACATCATACCTGCATCTCTGCGGAAAGATATGGAAGAGAAGTCGGAAGATGCTTCAATTGTGTATGTTTTTCGTAACTTATATCTGATGATGTTTGCTCTAGAAACTTACTTGTCAGTGTTGTCACACTAGTTAATGTTTTACTGTCTTCCTTTGTTAACACAATCACAAAAGCAGAAAACAATCCACCGGTCCATGGCTATTATTCGTGTGTGAGAATGGTTATGGAAAGCGTGTTCCTCTGAGTAGCTTCCGGCGTTCGCGTTTGAACAGAGTTGGTTTATCTGGATACAAGGTATGATCTGGATTATTACCATCTCTCGTTTGTGTGTTCATTTTTCCCTGACATCTCAAATTGTCAGTTTGCGGAGGATGATCGTTTGGCTGCTGTTTTCGTGGTTGGTTACTCCTTGGCTGGTAAATATACACTCTTCCACAAATACGGATTTAAATGTTCTGTGGTTGCTGTTTATACATAATTCACCAATGTGTTTTCTTGCAGAGGATGGGGAAAGCGATGAGCAAGTAGTTCTGGTGAGCCAAAGCGGAACTGTGAACCGGATCAAAGTCAGGGATATCTCAATCCAATCCCGCAGAGCACGGTATATGTCTACTCCCTTCATTTGACAGTCTTTCCAAATGTTTATTTATGTTTTCTCATTTGATTGTTAATTTCTCAGGGGAGTGATTCTTATGCGGCTAGATCATGCCGGCAAAATCCAATCTGCTTCTCTGATCTCTGCAGCAGATGAAGAAGAAACAGAAGGAACTCCAACTAATGAAACCTTAGAAGCCGTTAGCCTGTAAAGTTTACAATCCCAATTCAACCAGTTTTTGTGACAATTATCAAGTTCAGTACATAGAGTCTATGTGCTTAACTCTCTTCCTCATTTTGTTTTCTGATGTGTTACTACGAAGAGAAAACCATGATCGAAGTTAGTTATTAACATTAATCTACTTTACATTTTGTTGGGTTTAATTATATAAATATATTTTAAGAAAGTTGAAATCAGTAGTGTGCTATTCTCACTTTTGTTTTGTTAACCAAATCAAGAGAAATATTTTACAAGTGGTACAAAGACGTAAGCGCCAAACCCCATAATCACAAGAGCAGCTGCACCAACATTCACCAAAGATATGTCATATGTCCGACTCTCTTCTTCACCCATTCCTCTTCCTCCTACTGCAAGAGGAGAATCTATGCCACTCTTCTTCTGTCCTTTGACTAGTAATGGACCGGTTTCTGAATCCACGATTTCAGCATTATCCTTTAAACCTCCTGTATCTTTGGCTAAACAAGCTTCTTTTATTTTCTTCTGCTTCTCTCTGTCTTGAATCTCTCCTTCACTAACCATGTCTCCAACCGGCTCATTTTTCTCATCCTGCTTGTTTCTCAAGCGATCATCAACATCCAGTTTGATTCTTTCATCTCCCTCTTTCGTTTTTATCTCAGGCTCTGCTTGGTTTGTCTGAGCAATTTTCATCTCTATTCTTCTTGCCTCATCACCAACAACTGGTTTAGTAATTTTCTCTTCTTTCTTTTGTCCTAAGTTAATCCTTCCTTCCTCTTTCAGCTTCTGACCTATTTCACCATCTTCCTTTTTCTCAACAACTTTAGCATGTTCCTTGGGTTCCACTCCAGCATCAATGGTCGGCGTTCTGCTAATCTCTTTCTCCTTCACCTTCTGTCCAGACTTATTCTGACTTATATCATCATCTTTCTTTCTCTCAATTAATTTCTCCTCTTTCCCCTGTACCTTGGGTTTTAAACTACCACCAAGGGTTGGTGTTCTTTTAGCCTCTTCCTCCTTTAATTTTTGTCCAATCTTTTGCTGACCTATTTGAGCAGCCTCCTTTCTCTCGGCCACCTTTTCTTCTTTTGCAGGTTCGTTGCCCACTAAGCTAGGAATTGCTTCTCTCGCTTTTACTTTCGTTTCAGACTTTTCTCGACTGCCCGTTGGCACCGCTCTTTTCCCCTCAACCACTGATTTATACGTTTTGGGTTCTTCATTCAACGTTGGAGCAGCTGTATCTTGACTTGTTCCCACTTGTTTCTCCCCGTCCGAAGGTTTCTTTCGTCCCAAGCTCCTCCCATTTGGACCAGGGCCTCCACTTTTCTCCCGATCAGAACTCTGTCCAATCTTCCCCTGATCTTGAACTGCTTTCTCCTGCTTTTTAGCTTCCACGATCGCTGGAAACTCGATCGTCAAGAGTCCATGTGAGAAGGAGGTGCTCAATTTGGTCATGTCACAGGTATCTGGGACACGGTAAGTTTCATTAAAACGAGCCTTAGTCTGAGCAGAGAGCGGTCGCTGGCCTCGAATCTGGACAGTCCTTGTCCTCTCATCCTTTTTTATTTCTATTTGATCCCTATAAAACCCTGTCGATTCCACACAATAAACGACAAATTCATAAAGTTTGTTATCAGCTAAAGATTGATCTCGAGAAACAAAAAAAAAAGAGAGAAGAGAAAAGACCAGGAAGATTAACGTAGAGGAAAATGGAAGATCCAGAGTTAGTCCATTGAGCTCTGGGCTTGAAACTACTCACCGTTGGAGCCAGCGGTGGCGGATGACGGCCACCTCCCGGCCTTGGTCTCTTGAAAATCGCCGCCATATATGCGTTTATATAGATCACACTATATCAGGACAAAAAGTTCAAAGCCTTTATGAAATAAATGAATCAAATTGTATATGAAACATAAAAAATGTTTGAATGTTGTATATAAGATATAGAGAGAGGTAAGAGGAGATTTTGAGATTAGGGAATGGGTTTAGGATTGCTTTAGGGTATTGACTTTCTCTGTTTCTTTATCCCAAGGTCTCATATCATAGTAAATGGTTTCTTCTACTTCAAGGAAAGAAGAGCTTTTAAGGTTTTGTGTTGATGCGTATCAACACAAAGTGACGTCGTTTTATATGTTTTTTCCATTTTTTTTGAGCTAGTAGCCTATATATTACGTGTCATTCAACACGTGAAATTAAGATTCCCTGGACCTAAAAAATCCCCGCCTAGACCCGATTACTCCCCGCTTAATCGCTAGGCCCACCCTATCCGTCTCGATTAATGACTAATCCCTTAAAGAAATCAGTCACCCGATTACTCTCCGCCTAATCCGATTACTTTCCGCCTAATCCGATTATTCCCCGCCTAATCTTACATACTCCGATTATTTTTAGATTGCTAGTGTAAAAAAACTTTTTATTTTTGTTATTCAATCATTTGAATTGAGAGTTTGTAATGTTTTACAATAATTTATGTTCAAATTTTAATAAAAATCAAAAATTTGTAATAAAAATCATAAAAATTTGTCTCAAAAATACATTTTTATGTGTTTACTGCAATTTTGAAAATAATATTGGATTAATATGTTTTAAAAATATTAAAATAACCCTAAAACTAATCCCCGATTAATCCCCGATTTTAATCCGATTTCTGATTAATCGCTAGGCCCATGCCGAGCGCCCGACTAGCGCCTAGCGATTTTTCAAACAAGGAGATTCCCTGGACCTAACCAACCAACCACATCACTTCACCGGATAAATCTCCACCGTCTTCCGCCGCAATTTCTGTCTCCATGGCCGGCGTTAACCTACAACTCCGTCAAGCATACTCTATAGCTCAATTCGTTCCAACTGTTTCTTCTCCTCCTCCTCTTCATACTCAGCGAGTTCGGCTCGGGACTTCACCCTCCCGTGTTCTTTTATGCAATCTCCGAGCTAATTCCGCCGCCGCTCCAATCCTACGAACTACTCGCCGTTCAGTTACTGTTTCGGCGTCTTCCGTATCCTCATCCGTCGATTCGGATTCGTTGGTGGAAGAACGCGATGACATGGGGAGGATCCCGTTGCTTGAAGTTAGGGATTTGAGAGCTGTGATTGCTGAATCGAGACAGGAGATACTAAAAGGCGTCAATTTGGTTATCTACGAAGGAGAGGTGCGTTGTAATGAACGAAATTTCATGGTTGACTTGATATTTTAATTTGCAGAAAACTTTCCCTGGTAGTGAAATTGTCTCATCATCTGATAAAGTTTTGAGTTTGAAATCATAAGTAAACAAGACCTTGAATTCAATTTGTGTGGATTCGTTTGCATTGCTGCTGATTGTAATCTATGGCTTCTTTTGTGGTTGCTAATAGGTTCACGCAGTGATGGGGAAGAACGGTTCAGGGAAGAGCACATTTTCCAAGGTGAACATTAAACATGATTTGATCTTGTATCTCAGGATTAACCTTCTTGTTGCATAGTATTGTTCTCTTTTTGTTTGTTATCTTAGTGAGCCTTGTTATTTGTAGGTTCTTGTTGGTCATCCGGATTATGAAGTGACGGGAGGGAGTATTGTGTTTAAAGGGCAGAATCTACTTGATATGGAACCAGAAGATAGATCTCTTGCCGGTCTTTTTATGAGTTTCCAATCCCCAGTTGAGATCCCTGGTGTTAGCAATATGGATTTCTTGAATATGGCCTTTAATGCTCGGAAAAGAAAGCTTGGTCAGCCAGAGCTTGATCCAATCCAGGTGACCTTTCAAAATAAGATGATTTGGATTTGGTTTGCATTGTTTCTTACTTCTTGTTGTTTGCTAATTGGTCCTAATTGCAGAACTGTCTAATTGCATATCTTCTGTATTATGTCTTACTGATATCTCATGGCTCATGCAGTTCTACAGCCACTTAGTATCAAAACTTGAAGTTGTGAATATGAAGACCGATTTTCTCAACAGAAATGTCAATGAAGGATTTAGTGGTGGTGAAAGGAAACGCAATGAGATTCTACAGTTAGCGGTATTGGTTCCATTTCCTTTCTTTCTCAGTTGCCACAAGCACCACATATGATAAGAAACAAATGTGATAATAGAAGTCAGTGGATTACTAAGCTTGTTCCATACTCCTGTGAAAAACGCAAGGCTAATAGTTAGGAATTTCAGGATATTTGCGTAGATTAGCTTAAGCAGTTACAGGTTTTAGTTTTACCATAAGGAGACGTGGTTATTGCAATTGCAGTTAGTATTCTATTAAAATTATTTGACTTCAGTTTTACCTAAAAAGGCATGGCATGTTATATGTCTTGCAAGCAATGGTGACTTTACATTCTCTTGAACTTATTTTGTTTTTAATGTGCTTTCCTATGAGACTGTCATACTAGTTATTCTAATGCTCCAAGTCTGAGGCCATTGTGTCGTGTCATCTTGGGTTTTCTGCCTCCCAAGGAGTAGGCATTTCTGGTTTATCGATAACATGACAACACTATTAGTCTCCTTTCCTTTGTAAGAAATATATGGAAAGAGGTCATGAAAGTACACAATGCAACGTTTGGTGATGGTTTCCTTGTCCTTACAGGTCCTTGGAGCCGAGTTGGCTATACTGGACGAGATTGATTCAGGGTTAGATGTTGATGCTCTTCAAGATGTGGCAAAGGCAGTGAACGGGCTTTTGACACCAAAAAACTCTGTTCTGATGATAACTCACTATCAACGGCTACTTGACTACATCAAACCAACTCTCATACACATCATGGTGAGTATTGTTGTTCTTTACTAGAACCACAAAGATAATATATGTTTCGGTGGCTCATTTATGTTTACTTGGGTTTCAGGAGAATGGAAGAATCATTAAAACCGGAGACAACTCCTTGGCCAAACTACTGGAAAAGGAAGGCTACAAAGCGATATCCGGTTAGTTATCGCGGATCATACATATAACCTGTCTTCCTTCTTTGAGAGACCATGGTTATATATGGGTCAAAGACAATGGAAGCTAAAGCTGATGATTGGAAAATCAAATTTGCCACTACAATCTTTGACCCGTAGGTTTTTTTGGCATCATTGGTTTGCATGACAAACTACTTTATTGAGTTGTGAACAGTTCTTCCATACCTTTTTGTAACTAACAACTATAAAATTCAGTTAATAAATTATGTTATTAACAATGCTCTAATTATGTTATTAACCTTAGAGTTTGAGACTTGAAGTGGATGAAATCCGATCAAACCTAGTGGTTACATTACTTGAGAAATTGACAAAATAAAAATTACTTTGATTTTTCTATCGCCTGTTGCTGCTGGAACGAGTGGGTATTAGAATAAATTATGATGACAAGAAGAACGCAAAATTCGCTGATGATTAAACCCAAACGCGTTTTTCAAACTCGTTCAATCATTTCATTCATCATCTTCATCTTCTCCATAATTGACTTATCGAACAAGATTACACCTCCCTGAGCCTTTTATGCAAATGTAGTGCTTTTAAGCAATCTCTCGATTTCCCTCGCTTATTTTCCGACAAAACCAAACCAATTTATTCTTCTTGTCTTTTCTTTTCAATCCCAGATCGATCTCTTTGCTTTCAGACTATTTCCGCTGTCTGGATTCGGTTCATTGCATCGTTCTCTGTTCTGGGTTCGTTTAAAATTTCGATTTTCCCATTTGAAAATTTTGATTTTTTTTCTTGGGGCAGATTGATTGTTGTTGTGGAAGACTCATTCTTTGCATCGACCCGAGTAGGGTTTTTGCTTGTTCCATCTGTGTTCGGAGTTTAAAATCATTGCCTGATCCGGAGTGATCAATCTTATTGTCGTTGGAGAAGAGAACCAAGTCTTAGATTATAAAGAGAGATTTGACTTTCACTTTTAGTGTCTATGATCATTAGGAATATGATCAGATCAGGTCAATTTGTGTTCTTTTGATCAGATCTTGATGTGGAAAGCTTGATGCTGTTGATTATAAGTAGAGAGATATTTTGATGGGTAATGCTTGCGTTGGACCAAACATTTCTGGAAATGGTTTCTTGCAAACTGTTACGGCTGCAATGTGGCGGCCACGGATCGGAGTTGAGCAAGCTTCTTCTTCTTCTTCCCATAATGGACAAGTTGCTAAAGAAACAGCTTCAGAACCAGCAGCTGATCAGGTCCAGAATAAACCCCCTGAGCCGATCACAATGCCAAACCCAAGGACCAATCCCGAAACCAAACCGAAACCCGATCTAGAGATCCAACCTGAGCAGAAAGTTCTTCCTGAAGAAATCAAGCCGAAAGTTCTTCCTGAAGAAAGTAAGCAGGAAGTTCTTCCTGAAGAGAGCAAGCGGGAAGTTGTTGTGCAGCCGGAGACAGCAAAACCAGAAACAAAGTCTGAATCCAAGCAAGAGACAACAAAACCAGAAACAACGTCTGAAACCAAGCCGGAGACGAAACCTGAACCTCAGAAGCCTAAACATATGAGGAGAGTGTCCAGTGCAGGGCTTAGAACTGAGTCAGTGTTGCAGAGGAAAACTGAAAACTTTAAAGAGTTCTATTCATTGGGAAGGAAACTTGGACAAGGCCAATTTGGGACGACGTTTTTATGCCTTGAGAAAGGTACGGGGAACGAGTATGCGTGCAAGTCGATTTCCAAGAGGAAGCTTTTGACGGATGAGGACGTTGAAGATGTGAGAAGGGAGATTCAGATAATGCATCACTTGGCTGGTCATCCAAATGTTATATCTATTAAAGGCGCTTATGAGGATGTTGTTGCGGTACACCTTGTGATGGAGTTGTGTTCGGGTGGCGAGCTTTTTGATAGAATTATTCAACGTGGACATTACACTGAGAGGAAAGCTGCTGAGCTTGCGAGAACCATTGTTGGGGTTTTAGAGGCTTGTCACTCTCTTGGTGTTATGCATCGAGACCTCAAGCCCGAGAATTTTCTATTTGTTAGTAAAGAGGAAGATTCCCTCTTGAAAACGATCGACTTTGGACTCTCAATGTTCTTTAAGCCAGGTTCGTATTTATGGTAACTTGTCTTTGATCATTTAAACTTCTATGTTTGATTTTGGAATACTATTCCTTCCACTTTTGCAGATGAGGTTTTTACAGATGTTGTTGGTAGTCCGTATTATGTAGCTCCAGAAGTTCTTAGAAAGCGTTATGGTCCTGAATCAGATGTGTGGAGTGCTGGTGTGATTGTTTACATTTTGTTAAGCGGAGTTCCTCCTTTCTGGGCCGGTAAGAGACGTTGCAATGTAGATAAATGCATCTGATTGTTCTTGTTAGGCTCTGAAGCAAATTTGTTTTCCATGAAATATGCAGAAACCGAACAAGGTATTTTCGAGCAGGTCCTTCATGGAGATCTTGACTTTTCATCTGATCCATGGCCAAGCATCTCTGAAAGCGCAAAAGACTTGGTGAGGAAAATGCTTGTTCGGGACCCCAAGCGAAGACTAACCGCACATCAAGTATTATGTAAGTTATTTAAGTCTAAATCATTCATCTTAATTCTATTGAGCACAGAGCATAAACTGGTATATCTTCTAACAAACATATGCTAGCTGATTTTCTAAATACATTGTCCTATTTGAATTTCACCGTTGTGCTTCTTCTCAAGGCGTTTTGTCTATGAACAGGTCATCCATGGGTACAGATTGACGGTGTGGCTCCAGATAAACCTCTGGACTCTGCTGTTCTGAGCCGTATGAAGCAATTTTCTGCAATGAACAAGTTCAAGAAAATGGCTCTTAGAGTAAGTTATCTTTCTAACTCTAAACAAGATCTCAACAAAAGAAACACAGAAGAGAAGATAGAATAAGTTTGGCCTTTTTTTCAACTTGTTGTAGGTCATAGCTGAGAGCTTATCCGAAGAAGAAATAGCCGGTTTAAAAGAAATGTTCAAGATGATTGACGCAGACAACAGTGGTCAGATAACTTTTGAAGAACTGAAAGCAGGACTAAAACGAGTTGGTGCCAATCTCAAAGAGTCAGAAATTCTTGATCTAATGCAAGCTGTAAGTCTTTTAACCCAAGAATACTAGTCAGATTTGTCTGAACTCTTAGCAAATCAGGTCTCTTTTGCTCTTTTAATTTACTCTGGATTCCAAACTTCAATCATTCAACCAGGTTTATATTTCCATGTTTTGCAATAATCTTGTATGTTTTGTCTCGTCTAATTCAGGCTGATGTAGACAATAGCGGAACGATAGATTACAAAGAGTTCATAGCCGCCACATTGCATTTAAACAAAATAGAGAGAGAGGACCACTTGTTCGCGGCCTTCTCCTACTTTGACAAGGACGAGAGCGGCTTTATCACCCCAGATGAGCTTCAACAAGCTTGCGAGGAGTTTGGTGTTGAAGATGCCCGCATAGAAGAAATGATGCGCGATGTTGATCAAGACAAGGTAAAAAGCTCCTTTCTAAACCTTCTCATCTCATTCCGAAATTGCATCCCATTCATAAGCAGAACTCTTGAATGTTCTTGCATTGTAGAAAATTCAATTCCCTGAGAAATTCCATTTCAACTTTTTCCAAGCTTGGAAGTGATGAGATATTGAAACCTCTATTTCTTGTTGATTGACTTAACGAGCTTATCGCACTTTTAAAAACATTGAAACATTGTTGCAGGATGGGCGAATAGACTACAACGAGTTTGTGGCAATGATGCAGAAAGGGAGCATAATGGGAGGACCTGTGAAAATGGGTTTAGAGAATAGCATTAGCATTTCTCTGAAACATTAGTTTTCAGATTACAAACCCAAAACCAACAAGAGCTTCGTCTACTTTATTTTTTTAAGAATGATGATCATGATTGTGTTTTCCTCAACATTTTGATGAGATTTTTTGTCGTTAGACTGGTTTAGGTAAATCTGTTTCTGTACTATGTACTTTTATGCATATACACATAGTTTTTGTCTGTAACTTTTGGTCATAAAAGTTATCTTTTAAAGTACAGTCAGGTACACAGAGAATCCATCGAGGTGAAGTAATTTTGTTTTTATTTTCCTTCGAATTCCAGAATTAATTTCGTCCGGAGAGTGGTTGTAGGGCCCATGTTGTCCCTAAAGCCCAGCCCACTAAAGTATCACCGTTTCTCTTGGAGATATTTTTTAGTGTGACTGGAGTATTGTGTTAAACGATAAATCTTAACCATCGGATCAATTCCATCTTACGGATGAAAATGATCTGTGTCTGTATTTTAAGTGACAGCCGGTATCGCTAGTGCTACTTCTACGGAAAGACGAATATACCCTTATTAAGGTGCGTAGCTTTACGCTCCTCTCGTTTTTCCTTTTTGTTTTTTAAAATTTGTTTTTGGTACCCTAGACAATTTTTTTTTGGTTTGCTCTTTGTCTCGATTTTGGTGCCACAAATTAGAAAAAAACCCTAATTTCACCAAAAATTTTCAATTCCCTCTTTTCTCAATAAGTTTTTCGATTTTTCCTTACGCGGAAAGGTTCGTTGAAACCCTAGATTCGTTCTCAGTTTTCGTGTTGGCTAATGGCGAGCGCGGCACGGGGAGAGAGCAGCAATCCATATGGCGGCGGATTGGGAACCGGAGGAAAGTTCCGGAAGCCGACGGCTCGAAGGACTCAGAAAACTCCGTATGATCGACCGCCGACTTCTGTGAGGAACTCTGGAATTGGTGGCGGAGATGTCAGAGGCGGCGGTTGGTTGTCGAAATTGGTGGATCCGGCCCAGAGGCTTATTACTTATAGTGCTCATAGGCTCTTCGCGTCCGTTTTCCGGAAACGCCTCGGCTCAGGTGAGACGCCTGTACAGTCGCCGGAGCAGCAGAAGCAGATACCAGAAAGAGGTAAGAAGCTTGTTGATTTTTTCGATGCAAAAGTTATTATTTTTGCAGTTTCTGAGTTTCTTAGAGAAGCTGTTTTTAGGTATTGTGGATTTGTTTAAGTGTTTATATTTGCCCTTTGCTTCAAAAAATATTTATAGTAATTCAGAACTAGTAAGTACATAAACGTTGTTAGAATGTTCTTCAAGTACCTAGCCAGGTTGTCTATTATAGAATTCGTGGTATTAGAGATTGTTTATGTATTGATAGCGGGTTGTTACTAGCAGTCATGTATGAAATTCTTTTTGCGACTTTGCGAAGTGGAAGTTGTTAATGTGTACTGTTTCTGTGATCATGAACCAGATGTGAATCAGGAGACGAAGGTAGGACACAAGGAGGACGTCTCCAATGTAAGTAAATGAGCCGCATCTTTTGATGAAATATCTTCTTCCTTAGGGTTTCCTTATTCTTTTATCTTCTGTAGTGTAACCCATGTTTTATCTATTGATGTGGTCTATGTGAAGCTGTCCATGAAGAATGGTTTGATTCGAATGGAAGATACCAATGCCTCTGTCGATCCAACTAAGGATGGATTTACAGATCTTGAGAAAATCTTACAGGGAAAAACTTTTACAAGGTACACTATCTTACAAGTTTTACATTGTACATATGACCCAGTAGAGTAACTATTTTTTCCCTCGAGGATGTAAAAGTTTCTTAATCTTTTGATCCATCCAACATTCATAAAATAGAAAAGTTGAATATAAAGCCCTATTATCCTTCCTTCTGTTTTTGTTTCCTTTTGGTGCGTTCATGTTAACATAGGCATCTTCACATTTTGAGTAATAAAACTTTATGTTTTGAAAATCAGTTGATCACTTTCGATGATTTTATAGGTCTGAAGTTGATCGATTAACTACATTGCTGCGTTCCAAAGCTGCTGATTCATCCACTATGAATGAGGAGCAGAGAAATGAAGTGAGTATTGTTGTGAGACATCCACCATCTCATGAGAGGGACAGGACGCATCCAGATAATGGAAGTATGAACACCCTTGTTTCAACACCTCCTGGAAGTTCGAGAGTAAGAAAGTTGTTTGACATGTTAGATATACTAGTCTGTTTTTTTGCTGAGCTTCATGCAAAATGCCGTTGTTAATCTTTTAATTGTTGATGACATCCTTACCAGGCTCTTGATGAGTGCATTGCTTCGCCAGCACAGCTTGCAAAAGCTTACATGGGTAGCAGACCTTTAGAAGTTACTCCTTCTATGTTGGGGTTGCGTGGTCAAGCGGGTAGGGAAGATTCTGTTTTCCTGAACAGAACCCCTTTTCCGCAAAAGTCACCTACAATGTCACTGGTAACAAAGCCTTCTGGACAAAGACCTTTGGAAAATGGTTTTGTTACCCCTAGATCTCGGGGAAGATCTGCTGTTTATAGCATGGCCAGAACACCATACTCTAGGCCTCAGTCCACTGTGAAGGTTTCAATTTTGAGCCGTAACTATATTATTGTAAAGTTCCCAACTTGCTCCCAATTTTTTACATTGTGTTCTTTTTTTCAGATTGGGTCTCTTTTTCAAGCATCTCCAAGCACATGGGAAGAAAGCTTGCCTTCTGGTTCTAGACAAGGGTTTCAATCGGTGAGACATTTTGAAATTATGCACCAAATTGATTTCAGATTCGTCTCTGAAACAAAGTATTGACATGACTTTTATTTAATTTTGTAGGGTCTTAAACGCAGGAGCTCAGTATTAGATAATGATATAGGATCTGTGGGCCCTGTAAGGAGGATTCGTCAAAAATCTAACCTTTCATCGCGAAGCTTGGCTCTACCTGTTTCTGAGAGCCCACTTTCTGTCCGTGCTAATGGTGGAGAAAAAACTACACATACATCTAAAGATAGTGCCGAGGATATACCTGGTTCAAGTTTTAACCTTGTTCCTACCAAGTCCAGTGAGATGGCGTCAAAAATATTGCAGCAACTTGATAAACTGGTCTCAACGAGGGAGAAATCACCAAGTAAGTTATCACCATCCATGCTACGGGGTCCCGCTCTCAAAAGCCTCCAGAATGTGGAGGCGCCAAAGTTCTTGGATAATCTTCCTGAGAAGAAGGCAGATTTGCCAGATTCTAGTTATCAAAAGCAGGAAATATCTAGAGAAAGTGTCTCCAGAGAGGTTGTAGCTCCGAGTGAGAAGACTGGTGGTGCTATTGATGGAACAAGCAAAACAGGTTTCAGTAAAGATCAGGATACGCGTGGTAAAGGTGTTTATTTGCCCCTCACTAATTCTTTGGAAGAGCATCCTCCAAAAAAGAGAGCATTTCGAATGAGTGCGCATGAGGTATATTTTCTAGTTCTTATAGATAGTTTTTCAGAATGTTTATGGGCTGCAAATAAGAGTGTCAAGGCGGGCAATTCTAGAAATGCCAACCTTAAAACCTGTAGCTGCAAATATGATTTTGTCCATTTATGTTTTCCTTTTTGAGGAAAAATTTCTGCTTTTTTTCATATATTTATGCTTTCCTTTTGTTTTTTGTTAATATTTTTACGGCACACCTTTGACCATCTATACATACAACTATGATATTGCAGGATTTCTTGGAGTTGGATGATGATCATGGTGCGGCATCTAGTCCATTTGAAGTGGCAGAAAAACAGAATGCCTTTAAAGTAGAGAAAAGTCATATCAGCATGCCTAAAGGGGAGAAACCACTTACTCCGTCTGAAGCCATGCCCTCTACATCATATATTTCTAATGGTGACGCCTCTCAGGGTACTTCTAATGGGTCTCTGGAAACTGGAAGGAACAAGTTTGTTACTTTCCCCATTGAAGCTGTTCAGCAAAGTAATATGGCCTCTGAATCAACTTCGAAGTTCATCCAAGGAACTGAGAAATCGAGTATTTCTTTTGGCAAGCCAACCGCCGAAGAGAAAGGTATCCCTCTGGAAGAGCCTAAAAAACCTGCTGCTGTATTTCCCAACATCTCCTCATCACCGGCTGCCACTGGCTTATTAAATCAAAACAGTGGTGCTTCTACAGACATCAAGTTAGAAAAGACTAGCAGGTTTTTGGCATGATTATTTTTCCACTCAGCTTGATATGCTTTTATATCATTACTCTTGTCTATCAACCAATGAGCCTCATCCATATTGGTTATGAAAGTTTTATCTGGTTTACTAACTTCTGACTCTCTATCTTGATGTTGCAGCACTGCTTTTGGAGTATCTGAAGCTTGGGCGAAGCCAACTGAATCAAAGAAAACTCTCAGCAACAATGCTTCTGGAGTGGAGTCAACTACCTCAGCTGCATCAACCCTCAATGGTAGTATATTCTCAGCTGGAGCAAACGCTGTCAATCCACCTCCGAGTAATGGCTCTCTTACTTCAAGCCCTTCCTTCCAACCTACTATTTCAAATATACCTTCGGATAATTATGTGGGTGAGGTGCCGTCCACTGTTCAATCTCTTGCTGCTACTCACAATTCCTCTAGTATATTTGGAAAGTTGCCTACCAGTAACGACAGCAACTCACAATCAACTTCAGCACCTCCCCTCTCGTCTACATCACCTTTCAAGTTTGGGGAACCTGCTGCTCCATTTTCTGCGCCAGCAGTATCTACATCTAGCAGTCAGATTTCAAAGGAGACTGAAGTTAAAAACGCCACATTTGAAAATACAAACACTTTCAAGTTTGGAGGTATGGCTTCAGCAGACCCAAGCACTGGCAGCGTTTTTGGTGCTAAATCTGCAGAAAATAAAAGCACACCAGGTTTTGTGTTTGGGAGCTCATCTCCTGCTGTGGCAGATGCAGGTAATAATATCTTCGGTGGGACATCCTCTGTGGTTGGTGGGAGCACATTAAACCCTTCTACTGCTGCAGCTTCTGCACCTGAGAGCTCTGGAAGTTTAATATTTGGTGTGACATCTTCCTCAACCCCTGGGACAGAGACGAGCAAATTTTCTGCGAGTTCTACAGCTACTAATACTGGAAATAGTATATTTGGTACTTCCTCTCCCGCATTTACAAGCTCTGGTAGTAGCATGTTTGGTGGTGTAGCTGCAAGTACTGGAAGCAGTGTTTTTGGATTCAATGCTGCTTCATCAGCTTCTGCTGCTAGCTCTCAATCTCAGGCCTCAAATCTTTTTGGTGCTGGAAATGCTCAGACGGGTAATACTGGGAGCGGAACCACAACATCAACTCAAAGCATCCCCTTTCAGTTTGGTTCATCTGCATCAGCTCCTTCATTTGGTTTGTCTGGGAACTCTTCTCTTGCATCAAACAGTTCTCCATTTGGATTTTCAAAGTCGGAACCTGCTGTATTTACATCTGGCTCAACTCCTCAATTGAGTTCGACAAACTCCTCTGCAAGCTCTAGTGGTACAATGAGCTCTCCCCTATTTGGGACAAGCTGGCAAGCTCCCAACTCTGCTCCAAACTCTGCTCCAGTCTTCAGTTCCTCGTTCACCACTTCTTCAACTCCTACCTTTTCCTTTGGAGGATCTTCTGCTGCTACTGCTTCAAGCACTCCAGCTCCCATTTTTGGTGCATCTACCAACACCCCGTCACCTTCGCCTATCTTTGGTTTCGGCTCAACCGCTCCTAGCACTCCCCAGCAGCCGGTATTTGGTAACTCAGCGACTCTATCACAGTCTCTGTTTGGTAACTCAAATCCTGGGTTTGCATTTGGTGCAGCTAATAATGCAAATGGTATCAACAATAACCAACAAGTGAGCATGGAAGACAGTATGGCAGAAGACACAGACCAAGCTAACAAAGCAACCATGGTAGCCCCAATGTTTGGACAAGCAGCTGTCTCGATGCCTCAACCAAACTTTGGCTTTGGTGGAGGAGCAGCAACGCCGCCACCATCAATGGCTAACCCGTTCCAGTTTGGAGGGCAACCGATGGGAAGCACGCCACAGAACGCATCACCTTTCCAGGCATCACAGAGTCTAGAGTTCCAAGGAGGTGGGAGCTTTTCACTAGGCAGCACTGGAGGCGGGGATAAGTCAGGCCGCAGAATCTTCAAAGCAAAGAAATCCAACAGGAAGAAATAAGCAGCAGTGTGGATGATAAGAAAACACATTGCTCATGTAGAAGAGAGTCAACTTATCAGCCTTTTGGTCTTTTTGTTCGCTATATACTCCGGCAACTTGGGGATTCAGAGCATATCGTCTCTTAATGAAAGAGGTAAAAGTATCAGAATGTATTTGGTTTTATGCTCTTGATCGTCTCTGTCATTTTAGTATCAAGAGTCAGGGATTTTGGGGGTTAAATTGTTCAGGGTTATAAAGGTTTGTAGGAAAGTTTTGTAATTCTCAGAAAGTACTGGAGTCTGTAAGAGTAATATGTCTCTCTCTTTGTTTTCCTTATTATAAGAAAAACTTTATTGTCCTTGTTTGTAACACTTTACTCAAAAATCTTTTCAGTTCTGGTTTAGGTTACTAAATTGCCTCATTCACAAACACGGTTTGCCATTTTAACCAAACCAAACCAAGATTGAATAAATCCAATTCGATAACATTCTTCTAGGAAGCTTCTTATAGTTGACCAAGTTTTGTTTACTCAATCCAACTAGATTAAGGAAATCGGTAATTTCGAAACCCTTGTTCTCCAAATTCTCGATTTCTCTTTCTTCTTCCAAAGTCTTTTGTCTCTCTGTCTCATCCAAAATTCCCAGATTTCTTCACGGAGTTAGAAGAAGAAAACGATGAGGAGAGTTTTCGGCGCGAAGAAGAACACAGAGCCTCCTCCGTCCATTCAGGATGCCTCTGATCGGGTTTGGTTTCTAATTATTCTCTCTCTCTTTTTCGATTTCAATTGGGGAATTTACTCTTCAAATCGTTTGTGTGGAGGATTCGCGATTGGTGCTGCGGTTTTGAAATTTCACTTTGGATTTATTGAAATTCTGATAGAAAACCAATCCTTAGGAGAATTGGAACCACTAAGCTCCAAAAGTAGAAGAAAAAACTGAGATTTGTTTCATGTTTTATGTCAGATAAATAAAAGAGGAGATTCGGTAGAAGATAAGATAAAGAAGCTTGATCTTGAGCTCTGCAGATATAAAGAACAGCTTAAAAAGACAAGACCTGGTCCTGCTCAAGAAGCTGTCAAAGCTCGTGCTATGAGAGTTCTCAAGCAGAAGAAAATGTTAGTCTATTCATTATGCACATTGTTATATAAACTGATTCAGCATTCGCTTTCAAGCTACTCTGTTTATTGGATATATGGTTGATATTAATAAACACCTTCATAATTACATTTTTGATGAATTATAGGTATGAAGGACAACGCGACATGCTCTATAATCAAACATTCAATCTCGATCAAGTTTCATTCGCCGCTGAAGGACTCAAAGATGCTCAACAAACTGTGTGTATCTTTTGTTCTCTTCGTTCTACAAAAGATCGAATCTAACTAAGTTAAGAGGTGTTTAATCAATGTTATGAATGTTTTTGTGTATCTATTAAATCTGCAGATGACAGCACTAAAATCTGCGAACAAGGATTTGAAAGGAATGATGAAAACCGTGAAGATTCAAGATATTGATGTACGTTGTTAAGTTACTTAACAACATCTTGGTTTATCTTCTTTCAGGCTTTTTTCTTTGGCATTTTTGATTTGCCTGATACTATCTAAATTGATGGTACAGAATTTGCAAGACGAGATGATGGATCTGATGGATGTTAGTTCTGAAATTCAAGAAACACTTGGTAGAAGCTACAATGTTCCTGATGGCCTTGACGAAGATGACCTCATGGGAGGTAAATTTCTTGTTGCGTTATTGAAAGATTAAGATCTATCTCTTGCAACATTATGGCGTTTCTCACATCATTTACATTCTTTTGATATATTCCAGAGCTTGATGCTCTTGAAGCTGACATGGGAAACGAGACCGAAGCAGATGGAATGCCTTCTTATCTCCAACCTGATACAGAAACTGATTACGATAACGAGCTTAACTTGCCTGCAGCACCAACAGGACGCAATGGAGCTTCACAGGGAAGAGTTCAGGTTAGTTTTAATCTTATGAAATGCTTTAGGTATGATTACCTTTTGATGGATGGCTATTGAGACCGTTTAACGATGTGATTAATAGGCTGAGGACGAATTTGGATTACCAGCAGTGCCACGAGCTTCTCTCCGGGGTTAAGTTCCACCGATTCTCTTGTTGGGTGGAGCTACTAAGCTTTTATTTAGCCTTAGAGTCTTTATTCATTTGTGCATAACGTTTTTAACTTTGATAAACTTCCTTTTGGCTTTCTTATTGACTTCAAAAATTGTCTTATTTCATGTATCTCAGATTATCTTTGTTTCTCATATTTTCTATCATCAATAACACAAATGATGAGAATTTTTTACTTGCAGAACATTTGCATTTGAGGAACAGCCAAAATAAAATACGTTAAATGGGCCATCTAAAATCTTAATGGGCCTTTCGTCGCTTTGAATCTCCCTCTCCTCTCTCTCTCTCACCCTTTCTCTTTCTTCCTCTTTCTTCATCGATGGATCAACCACCAGATCGGAGCAAGCGACCATGGAAATTCTCCACCTTGGTCTACTCTTCATCGATCCTTTTCCTTCTTCTTTCGATATTCTTATTCGGCTTCACTAATACCAATCTCTACAAAGTCCAAAGTCTGAGATTCACCTTCACTGCGAACCGCATCTACAGCTATCTTCAATTCCTTCTAGGCTTTCACGATGGAACTCCCAAATCCAAATCTGAAACCCTAGACCCAGCTTCGTCTACGTCGCATTGCGTGTTATGGATGGCTCCTTTTCTCTCGAGTGGCGGTTATAGCTCAGAAGCTTGGTCTTACATTTTATCACTTCATAACCATCTCACAAACCCTAGATTTCGAATCACCATCGAGCACCATGGTGATCTAGAATCAGTGGAGTTTTGGAATGGTTTAGCTAAGGAGACTAAGGAGCTAGCGATTGAAATGTACAGAACACAATGTAGACCCAACGAGACGATCGTTGTTTGTCATAGTGAACCTGGTGCTTGGTATCCACCATTGTTTGAGACTCTTCCTTGTCCTCCAACTGGTTACGAAGATTTCTTATCTGTGATTGGTAGAACAATGTTTGAGACTGATAGAGTCAATCCTGAGCATGTGAAGCGATGTAATCAGATGGATCATGTTTGGGTTCCTACTGAGTTTCATGTCTCTTCCTTTGTACAAAGTGGGGTTGATTCATCTAAGGTTGTCAAGATTGTGCAGCCTGTAGATGTCGGTTTCTTCGATCCTTTAAAGTATGAGCCTTTGGATCTGATGGCGGTTGGGGATTTGGTTTTGGGTTCTGGAATGAAGAATGCGGGTTTAGGGTTTGTGTTCTTGAGTGTGTTTAAGTGGGAGCAGAGGAAAGGTTGGGATGTGTTGTTGAAGGCTTACCTCAGAGAGTTCTCTGGTAAAGACAATGTTGCTCTATTTTTGTTGACAAACGCTTATCACTCGGACAGCGATTTCGGGAACAAGATTCTTGATTTCGTAGAAGAATTGAATATACAAGAGCTTCGAAATGGTTACCCTTTTGTGTATGTGATTGATAAACACATAGCTCAAGTTGATTTGCCTCGGTTGTACAAAGCGGCTGATGCGTTTGTGTTGCCTACACGAGGAGAAGGATGGGGACGACCTATAGTGGAAGCCATGGCAATGTCTTTGCCTGTGATCGCAACAAACTGGTCAGGACCAACAGAGTATCTTACAGAGCGTAATGGTTACCCGTTGGTGGTAGAGGAGATGAGTGAAGTAAAGGAAGGTCCTTTTGAAGGGCATCAATGGGCTGAGCCATCTGTGGATAAGCTTAGGGTTCTAATGAGGCATGTGATGAGTAATCTTGATGAGGCTAAGGTTAAAGGAAACCGTGGAAGAGACGACATGATCCAGAAGTTTGCTCCTGAGGTTGTTGCTAAGGTTGTAGCGGATCAAATAGAGAGAATCTTTGATGAGAAAATAAGAACATGACAGGAATGTCACACTTTGCTTAGATTAGGTAAGGAAACGAGAGGAAACAAGAATTGTATTTTGATTCATGGATTGTTCAAAAAAGAGCAAATATGTCAAAGAACAGCTTATTCTCGAGTTTCTTACCAAAAACTTTAAACAGTGAGTTCAGTTTTCGATTTATTTTGTTACTGGAGATGAGAAGCGAAAGCTGACATGACTTCCTTGTACACTGGCTTCTTGAAATCCACTGCCTGTATAACAGAAATAGAATGAAAATTAGTTAAAAGTAGTGGAATCTAAATGGTGAATGTCAACACAAAGAAGAAAACTGTGCGCACATGTTCAATGACTTGATCAGGAGATGTCCAGGACCATTCACCGAACTCAGGTTTCTCAGTACCATCACCAAGAAGATTGATTTCTTCATCTTTCCCAGTAAATTTCAGCAGAAACCTGAGAAATCACAATATTTGAACAATCCGGTAATGAAATGACATGATTCTTGATTATCTCAGAAAGACTAACCATTTCTGTGCTTGACCCTTCCAATCAGAACCCCATCGGACCTTGAGCTTCTCTCTAACATCAGGGGGGAAGTCGTAGGTTATCCAGTGAGGTGCCTACAGCAACAACAACAACAAAAAAGAGTTTTTTAGACGAATTCTTAAAAGGGAACATGTTCTTCATCGTTAGTAAATTGTTGAATGTTTAAGAAGAAGAAGAAGATAGACGAATTCTTAAAAGGGAACATGTTCTTCATCGTTAGTAAATTGTTGAATGTTTAAGAAGAAGAAGAAGATAAAAACACCTCAGCGACAATCTCAGCAGAGTGGACTCCAGTCTCTTCTTTAAGCTCTCGCATGACTGCAACTCTTGGATCTTCACCCTCATCGATTCCACCCTATCAACATCAACAACAACACACGATTATGAATCCAATTGGAGATAAATTGTAAGAAAGTAGAGAAACCTGGGAACATGAAAGATAAAACATAAATTCGAAAGATGGAAATAGGTGAAATTCGAATCATCTATATAGAGAACATATGCGCTTGGGATGCAACAACAACTGGAACCATTGCTTTCAGCTTTCAGATTCAAAAACTTAAGAAATCCGAATCTAGAGATTACCTGAGGCATTTGCCAAGCACTGGGAATATCCAACCTCGAGGCAGTGAAAATCTGCACTTAATTTAAAGCGATCTATCAGATAAAAGAAGAAGAAGCTGTTTCCAATCATCCATCATCAATCACCTTTTTGGAAGAGTTCATGAGGCAGACACCGACATTTCTTCTGTAACCTTCCGGAGGAGATTCCATGGAAGACGACGACGATGAAGAACAACACCGAGCGGAGGAGGAGGAGACCTGAGACTTACTGCAGCGGTGGAGGAAGGGCAGGCTCGAGAATTTCAGCGCTTTCGAGGGGTAATTTCGGAATAACGGAATTACTGTCGGAGATGTTGGGCGATGATGCAAGACAAGCGATCGGTACAATGCCATTTCGAGCCCAAAACCTATTTTCCACGCATTCGGAAAATTAATATCTTATTAGACAACTATGCCCCTGACTCGTCCTGAATATTACGGTCGAATTTTCATTTTGCTAGTGACATATGAATGCTATGTGTAATTATGTACATACTACAAAGATATGACTTGTCTTTGGTTTTCAATTGATTGCAACTCCAAATCATAAGTTCCAAATGAACAAAAAATGTTAAAAACAAAGCAAGAGCTGTAAATTCCAGGCATTAATCTTGAAACAAAGGAAACCATGTTGAATCCATTACTACACCAATAATTGTCTCCTAAGTCTTTGATTCAAACCCAATAAACTCAGCCTTAGTATCTTCTTGCCGGCCGTCCAAACACAGCAGGTGCCATAGCTTGTTGTGTCTCCACTTGAGAAATCCCACGAGTATCAGACATTCCCAAAGAAGCAAGCATCTCTAGAGTCTCTTTGTCCACCTTAACATCATCGGTTTTAATGGCTGACTCATCGGGGACAAAGTCCATGCGTCTTTCACGCTCTTCCTCTTGTAGCTTGAGGGAGATTCCACGGACTGGACCCTTTTGGATACGTTTCATCAAGTGAGTGGAGAATCCAGCAATCTTGTTGCGTAGCCTTTTAGATGGGATGATTGCAACTTCTTCTAAGATCTTTTTGTTGGTGTGGAAGTCCAGAGTCATCCGAGAGTAGTACTTCTCAATCACCTGACGTGAAGACTTCTTCACTGTTTTGGTACGAACACGACCCATCTTTCACAACTTTTGACTTTACCTGCCCAAATTAAGACAAACCATATGAGAACATTCATGTTCGATTTGTATACAAGTCAGAGAAATGTAGATACCTCAACTTCTGACTAATAAACTATATAAAGAATCTAAACTTGTGCAGAGTCTCAAGTAACTACAAATTATGTTCTTTACTGTTAAAGATCAGTCAGATTTTTGTAAGGACACCAACAAGTCGAAATCTTCAAACATTGAGCAGCATCACAGATTAATCGAAATCAGGATTCAATTTCAACAATGCCGTGAAATTTCAACATTTGGGTATTGATACAACATTTTTATTTCACAACTTCTTCATGAATCTAACACAATCTAAGACTAAATTCCAGACACAAATCGCAAATGTTAAATCGAAATTTAAGCACAAGACTGTTGAATTCTCATGTGTGTTCCTCTAAAATGAAGTGCCGTTTTAAAGGTAACCAGAAGGTACCTGTATGGATTGACCGGAGCTGGAGAGCAGAGATGCGGCGGCAAAATACAGAAGAAAGCAAAGAAGCGAACGAAAACGTGTGTGTGGTAAATATATGAGTCAATTGTTAGGGTTTGTTATTAGGATTTCTAACACAGTGTATCTTAACCAATAATAATATCACACGTCATAATCGTAGTTGACAAAGTCAATTTCCAATTCTGATTAAAACGGGCTTTAATATGAGGCCCATGTATAATTTAGTGGGCATTTCAACGGCTCTTTGTGATCAATTTCCATTTTTTTGCTGTCTAACTTTCCTTTTTTTTTTTTGGTTTGAGTGATTTCCTTTTTTCATGAATATATAGAAAATGAATTTACTTTTCTGAACAACCCAACCTCTGCTTATAAATAAACACATCTCTTCTTCCTTCATTCTTCCAAACAGAACAAAATTTCATGACGCATACGAGAGCGAGACCTATGCGACACGTTCATGGCACATGAATGATTACTCTGTCAATAGTCATGTGAGGAATGAAGGCACATGAATGATTACTCTGTCAATAGTCATGTGAGGAATGAAGAATCGATGATGAATAATAAAAGGAGCAGATGATTTTTGATAGAGAGATCGAAATTGGTTCTCTTGGAATATTAGAAACTGAGATTCATCATGAAGGAGGACAAGAAGAACAAGCGAACTAACAAACATCTAAACGTCAAGAGCCCGACGAAGCTTGCTTCTCTAATGGCCACTTCTTCTTTATTCAGGTAATTTCCTAAATTTATTGCTTCCTTGCGTCTCTCTCTTTTTTATTCTCCGTATATCGTCTCTCTCTTTTTCGCGTTTTCTGTTTTTATTTTTGGATTTAAAAATATTTCTTATATAAAATATATTAAATCTAAAGAAATTTAAGTGTTAAATTCTAAAATTGTGAAAACTAACCGAATTTGACATCCCGTCTTTAGTTGGTCTGTAAGAAGTGTTCTATGTTTAACTTTTTTACACTTAATGTAAATTTATCACTTAAGTTTCTACTAAAAAAACTATTACCAATATAAAATATTTTAAATCTAAAGAAATTTAAGTGTTAAATTCTAAAGTTGTGAAAACTAACCGAACTTGACATCCCGTCCTTAGTTGGTCCGTAAGAGGTGTTCTAAGTTCAACTTGTTTACACTTAATGTGAATTTAACACTTAAGTTTCTACTAAAAAAACTATTACCAATATAAAATATTTTAAATCTAAAAAAATTTAAGTGTTAAATTCTAAAATTGTGAAAACTAACCGAACTTGACATTCCGTCCTTAGTTGGTCCGTAAGAAATGTTCTAAGTTCAACTTGTTTACACTTAATGTGAATTTAGCACTTAAGTTATTACTAAAAAAAAACTATTACCAATATAAAATATTTTAAATCTAAAAAAATTTAAGTGTTAAATTCTAAAATTGTGAAAACTAACCGAACTTGACATTCCGTCCTTAGTTGGTCCGTAAGAAATGTTCTAAGTTCAACTTGTTTACACTTAATGTGAATTTAGCATTTAAGTTATTACTAAAAAAAAACTATTACCAATATAAAATATTTTAAATCTAAAAAAATTTAAGTGTTAAATTCTAAAATTGTGAAAACTAACCGAACTTGACATTCCGTCCTTAGTTGGTCCGTAAGAAATGTTCTAAGTTCAACTTGTTTACACTTAATGTGAATTTAGCACTTAAGTTATTACTAAAAAAAAACTATTACCAATATAAAATATTTTAAACTAAAGAAATTGAAGTGTTAAATTCTAAAATTGTGAAAACTAACCGAATTTGACATCCCGTCTTTAGTTGGTCTGTAAGAGGTGTTCTATGTTCAACTTTTTTAGACTTAATGTAAATTTATCACTTAAGTTTCTACTAAAAAAACTATTACCAATATAAAATATTTTAAATCTAAAGAAATTTAAGTGTTAAATTCTAAAGTTGTGAAAACTAACCGAACTTGACATCCCGTCCTTAGTTGGTCCGTAAGAGGTGTTCTAAGTTCAACTTGTTTACACTTAATGTGAATTTAACACTTAAGTTTCTACTAAAAAAACTATTACCAATATAAAATATTTTAAATCTAAAAAAATTTAAGTGTTAAATTCTAAAATTGTGAAAACTAACCGAACTTGACATTCCGTCCTTAGTTGGTCCGTAAGGAATGTTCTAAGTTCAACTTGTTTACACTTAATGTGAATTTAGCACTTAAGTTATTACTAAAAAAAAACTATTACCAATATAAAATATTTTAAACTAAAGAAATTTAAGTGTTAAATTCTAAAGTTGTGAAAATTAACCGAACTTGACATCCTGTCCTTAGTTGGTCCGTAAGAAATGTTCTAAGTTCAATTTGTTTACACTTAATGTGAATTTAGCACTTAAGTTATTACTAAAAAAACTATTACCAATATAAAATATTTAAAATCTAAAGAAATTTAACCCTTCAATTCAAAAGTTGTGAAAACTAACCGAACTTGACATCCCGTCCTTAGTTGGTCTGTAAGAGGTGTTCTAAGTTCAACATTTTTACACTTAATTTGAATTTGAAACTTAAATTTCTAATTAAAAAAAATTACTAAAGTTAGTACCTACACAAATATAAAATATTTTCAATTTTAAGAAACTTAAGTGTTAAATTCTAAAATTATGAAAACGAACCGGACTTAACATCCCGTCCTTAATTGGTCCTTAAGAGGTGTTTTAAGTTCAACATGTTTACACTTAATGTAGATTTCTAATAAAAAACGTTTTCAAGTTTTGATTTTCGGAATTTAAATCAAACTTTAAGGGTTTTTTGCACATAATATTTTATATACTGTTTTTATTTAACTAAAGTTACCTATAAAGTTCAACATGTTTACACTTAATGTGAATTTAACACTTAGATTTCTAATAAAAGACGTTTTCAAGTTTTGATTTTCGGAATTTAAATCAAACTTTAAGGGTTTTTTGCAAATAATATTTTATATACTGTTTTTATTCAACGAAAATTACCTATACAAAATATTTTCAATTTGAAGAATTTAAATTCAATATGTATACATTTAATGTAAATTGAACATTTTAAATATTTTCAATTTTTATTCTTGGATCTATAACTAATTTTGAAAAAAAAATCACAAATTATATTTTAAATAAACCGTTTTGGTTAAACTAACATTTGATTTATAAAAAATACTCTTTTTCAGCACCCAATTGAATTTTTAAAAGCATAGATTTGTTAGGTTTTTCGTGGATGATAAGTGTTAGCACGTTATCCATGTTTTACTTATGACTTTACAAATTGGACATCTACATATTCGACGTAATTAACGAAATGGAATAAAGCAAACTTTATTTGTGCTTTTATTGGTGGAGTATAACAATATCCGATCTTGCAAGATGCCAAATACTTGCTGCTGTTTTGATTTTTTATCATCTAATCTAAAGTATCAACCCTTTGTGTGAAATAGAAAAGAATTCATTTATTCACAAACTTTATTGGGATCTTTTTTTTTTTTTTTTGACAGCTATTGGGATCTTTATCTTCTAATTTTCCTATGAATACTTAACGCATATCATCTATATTCTTTTTTTTTTTTTTTTCAAAGTATATCATCTATATTCATTTTCACAAAACAATGTTAGATACATTTCAGCATATGTCACTATGATCAAAACTTGATTAACACTTTCGTCTAACCATTCTAATTTTTTTTTGTACAGTTCTATTTTTTTTTTTGTCAATATACAGTTCTATTTGTTGTATTATATTTGGGTTGTCTTTATTTTAGTGGCTTTGGAATATATGGATTTGAGAGGATTACAATATATTCTATATCTGTAAAGCGAAGGAGAAAGAAACAATGTTAAGTGTCAACACCTTCAAAGGCAAGAAAATGAGATTCTAATACACTGTAAATGGACTTCACTAGCTTCTCCACAGACTTTATTTTTGTCAATTTGATATTTACATGTTTTCTCTCGATTTAATATATTTTTCTGTATGTTAGTTAACCAAAAATTAACTACATGACATATTGACATTTGATTTACGTTTTTGATATATTTGCAAATAAAACGTGATATCAACTAACATCAATTTATACTAGGCATACATATATACCTCAAACTCTCCATTGTACAAGTTTCTATTTTTCTGCAAACGTTACATCAATAATTCGCTCTTTTTTTTATCATACCTCTACTCTCTCTAGTCTAGTCTCCTCTACTTGTGTAACACAAAATGGCAAATTCGTTATTTTTGTTCAGAGTGACATAATTTTTCCTTTTGGTCAAAATTGTCACCAAGTTCTGTTTACTAAAACAAGAATGTTAATTAACTCAACACTATGTTGATTCTTTCAAGGCTTTCAACATCTTTGAAATCAAGAGACCCGTCTCCTTCAGCATCATAGCTCGCATGAACACTATAAAACACATATATGAGAACTGCTAATCCCGAGAAGAACCCGAATCTGATATACGAAGGAGCATCCAATGATCCAAGCAAGAAAATGTTCAAAAATATTGAAACGCATGGAGTCCACGGCATCAACGGTACACCCCAAAACTCAGGGATCCTAGCTTGAGGTACTACACAATGGAATATCTGAACGATGGCTATAGCCGTGACCGCGCTGGCTCCGAGTATGAACCATTTAGGTGGGCCTCGCGGTGCAAGTTGCCAGACTAAGGTGAAGAAAATTGAGGTTATGGAGAATAGGCAGAGGAAGGAGAGTGTTGGCCATGGCTTGGTGTATCCGACCGCTACATAGCGGCGAAATATAACAGCGTTTGCGACCATGTAGAAGACGAATAGCGTTCCAATGGATACTAGGTTTAGGAGGACGTTTAGGTCGGTGAAGAGGGCGAGAAACGCCGTGAAGATTCCTGACCAAACAGTAGAGACAACATTTGGAAGTTAAGGGATATGCCGAGATCCATATTCTTTAGTTAGTTTAATCAATCAGATTGGTATCAAGTAATGCAGATATATTCGAAGATGCTATAAAGTCGAGTTTCTAATAAATTGAATATTTTGCAAGAATATGTTCCATTAGTTCACTTGGTGAATGACACCTTTTTGTGAAAGATTTTGAGCTTTGTTCCACGTTCAAGATCTCTTTTGGTCTTTGTTCAAAAAGATTGTAGATCAAAAGTCTCAGAATTTTTCAAAAAGCTTTTAAGTGTCTATATAAAAGTTAGTGGATGCAAATTTGGTAAATGACAATTGTTTTATTTGAGGCATAGAGTATCTGTACATAATTTTAATATTTTTTCGAGTATTTTGGTTTATAGAATATAGTATCCAATACGTTTAGATCAGCACTCTAACTTTGGAATAAATAAATTTATTAGAGACCAATGCTTATAAGAAGGAATATGCAATTGAAAACAAAAATGTGGGTCTAGATTCGCTTCCACGACTCATGCATTTTGGTAAAACTATAGTATAAAAAACGATTCCAAGATCTTACTCACCAATATTTAACTAATATACATTATTTGGTGAGACTAATGACATGACCTTAAGATGTTATGCGTGAACTTTGCATGGAGTGGGAAATTTGAGAGCTTGAAACAGAGAAAAAAGCTGAATATATACACTAAAAACAAAAAGGGACCAAAGAGACTCAACAATATGTCACAATCAAAACCGTTGAAAAGATTGAAACCATTTGGTGAACACGACCACGACATTTTTATCGTATACGATGCTCTAAATTAAGACCCAACACCAAAAATCACATAAGAACATAAGACTATGGCCTACATTAATATAGAAACTCAGTCACACAGCTTCAAAACCATAATCCCAAACAAAATCAGTTGGAGAAATTCTATGTTTTAAATAGTAAACAACAAAATACAATTTTATTGTTTTCTCCTTCCCTACAAGTATATGTATGTAAAATCAAGTGAAAAGTATGATATACATTACACTGAAATCCAAAAAGATCATGGAAACAGACAAACAAACAAAAACCAAAAATGGATGTCCCCACTATCAAACTGTCTCTTTATCACTTGTTGTAAATAAAACAAAGAAAAAACATAAAACCGATCTTCACGAAAGGAAAATTCCAACATAACCAAAAAAAAACGATTTAACTTATTTTTCCTAAATTTGATCATAATTTTAATTTAATAGAATAAAAATAAATGTTATGAGAGTGAGGACAAAAAGTTACCAAGAAAAGCGGAAGCGTTGACTGGAGTAGATGTCTTGGGATGAACCTTAGCGAACCAAATGGGGACAACTCTTGACCGTCCGATGACACACATGTACCGAGCCTGACCCAACATGGCTACTAACAACGACGTTAATATCCCAAAACTTGCTCCTATCCCTACCGCTTTCGTCACCCATTCCCATCCTTCCGATTTACTAAACGCCGCCGAGTACGGTGCTTCCGGATCTATCTGCGTACGTACACACAACCACACGAGATCATTACCCAAAACCAATAGGAAAAAACTCTTAAATTCAAAATTTGATTTTATGTTACGGACCAGATCGTACGGGAGAAGCATTGACATAGAGATAGCCATTAAACAGTAAAGTACAATGACGATTGCGACCGAGCCAGAGATTCCCATTGGTATGTCTTTGACCGGGTCTTTTACTTCTTCAGCCATTGTCGAAACGGCGTCGTATCCTATGTAGCTTAGGTAAACCATTGCTGCTCCGTTAAACACACCCGAAACCCCGAACGGGAAGAATCCGGATGGATTTTCCGGGTTATCGGGTCGGGTTAGATTCTTTATGTCTCCTTTCCAGAAACCCATGACGATCACGAATACTAAGAATGCAATGTGTAACGCCGTTAAAACCATATTCACCTTCGAACTCTCTCTCGTACTGTAACAAATGATGAACGTGACGGTGAGGACGACGATAACGGCGATTGGATCGATTACGTTGAATCCGTTTGGGAGACCGGAGACGATGAATCTCCACTCCGATGCTGAGATTCCGAAAGCAGATCCGAGATAAGCTGTGAAGCCTCTTGAAACGGCGGCGTTTGACATTACGTAGTCCATTATCAGATTTGCTCCGGTTATAAACGCCGGGAACTCGCCTGTAACGGAAAAATTGAATGATCGGAGAAGAACGAAACGGTTACAGATTTGAAATTTGAATTTCTCTGAGATTTGGGAGTTTTGATTTTGGCGGGAGAGTGTACTGACCGAATGTGATACGGATGTAGCTGAAAGCACCGCCGGCGACGGGAAGGTGGACGGCGAACTCGGTGTAACAGAAGGCGGAGAGGAGAGCGGAGAGTCCAGCGATTGCGTAGGAGACAACGATTGATGGACCAGCGTAGAGACGACTAGCACGGCCGGTGGTGACGAAAACGCCGGCTCCGATCATTCCGCCAATTCCGAGACCGATGAGATCGTACCAACGGAGAGTGCGGCGCATCTGCTCGCCGGAGACGGCGCGGACGCGGCTCATCTCGTCGTAAGAGGTGGAAACGGAAACGGCGCGGCGGGAAAAACGGGAGGGAGTGTCGGAGAGAGAGTTGAGGTAGACACGGAGGCTAGAGAAGGAGGTGTCTCCGTCGTGGTTCCGGTATTGGGCCTCCATTTCGGATTCGGATTCGGATCCGGGTCGGGTCAATATGTAACGGATTATAATGTGTTTGAGAGTATTTCAAACAAGTGGTTTTATAATGTGAGATTGCAAAACACTGAGAGAGACGGAAAAAAAATGAGCCGCTTTTGGTGTAATTATTACAAGCTTTGGAAACGCTAATTCGTTTTTTTGGTTTTTGTTTTTGGTCAACTTGGATTTATGATCACATAAGCATCGACTAAAATAAATAAATCACGTAAGCATTAACCCAAAGATTCTGTAATCTGTTCGGTCTAGCCATTTTTATTATTTAAATTTTAACACCAAAGATTAAATTCCTAGTTTAATTGTTTTCTTTCTGATTAATTGTTGGGAGACTCACAAAAATGCCCCTTTTTTAATACCCCTTTTCAAAAATGCCCCCTTTGGATGTCCATTTTTAAAAATACCATTTAATTCGGTTTGGTGTCAAGAGTGACCAACCAGTAACCGGGATCTTAGCAATCCGTCGCATTATTCACAACTAGGTAAATAATTATGATTTGATATATTGCCCTTAATTTGTGTGAAGAGATTTTGAAAAGAAAAGAGAAATGAAATACTCACAATAAAAATTTAGTATTTGTACCGATTTGGAAAAGGGAAATATACAAAAAAATGAGAAAATAAACAATTTTTGTTTCTTTCATATTAAAGAAAGTACTTCACTAAGTTCTTAATTTACAAATTGAAAATTTTGACTATTTATTTTATTTTTGTGTTGTAATTAAGTTCTGTAACTTTTTGTATTTTAATTGCTAGCCCGTGTGGAAACATAAATTTATTTGTACACGTATCATAATCTAATTGGCTGTAAATTCGTCATTATTTGTACATGTATCATAATTTTAATTGCTAGCACGTGTGAAAATATAAATTTATTTGTACACGTATCATAATCTAATTGGCTGTAAAATCGTCATTATTATAAAACACATTTAACTTTTAATAAAAAGATATAGGTAACTAAATGAATGACAATAAATCAGTAGAAAGAAATTAAATAAAGACATTGTATGCAACATAGCAAAATCAGACATTAAAGTTAATTACCCATAAATAAAAGAAAAAATGGAAGAAAACTTAATAAACCCCAATTAGAGAGAAGATAAGCTATAAATTTTTTTGTTACTTGAGTTTGTTTATAAGCTGCTACGTCCCTTACGAGAGTTATATAGTTCTCCAGATTCACAACTTTTTGTTTTGTAGACTTTATTTTTCTTAATTTGTTTTGGGAATTATGGCTGAAACTTCATGGACGAGAGAGGAGAACGAGAAGTTCAAGAATGCACTGGTGTTGTTCTCTGCCTTTTTGCCTACTCGGTTCCAGATTATCGCGGAGAATGTGCAGAAATCGGTGGCTGATGTTAAGGAGCATTACAAGGAAATGGTCAATGATCTTTTAGAGAGGGGATCCAGTCGAGTTGCTTTTCCTAATAAATTGACTGAGGCTATGGCTCAAAGATCGTACCAGGCCGAGAGAACTAAATGGAACAAAGAAACACATGAGTAAGTATATATAAAGCAAACCCTTCATAAAAAATTGAGTAAGTATATATAAAGCTGATTGATGAGTTAAGATTTTTATTAGTTAGTGGAATTTACATTTGATGATAGAATAGCGGTATTGTTTTGCGGATCTAGCTAGACACTATATTAGTTTATTTTACTTTATCTCTTTTAAATTAAGATCATTAGCTAATTGCATGGTGAAACTTGATTAATAATGGGCTGATATATATCAGATTTCTCACGTATATGAACTGGTGGAAAATTGTAATGCAGATGGTTTCTGATCGGGTTAAAGCGGTTTGGGAAAGATTGGCGTAAAATAGCCGTCTTATTGAATTCCAAGAATCCGAAGCAAGTGGAGATATATGCACATAACTATTTCAACTGGCAAAGCTCAGAGGAAAATGTGATGAAACGCCCTAGAGCCAACGACATAACTGTGGAGAATACGGAAGTGAATGTGATGAAACGGCAGAGAGCAAATGACATGGTGGACACCAATGTGGGCTCAACGGGCCAACAAGAGAGTCTCGTCGTTCATCCGCAGCCACAACATGAGCCGATTGTTATGCAAATCTGTCACCATGCTAAGGCCTCCAACTCAAAGTGTATTAACAACTAAAAAATAAAACGCGTTGTGAAACAAATTAAAGCCTAAAGACATTGAAGGCCCTTGATTATTTTTGTGTTGTATATTAAAGATTTGGGATTTCCATTTTTGTAAACCATATTTTATTTACTTTTGTGGCCAGCTATTTTATTTTCCTTAATTAACCATTAAAATATTACATATTTTAATGTTTTTATTTTTTGCGTTTCTTAGCTAAATGGAGCTTTTAAGTTAAGTAGTATATATAAAGTTGGGGTTCAATAGGAAACAAAATAACTTGAAATCTCCTTAATTACTCTCCAAAGTAACAAAATAACTTGGAACAGTTCAAGTGTATAGGATAATTAATGATTATATAAAGTATAGGATTATATGTTAGTTTTTATTTTAAATAGTTTCAAAACATTAACAAAAGCCAAGATATTATTATTTTTTAAAATGAATAGTAGATCACACTAATTAAATGATCTGTCTTTCAGTTAATTTAATTTATATATATAGAAGCTAAGACCAAAATTTTATAAGAAGCTGTACTTCTGAATTCTTTCTTTTACTGAATGGTAAGCTATAAAGGGCCGCGTAAACACGTTTAAAAGAAGGAAAGCTATTGAGTTAGATATATAATATGGGGGTTAAGAACGAAATAAAGAAACCCGGGTTTCTTTTGTTAAATTGAGAAAAGATGAGGGTTAATTTTGCAATTTCCCCTATTATTTCTCAATATAAATTCGATAGGAAACGGAAAAAAAAACCTCAATAACATATTATAAATTGCGAGCTAAATTTGTAATTTCCTATTATATTCCGGCGAAATCACCTCAATAACAAACCCTCTTCAGTGACAGAATCCACAAACGATTTTTCTTGATTCTTCTTGTTTTTCCGCGATCTCTTGATTTTTTTTTTTTCATTTTCTTGGATATTATGGCTTGGATTCCGCCGTGGACGAGGGACGATGACAAGCGTTTTGAGTTAGCCCTGGTGATATTCCCGGAGGGCTCGCCGTCGTTTTTGGAGAACATCGCTCAGCTTCTGCAGAAACCTTTGGGGTTGGTAAAGTACCACTACGACGCATTGGTCTACGATGTTGCGCTTGTCGAATCGGGTAAGTATGCTTTACCCAAGTACCCGGACGACGATAACGTGTCACTGACGGAAGCGACTCAGTCCAAACACGGGATTCCTTGGACAGAAGAGGAACACAGGTTAGTCAAAGACTTATGAATTAGGGTTTCTTTTGATTGTGAAATTAAAAGTCTTAAACCTTGCTGGAGTTGATGATTATAAAAGAATGATTAGTTTGGGTTTTGTTGATTTAAGTATAAGTTAAGAGTTAAAATGTTACAAAGAATGTTGATTATGATAATCTTGGGGATTGATTTTTCTGATTAACGTCTTTCGATTGTTGAATTAAGATGATGAATAATCGTGTTTGTGAGGGGATGTTTTGACCTTGATTACTTATGGGCTTTTGAATGTTTAGATTGTTTCTGGATGGATTGAACAAGTATGGGAAAGGAGCTTGGAGTATGATATCAAGGGAATTTGTGAAGACAAGGACCAAAATACAAGTAGCAAGCCATGCACAGAAGTATGACAAAAGGCAAAAATTGGACATTAATAAGAGGAAACGCAGGAGTATCCATGACATAACGTCGGAGTCTACCATGGGCAAGCCAGATAACTTTGGAGTCTAACTTGGAGTTGTTCCTTTTCTGTAGTTTCAGTATATGAGGATATGAGTTCGCTTGATGTGTATAGGATGATGACGATATCAAGTATATGAGTATATGATGAGTTTTGCTTGACGATGATGTTTTAGTGTTTAGGGGGATGATGATGACGATGATTGATGAAGCGTATAAGACCGGTTTGAACAAACTATAAATGTTTTGTTTTGCGACCCTTTTGGTATTTTTTTTTTTATTTTTTTTTGATAAACACTTTTAAAGAAAGAGAGCTATTTGAGTTAGATATATAATAATATGGGGGTTAAGAACGAAATAAAAATATATAAGTCGGGTTTCTTTTGTTAAATAAAGAAAAGACGAGGGTCCCTATTATTTTCTCACTATATAAATCTGATAGGAAACGAAACAACCCTCGATATCAGCAGATTCCTTAAAAAATTTCTTCAACACATTTTTTTTATTTTGTCGCTTCTATCAGATTCCTGATCTTTAGCGATCTCGAGATTGCTCTCTTTTTCTTGGATATTATGGATGAAATTCCGCTTTGGACGAGGGTCGATGACAAGCGTTTTGAGTCAGCTCTGGTTCAATTCCCAGAGGGTTCGCCGTATTTTTTGGAGAATATCGCTCAGTTTCTGCAGAAACCGTTGAAGGATGTGAAGTACTACTACCAAGCGTTGGTCGACGATGTTGCGCTGATCGAATCGGGTAATTTTGCTTTGCCCAACTACAGGGACGATGATTACGTGTCACTGAAGGAAGCGACTAAGTCCAAAAACCAGGGCACGGGGAAAAAGAAGGGAATAGCTTGGTCACCAAACGAACACAAGTTAGTCAAAGACTTATGAATAAAGTATTTCTTTGGATTGTGGTTTCAAAGTCCAAATTTAAATCTTGCTAGCTAGGGATTATGGATTAGATTTTCTGTTGACTAGGGAAAGTATATAGCATAACAGTTTAAATCTTGTTAGGGTTGATGAACTAGGGTTTTGTTGGTTAGGGGTAAGAGGATCGTATATATATCACGTATTTGCTAAATATAGATGAATATAATATTGTTGATTTTTGGTTGATTAATGAATGATATTTAATTTTGTAGATTGTTTTTGGATGGACTAAACAAGTATGGGAAAGGAGATTGGAAGAGCATAGCGAGGGAATGTGTGAAGACAAGGAGCCCGATGCAAGTGGCTAGCCATGCTCAGAAGTATTTTTTAAGGAAAAACAAGAAGGGGAAACGCATGAGTATCCATGACATGCCTCTGGGAGATGCGGATAATGTAACCGTCCCTGTATCCCACTTGAATTCTACGGGCCAGCAGCCACAGTTTGGAGACCAAATTCTTCCGGATCATTATTACCACTGCTCCCAGGACAATGTAACCAATATCCCTGGATCCAACTTGGTGTTTATGGGCCAACAACCACATTTTGGTGGCCAAATTCCTCCAAATCAAAGTCACCCCTACTCCCGGGACAATGTAACCGTCCCTGAATCTAACTTGAAGCCTATGGGCGAGCAGCCACATTTTGGTGACCACATTTCTCCGGATCAATATGACCGCGACTTCCTGGACAACTTCGGGTTTTTCTATGATGATGGTGAAGATGATGGGAGTTTAGCAAGCTTTGAAAAACTATATTATAAGGCTTAAGCTTTATGATGAGATTTTCTGGTTTTGGGTTTTAGAGTTTTGTTTCTGGTCTAGACTTTAGTTGTAAAATTAACTTGAATGGTCATTTATTTTATTGTTTGGTTTCTAACAATTGTCTGACAATTTACACTTATGAACATGACAACAAAACAGAAAAATTTTTCTATATATGAATATTTGTCTTCAGTTGGAGGAAGGATGATTCTTCTCCTCGTCTTTTGGTCGGATCTTCGTTATACCTTTGAATTCATAGGCCATATCATTGGTAGTTGATCTCAATGTGGAAGCCGTATAAAGAGGTTATATATAGTTCAGTGGTTTGTCGTCAGTTTTGTTGTAACTTTGTTTTTTCTTTCGAATTTGCAAATTGGCTTCGAGTAATCGTGTTAGATTGCAACTGACTATATGAAGTTATTCGCCCATAGCAGCAATACCAAAACCTCAAGAACCGGACAAGTACTTAAAAACTCACCATAAGACAATATCTTGGTAGGGAAAACCAATATACATACACTTACATATTTGAAAAACTTTTTGCCTTTTTTTAGGATCATTCATATTCATATTTCATTTAGGTTGGTCAGCTTTTCTGTCTTTGCATTTGTTACGCAGGTAAGAATGAAAACCTTATGTGAATCATATGTCAAAGAAAGTTCTGTAAGCAACAATTAATAGAGATCTTTCTTGATCATAATACTTAAAAAATAAAAAACTGTGATCAAGTAATGCAAGAAGTATGCATACTGCACAGTTTAAACATTTATTAGTCGAAATATCAGTTTATTGATCAAGCTAACACTGAAAAGAGAAAACAAATTACAGAGGAAACAAAAAAACAAAACCAAAAACCAAAAGGTTTGCCAGTAATCTTATTAGTTATTCATCTCTTTTTCTTTTGCCTCCTAGTAGACCTTGGTGGATTTGAGTCATACTTGGAACATAGTTAAACAAAAATGGCCAACATTCGACTAATCCAAAATCAACTTGTGTGACTTTATTGTCCTCTCCAATAATGTAGACCAAGTTTTTGCCGTCTAATTCAGTTACCATGAATTTGTCACAACACACGATGACTTTCTTCTCCTCATCGACCAAGAAACTTATTCCATTCCATATATAAAATTCGGAGGGGACATCTAGTGTAAAGAGTAAGAGCATGCTCCACGATACCACTTTGGTCTCACCAATCTTATTTGTCAGCCATATCTCTATGTTTGATCTACTTTCGCGTTGCAACAACACCGAAAGCTTCTCGTCTCTAATAACTGATAGAGACACAGTTTCGAAAATAGGACACTGATACGGAAGACATTGACGTCTAAATCTTTCGGTTGTATAATCAAAACTGAGTAAAAATACGCCAAGCTGTTCTTGTTCTTCATCTGAAGCAAACCAATAAGTGTTTCCTTTCAAAGACACGCCGTAATCAGTATGGTTTACGTGGCACTTACGAGTTGCATCAATAATCCTCCATGAATTAGAGTCATTAGAGTTAATCTCATGGATTGCAAATTCTTGGCTGGCGTAGCCTTTAGTTAAAGACCCATTGTTACAGCTCAATATTTTGTAGCTATTACCGTGGGATTTGTGGTCTTGGTAGGATCCAAGAGCACAGTAGTCGCAATCATCTATGGGTTGAATACATCTGGTTTGACCAGTGCACGGGTTCCAAACCACGATTCTAGTGTGGTATACGTTGGTGCATAGTAATAAGCCATCACAGTGAAAGACTTTATCAATATCGAATTGATATTCAAAACTATAACGAGAGTCGATTAGGCTAATTGCACCTGTGATCTCTACAGATATGGTGGAACTCCATGGAGGTTGACGCTCACTGAACAAACCCTAAACTCGTTCAACATGAGAATCAGAAACTCCTTTGCGGCTATACGGAAGTGCTTTCTTGTGAATCTTCCACTTCTGCATATATTGTCCCATCGTTTGCAAGTAGATCGTACCTTCTTCAGAGATTTGGCCGGAACGCGACAAAGTATCTCCTCTCACAAATCACCTGGAAGGTCCTTCATCATTGTTGATCTCTCTAAGCAAGAAACTGCAGTGACTTCCATTGTTATTTGGAGGTTTTCGTTCCCCTTTTGCTATAGGGTCAATGATATTAATTTATCATTTAATTAATTTGATATTTGCCTAACAGGATGAGTAGAGGAAGCCAATGTATGAATATATTTTGAGACTGTTGGTTTGGTATTACCCTTACCCGAAAGTTGCTGGAGAGGAGTTTAGAACGAGGAAAATATGCCGCCGTCCCGACAAAAGTGCACGCCTTATCATCTGCATTAGTCATCAGTTTAAGGACAGGCTTCAAAATCCGAATCCGAAAACAACTATCAAAAAGACCTTAGGCTAAAAAAAAAAGACCTTCATATTACCAGAAGCTGCATTAGGTAGGAAGCACTGTGATTTGGCTGGCTTGCATTGGCTTTACGCTACCAAAATCGGCAATCTTAATATGTCCATCTGAAGTTAACAACAGATTCTCTGGCTACTCAATCAAAATTTAGGGATAATTGTTAGCAAAATGATGTCCTTGTTGGATATTAAAAGAGATGATATGTGAAAGAGAAGCTACCTTAATATCTCGATGTATCAGTCCCATATTATGTATATACTCAAGAGCGTCCACAACTTGTGCACTGTAGAACCGACCTTTCTGCCAAACACAAAACAAAACCATAACGCAACTACATTTTGAGAATATGAATCAATCTCCTAGATTCTGAAATAATATCTTACTCTGGTGATTTGATCGAAAAGTTCCCCACCTTGGCAAGACTCAAGCGCCATGTCTACAAAAATGAGAATGACCCAATAATTACAGCCTTTCAAACACACACACACACACTAGTGAAAACAATTAATGGTGTATGGAAACAAAGCCACTTGAATAGAAACTACCTACATAGTGATTGTGTATCTTGAAAAGTAAAGAAGAGTTTCACAATCCCGGGATCAAGAACAATCCTCTCCAATTTGACATAAGCTGTTTTATTCTCCTTGGTGATAAACTTTTTGTCCATGATCTTCAAGGCATACATACATACACAGTTCCATTATCCTTGTTGTTCCCTCAAACAACCTGATTCGATTATACATAAGCAAAAAATGAGCTTCTATGATGAAGTTTCCATTTCCCACCAAAAAAAAAAAGGTCCAAGATATGTATCAACTAAAGGATCAATTAAGCAAACAAACACCCGATTACAAAAATTCATCAAGATACAAAAATCAGTAACTATTCAATCGTCTAAAATTGATTCAAGAATCAAAGAGAGAATTTTTATAGGAATAGTCAGACGGAAACAATGAATTGAATCGAAAAAATGAAACCTTTGAATAAGAGCCAACGCCATAGATCTTGCCGAGCTCGAAATCATGGTAAGTGAGGAGCCTTAAAGGCGAGGCTTTTGCTTCTGGAAATAGTTTCACCATTTGAAGATGAATTCCCTTGAAGAGCAAGCTTTGAATCAAATTCCTTCTCCGTAGTCAACATCTCCCTACGAGACCCATCCAAAAATCAGAAAGACCCAAATTGGATCTTGAAGCTTATGATGTTATTTTCAGGTGCAGTTGTGAGTTCCAATTTCGAACTTTCAATTGGATGAAGGGGGAGGCGAAGAAGAAGACTCGGAGGTAGTGACACATTTCTCCTTCTTCATCAGAACTCCGCTTTAAAAATATTATCTATATTTAATTTTAAAGATGTTTACGGACCAATTAATCTAGACGAATCATTGACATAATAAGAATTTTATTCGGTTTATTAAATACCTAGTTGGTGCAATAAATTATGATTCGTTTGGAGTGTTAATTGTGTTATCTAAAGTGCATAAGAAACTTCATGAAATAGAAGCTAATGTTAATAGTCGCGCAATTGTAATAATTGCTCGCTATAAAAAACTTATATGTACTGATAAAACCGATAGTGGAGCATTGAAACAATTGCTCGTAAAACACTTTTATGTACTAACAAAATTCCCAAAGCCAGTCTTCTGCTTTTATGGCTGGAGAATATTTGTTGCATGATCCTTGACTTGCTTGTCGGTTCTAGTTAGAACATATTTCTTTGCAATCTTAGCCCAAGCATTCCCAAATTCGGCATGTCCTTCTAAAAATTGACTGTATTTCACAGTGATGTTGATGATGAAACCTGCGGGCTTAGTTGAACCTCCTGATGTAGACCTTAACAGAGTAGCTAAACTGATCCAATCATCATCCCAGTGTCCCACTTTTTCAAATTACTGTAATCTATAGGGGCTTTGATCCTTTATTCGTTTTGGACTAGAAAATAAACTAAAGATTTTTCCATGGGATTGTAGTTCAATTGGTCAGAGCACCGCCCTGTCAAGGCGGAAGCTGCGGGTTCGAGCCCCGTCAGTCCCGGCAAATTCAATACATCAACTCCCAATTCTCCTTTAGAAAACATAAAATTGAACCACGATTTTTCCATAGAGCTTCTGGCCTCCTCCCGGTGTCTTGCCAGAAGCTCGTTTTCTAACCAAAAAAAACGACAAATAAAGTGGGGGTTTCCAGAAGCCCAAGAAGACAGAACTTCCTTAACCAACTACCAATTAAAAGAGTAAAACACTTCCTTTGGATAAACTGATTCAAACAGATAGATTTCTTTTCGTTGATCGGATCGAGCACATAGGAATTTTTACATTAATAGCAGGTCTGATTCCAGCATTAAAAAGATCGGCGGATAAGAATATTTTACTTGGAGTATCCGCTTAAGTGAGAAAAGGAACTTGATTTAGCTTGAACCTTGAGCCGTAGAAGAGGACCTTTCAGAAGGACGGCTGGCTTTAGCCCTTGAGCATGGACAAGTGTTAGAATGTCTTTGTTGTAAGGAGAAAGGTAGATAAAACAGAATATGCAATGGGTTCTTAATCATGTTCAGTGATTACAGTTTGATATAAGTGGAGGAGTTTGGGAAAAGTAAGTTTGAACTTTGAATAGAACCAATTATAAAAATTTTTGAGTGTTGGTTTGGTATTACATAGGCATTTTCAATACCAAATTTGATCCATCTTCATGTTGTGGTGCTTGGTATGGATTGAATTGCTGCAAGAGGATTCACTTGGTATGAAAACGCAAGCTTCCAGAAATCTACTATTGCTTTTCTCGTGGACTCCATTTGCCTGCGAATGATCCTGAAACAAGTAAAGAAACACACACAGCTTATATTGTGGTTCACAATGTATTTCTTCATCACACAACTTCTGATCATTCAAGCAAGCTTAGAAGGATTCTTACCGTATCAAAGCAGCTCGTTTTCTCTTCAAGGCATAACATATGATTAATCCAACAAGGCTTATGGCAAACTTTCCCCTGGACATGCTAAATTGGGTATTACCAACCTTGAGGCTTAGAGGATGGGATGACCAAAGTGACCAAGGTTCATGTTGTTTAGAGAGTTTCAGGACAGAATCAATCTTATCCTTCTTTTCATTAGCCAACGACTTCTTGTTATTCACTACAGCATAAGAAGAATCTTTAGAATTTTCCTCAAAAGAACTAGCGTCTGGAACGTTTGCTGTTTTGAATGAAAGTAACGAATGCAATCTTCTCAAAATCCCCTGAAATAGACAGTTTAGAGTAGCATCTTAGTTGGAACACATTCACAAGTTCATACACAACTCACGAAAGGGTCCAATAGTACCTGTCGTCTTTCCTCAGGTAACGCAGCTTTCTCAACCCATGAAATGGCTAGGCCTATGTCGTTTGAAACTTTTGCAAGAACTCCAAAGGTATACAGCTCCACTACTTCCATGTACTCATCAATATCTAAACAGTTTTTCTCATGGAATCCTTTTGCACTTACTCCAGCATCATTTAGGATATAGTGGCTGTCCTTGTAAACCCATATGCTAAAGAACTCTTCCAGAATCTCACATACACCCGAGTAGGAACCATTTGATATTTGAAGGCATATTCTAAAGAGAAAAAAGGGAAGAAGATCAATAATCTAGATTTCTAAGTTTCTACAGTATTGTTCTGTGACTTTTGTCTATGCTAATGCATTCAGAGAGCCGTCTTGTACTCCCGTTAATAAGTAAAAGTTAGCAAATAACACGACCTCTCAATTCTTTTCTCTCACTGTCCTCTTCAGTTATGAATGTCATTTACTCCTAGTTCTGAAACATATTTCAGAAATAACCAACCTTTCAAGCGTATTAAGCTATAATAATGTCAAAGAAACAGAACAAGAACGATACCCAGTGAGAAGAACTTGAACAGGAATAGCTGCAACTTCTCCAAACACATCTCTTAACTCATTCACAATCTCAACTGTCCTGCATGAAAAAGGAATTTGTTAGCAAAACTATCACATAGCCAAAACTCTAAAGTTTCTTACAACATCCAATTCCAAATAGAAGTAAGAGGGAAAAGTACTAATCATAGTAGAACATCTGAATACAATCATGAAATATACCTGCTGATTCCATGCAAGGATTGGACTAAAACCATGCCAGCAGATTCTAAAATATCATGAAACTGATGTTCTCCCTCGGATAGAACATCAATGTTGCCAAATATTATTTTCAGTGTAGAAGAGGATAATGACTCTGCCTCTTCATACATAGAGCACACTAGGTAACTATACACATCAAAACAAAAAAAAACAAAAATGAGCAATCAAAATTGGAACTGACCCAATTTATCAGCTTAAAAACTGAACAATTATGAGATAAATTGGAGTCATCATCATACGCATTTTCGGTTTAACTTGTTCTCGTGAATTATGCGATGAGTCGTTTTTCTTCAACTTGTATACATAATTGAATCAAAACCAGACAGATTATTCTTGTGAAAACTAATTCTGGGAAAATTTGACTTTCTCCTTATACGCATCGCCAAGTACGGAACCAAAATTCGCAAAAAAAGTAGCAAGCATGAACAACTAAAATTTAAGCAAATTCTCACGAGTACCTCTCAGAACGTTCAATTTCTCCCCAAATATCAGTTGCATCCATTGTTGGAGGTATTGGGAGAAGCTTATCCATAGCTTTGATTTGAGACAACATGGCGAAGAGATTGATTATGCTCGAATGAAGAAGAAGACGAGGGAGAGGTAATAATTGTGGGTATTTGCTATTGGGCCAAAATAATGGGCTTCTCCTTCACAAATCTAATCAAAGCAAGCTAAGCCCAGCCAAACCAAACAAACCTGATTAGCATTATTATTGTTGTTGGGCAATTACTAGTTTCGCATAGCAGTGATACTGATACATTGTGTGAACACAACTGTTATTTATTTCAAACATTAATAATTATGATGAACATGGAACTGTCTAGATAAATAACAAGAAGTTAAAATCTGAGCTAACTTTGGCGGCTCGCTAACGACGACCTCCCCACATCACATGCATGTCTTTTTCGTTATTGACATCGATCGACATGTCTTCTCTTTATATCTACTTTGTTTGCAATCTAAAATCTCGATTATAGGTCCTTTTTTCGTGTGCCAATTCTTTCTATCATAATATTCCTTTCGGTCGTTTCATCTATTTCACATTATTTAGGTATTTTCACCATTCTAAATCTCAAGTAATAGATAAGGTTAATTACGTTTCAGAAAAAAATGTTTAATACTTATTTGACTTGCATTGTGGAACTTAAGATAGCTCAACTTTATTACTTTTGGTAGATATTTTCTGGTGTATGTCCGAAATTATGAGTGTTAAGCACAAACTCAAGGTAGCTCAGTTTTACATTGAAATAAAGAAACAAAAGCAAATCATTTATTGATTTGTTTGACAATAAATGAAATCTTTTACTAGAAATTCACAAAGCCCTCGACAAATTTCCAATAGAATAGGTTATTTTCTTTTAATATAAGCACACATCGTTTTCATAATTAAACAAATTTAGACCCTTGGTTTAACCATGGCTCTCAACGGTTTCTTCATTACCACCGTAAACTCCAATTTCCCCGCGAAATCAATTTCACTTCCCGCCGGATAAGCGCTCCACTCAAACTCTTGAACCATCTTCGCTAGCATCAAGTGCACGTGTACGGTCGCCATCGCTAGCCCCGGACAGATCCGACGGCCAATACCAAACGGCATCATTTTAACTCCGGTTACACCGGTTATGTCCGCTTCCTCCTTACCCGCAATAAACCGATCCGGGTTAAATTTCTTCGGATCAGACCAAAGCTTCGGATCCTCATTTATTCCCGGAAGATAAAACTCGACGTTGATCCCAACGGGAACATCGTAACCGCCGACCGTCGTCGGCTCCGTCACGGAGTGAGTCAACGTAAAGTACGTCGGAGGATGTTTCCGTAAAATCTCCTTAACGACGGCTTGTAAAAAGACCATTTTATCCACATCTTTCTCCTCAACCTCACGATCTCCGACCGTTGATTTAATCTCATCGTAGAGCCGAGATTGAATCTCAGGATTCACGATCAGCTGCGCGATACCCCACTCGATCGCCGTCCCCGTCGTATCCGTACCACCGTTAAGAAACTCCGAGCAAAGCGACACAAGCTCTTCATTAGACGGCGTCGTTTTACGACCTTCGGTTTTAAGGTCAAAGAGTGTATCGAGATAAGAGAAAGACGACGCTGTTTTATCAGTCCCCGGATTCTGAATCGCTCTCCGTCGTCTCTCGATGAATTTAACGATGAAATCAACTTGTTCACGACGAACCTCGAGAGCTCTTGCTCTCTCCTTGGAGTAAAACGGAGCAAGGATCGGGAGATAATCATCGAGTCTTGGATTGAGTGTGATCAAAACTTTCTTCATCACTTGATCCATATTCAAAATCGATTCTTCATCCATTTCGATTCCAAAACACATCTCTAAAAGAATACAAAACGCAGCGAATCTTGCGTTTCTTAGTACCCAAACAAGACCGTCGTTGTCTTTAGCTTCTGATTTGATCCTCTCTACGAGTTTATCCATTGCGGATTGCCTCAACGACCCGAATTCTCTGAACCGGATCGAGCTTAACATGTTCTGTACCATGTTCTTTCTCAGGGATCGCCACACGGGTCCGTACGCTGAAGCGTTGACCGTGAAAGTGTTGGAGCTGAAGATGGTTCGGGTCGGATTCTCGGTGGGTCGGGTTGCGAACATTGGTCCACGTTGAATCAGAACGTCGTGGACGAGAGCTGAATCAGAGATGATGATCATTGTTCGACTTCCCATCCTCAACGTGTAGATAGGACCGTATTTTTTCCTTACATCATCAACGTACTCGTAAAACTGCTTCCCGGAGCGCGCGAACTGGAAGAGGTTTCCGACCACCGGCCAACCCGGAGGACCTGGTGGAAGCTTCACGCGCTTTGATTTAGAACTCCGGCGCGTGAGGATCAGTAGAACTAAACTGGATACAAGGATGGTGTAGAAGAGTGAAGGAGGTATATTAAAGAAAGTGGGAGGAAACGAAAGAAGAGACATTTTAGCTTCTTGTTTTTGTTTTTCTTCTTCTTTTCTTTTCACTGAGCTTTGTAGCTATGGAGGATTAAGAATGGAAGGGAGAAGCAGAGGAAGGTATAAAAACAGAGTAGAGCATGATAATTTAGGTGAGGAGAATTAAAAGTTAACCGGTTTTGTGATTGGTTTCATTTAATTTTATGAGGCTGAGTTTGGTATGCACAAGAAGTACGATGACAATTTAAAGTCTTGTCTTTTATGACTACAGTACAATAGTTGTGTGATCGTGGAATTTTGCATGTCAACGTTTTTCAGTTAAAAAAGATTATGTTTTTTTTCCTCAATGTTTTAGCATCAAAAATTGTAAACAAAACAAGATTTTCATATCTCAAGTTTCGTTTTTTCCTCCCATTTCTTGTGTTTTTCATGACAGTTATTTTACCAAATTATCATTCTAAGCTTTTCTTACAAATCATAGTTAAGTTTTTACCCTCAAAGATAACAGAATTCTAAAAGATTCTTAAAGCAAAACATGATTTGAGTTCCAGTATGCTTGTATTCATTTTTACATGAGAGTGTTTATCAGTTTATGCATATTCGATAAAGGATTTATTCATTTTTTAAAATTGGAGTGTCTATATATGAGTTTAAAATGTTCATATGCTAATCCCGCGGCTTTCAGTTTTAAACCCTAGGTCTAACCATGGCTCTCAACGGCTTCTTCATCACAACCGCAAACACCAACCTCCCAGCAAAATCTACCTCGCTCTGCGGTGGATAGGCGAACCACTCAAACTCTTGAACCATCCGTGCTATCATCAAATGCACATGTACCGTTGCCATTCCCATTCCCGGACAGATCCTACGGCCAGCACCAAAAGGCATCATCTTCACTCCAGCGACTCCTGTTATATCGGCGTCTTCCCGCCCTGATAAGAACCGGTCCGGGTCAAACTTTTTCGGCTCGGACCAGATCTTCGGGTCTTCGCTAATTCCCGGAAGATAAAACTCAATGTTGACCCCGACTGGGATGTTATAGCCAGAGAGAGTAGTCGGTTCCGTTACACCGTGACTTAATGTAAAGTAAGTCGGTGGATGTCGCCGGAGAATCTCCTTGACTACAGCTTGTAAAAAGACCATTTTTTCCACATCTCGTTCATCGACCGCACGATCTCCAACCGTTAATTTAATCTCATCGTACAGTCGAGATTGAATCTCGGGATTCGCTATCAACTCTGCGATTCCCCACTCGATCGCCGCCCCCGTCGTATCCGTGCCGGCATTGAGAAACTCCGAACAGAGCGTTACAAGATCTTCATCAGACGGCGTCGTTTCACTTCCTTCTACGACTCTAAGATCAAAGAGTGTATCAAGATACGAGAAAGACGACGCCGTTTCGATCAGAATCACCCTCCGTCTTTTCTCGATGAATTTGACGACGAAATCTACAAGTTCTCGGCGAAGCTTCAGAGCGCGATCTCTCTCATTGTAGTTAAACGGCGTTAAGATCGGAAGGTAATCGTGGAGTTTTGGATCAATGGCGTTTAATATCGCCGTCATCAACTGATCCATCTTCTCAATTGATTCCTCTTCCATCTCAACCCCAAAACACATATCTAACAAAACACAAAACGCAGCGTATCTACTGTTTTTCAGAACCCAGACGAGTCCTTCGTTGCCTCTAGCTTCAGATTCGATCCTCTCGATGAGTTTATCCATGGCGGATTTTCTAACAGAACCAAACTCCTTGATCCGATTCGAGCTAAGCATGTTCTGAACCATGTTCCGTCTCAATGACCTCCACACAGGTCCATACATGGCGGAATGAACTGTGATTTCACTGGAGCTGAATATTTTCCGGGTCGGAGTTTCAACGGGTCGGGTCGCGAATTGGGCTCCACGTTCGATTAACGCTTCATGGGCGAGACTCGCGTCGGAGATGATGATCATTGTTCGAGTACCAAGCCTGAGAGTAAGAATCGGACCGTAGATCTTTACGAGATCCTCAACGTACTCGAAAAACTGTTTCCCGGAGCGAGTGAACTGAAATAAGTTTCCGATCACCGGACATCCTGGTGGGCCTGGCGGGAGATTTAAACGGTTTGAATTGCGTTTCCGGTACGTAATGGTTATAAGTAAACCGGATACGAGAGTCGCTAGTATGGTTAAGAAGACATTATTAGGGAACAAGTCAAGAGAAGTAGAAAGTGATAAGAATGACATTTTTAAAATCTTCACCTCTAGTCAGAGCAGGCTCTAAAGAATATTGGGCCACAAGCCGAAAAAAAATTATGGCCTATAAACTACCTTAAAAACAAAAATTAAAATTAATTGAAATGATTGGGACTTGGGAAAATCGAACCTCCCACCTCTAGTTACCAAACCTCTATACTTAACCAACATAGCTACATAAGATTTTAGTCAAAAATGGGGCCGAAAATTTATATATTTATGGAGGGCCGCAAGCATGTGCCTCACATGCTTCCCTCAAGCGCCGGCTCTGCCTCTAGTGGTTTCTTTTGGCTTTGGAGGAATTGAAGAAGAAGAGAAGAGGAAGCTTTATTATTATAAGAGTGAAAGATTTGTAGTACGCAAATAATTATTGTAATTAGGACGTAATTATTAGGTTAATCGTAACGGTCGTTACTTGACTTGCAAAGTCTTAATTTGATGTTAAATTGTTTTCCGATTTCGTCGTATAATTGCTTTTTTTTAACACCTTCGTATAATTGCTTACCATTTCTATTTTCGATCTACCTTAATTTGTTTACGTGTTCATATCATATTAGACGTGTATAAATTAGCTATAGCCTATAGCAATCGGTTATATGTTATATGAAGTATAAAATCATTTTTTTTCAAAAGTTATACGTTATATAATTTGATGGAAATTGAGAATCTGCTCAACATTATATGGAAACGTTGGATTAGTTACTCGAAAAACCACCTAAGATTGCTTACAAAGCTGATTTGGCCGATCAGCTCGAGGATACAAAGTTACAAAAGTGGTTGAAAACTTATAACATGTTGTAATGTTTTTTTAGTGGTAAGAGGAGGCAACACCAACATGCTATGTGTTATAGATTGACTTAATTAGGTTTTAAAGTGGTTAAAAGTTTACAAATTAGTACCGACATATCATTTGGATTAAAGTGGTGGAATTTGGTATTGAGGAACGGACATTCAAAGAGCGCCGGTAAAGAATCCACCGGTAAACGGTGCAAAAAGTAGTGGGTTCTTTTCTTTTTGGCCATGTATTTTCTATTTTCAAGTATTCTGGTTTTTTGAGTGATTTATATATGCTAAAATAATAAATTTGTGCACAAAAAGTTTAATAAGGTGAAAACTAATGAAAATACTATTAATCAAGGGGAAAACTATTACGGGATTTTTTTGAACCGGCAGAGTATTTGCAGGTTTTGGTCTTTTAATTCAACTTGGATAATCCAGGTGACATGGCTTTGAAGATCATTGATGTTGATGTTTAATACAATTCAAATTGTTGATAAACACCTGTGGATTGTTTCGTAGTTTGTTGTTAAGACGGTGACACATTATTGTGCACAACTAGAGATAAGTTCTACCGTCCAAACTTTAACTTTATATAAGAAAAATATTTGTACATATAATAAGAAACTAAAACATTACTTTGAATAACCATATGTTTTTTTTTTTTGCTGGTTCATTTACTCTTTAGTTAATATTTTAAATAGCGTTAAGATTAAATATTATTATGAAAAACATTTATTATTAATTTTGATAAATATTGTGACTTGACCTTCTTTTTTTTGTTGCCGATAAATACAAATAGATAACACTAACAAAATAAAGTACAAAAGGAAAAAAACGACAACTTCGTACCAAACCAAAACTGTGTCGTATTAATTGTTTGTGGCGAAACAAATCCGTCGTTGATCGGCAGGTGAAGCCTCGTCACCGTCTCTTTATCTCCCTTTCTCATGACGCCGCCGAGACCACCGTCTGGGCGAGCAAGGTCGCTGCGTGATTATTCTTCGGAATCAGAAAAGATGGATGGTACCGGTAGTTGGGACACGCTTGAATGGACCAAACTCGATGTAATTTGCTCTCAATTTCTCTCCTGATTCTAGGGTTTCTCACGCTTATTTCCCTTTTAACCCACAATTACACAGACAACACGTGAATGTCGTTTTTTTCGTATGCAAAAAGCTCATAATTTGGATACGAAATTGATTGCTCAAAAGTTTTAATGTAATTCTGCTTTGGTTGTCTCTTTTTGATGGGTCGCAGTCAGCTTCAGGGTCAGGGTCAGGTTCAGGTTCTTTCTCGAATTTGAGTTGCTTGCTGGAATCGGAGAGGGTCATCGTCGAGGTATGTCTTTAGAGTTGGTCAAAGTGATCTCTTTTATTCGAATTTTCCATCTATGAATTTTTGTTACCATATCCGGTTATTGAATTTGAGACTTGGTATGCAATTTGCTTCACTCGTGTTCTTCGTAAATTAACGGTAAATCCAGTATTGGCTATAGCATTTGTCCATGATAATAGTGTGAAGAATATGATTTTGGACCTTGTTTACAGGGTTATGGAGTTGTTCTTATTAACACCGACGAAGCAGGAACTCTATTGGTGACAAATTTCCGTATTCTTTTTCTGGTATGATATCGTCTTTCCTCTGTTTCTTATATGCATTTGATCCATTTTTCTGGCCAATGTAATAGTTTTAAAATGTACTATACATGTCTTGAACTTACTTATATTCACTATTTCAGCATTAGGCCTTTAGTTTTTAAGTACTGTTGATCAATATATTCTTTGTTTCTCTTTGTGAAGAGTGAAGGAACCAGAAAAGTCATTCCACTTGGAACCATTCCATTGGCAACCATTGAGAAGTTTAACAAAATGGTCAGTTGCTGTATCCCTGGGGACAGAGCTATGTGATTAATACTAATTAAGTTAGGCTCTAGGGTTTTACATTGTTAATTCTATGTATTTTCTGATTTCATGGGTGATGTGTACATAGGTGCTGAAAGTTCAGTCAAGCCCCCGTCAGTCTGACAAGAATCCACCAAGACGTCTTTTACAGGTCACTGGTATGTTTCCGGATTTAATAGTTTCATAGAACTGATTTTGCATAAGTTTTGTTTGTCTGGTTTTCGCGTCATAGCTCAAAATTCGCTATGATGTTGAATTGTGTTTCATTTTTTTTTTCCTTGATTCTTGTCGTCCCAATATTATCTTGGACAGTGGACATCTTCCCACAGTGATGTTGGTTGAAGTTTTTTCTACTTTTCTTACATCTTTATCTGATGCATCTTGTATCTTACTTGACATTATATATTATGATCACCTGCATGTTGCAGGCAAAGACATGAGGATAATTGTTTATGGCTTTCGTCCTCGCACCAAGCAGGTGAAACTCTAACTTTTTCTTATGCTGCCTTACTCATTTCTCCGTAAATTCTGTATAACCTTCAGATCTTACATTTGCAGAGACGTAATGTGTTTGATGCATTACTGAAGTGTAGCAAGCCAGAGAGAGTATGGGATCTATATACTTTTGCATGCGGTCCTTCCAAATTTGGTAACACAAACCCAAAGGAAAGATTGCTTAATGAATATTTCCGTCTTCTCGGAAGAAGTTCAATACGAGCATCAATGGATATGATTGAAGATGGTTCGTTCACATTGTTCAACGAGCTGTGGCGGATAAGCGACTTGAACTCCAATTACAACTTGTGTCAGACTTATCCATTTGCTTTTATGGTTCCAAAATCCATACGGTAGGACACCGATATCTTGTCAGGGATTTAAAGAAGTCTCTATCAATATTCAATACCTTCTAGACTTTTGAGTGCTTCTGTGTTCATATTTTACGAGCTTTCCAGAAAAATCCTCTTCACTGATTTGCCATGTCTTGTTTTGCGCGTAAAGACCATGTTCCTATTGAGTATTGATAAATAATAAAAGATAACAAGTCACTGTTGCTGATAGTGATGAAGAGCTGCTCCAGGCGTGTTCTTTCCGAGCAAGATGTCGCTTACCTGTGATCACGTGGTGTCAGCCAGGTAGGAAGGCAGATATTTTGGTTGCTTCCATTTTAATTGTGGTAGTAATGCTTCCAAAATGATATGCTGATGGGGGAAAAAAATGATATGCTGATTTTGATCTCAAACCTTGATTGCAGGAAGTGGAGCTGTGATTGCACGCTCATCACAACCTTTAGTGGGTCTTATGATGAATATGAGGAGGTATATCGAACTTTCAATTTCACGACGAGACATTTTTGATAACTTTTTAGTTTTAGTTTTGGATTTCAAATTTCTCGAAGCAGTAGATTCTGACTATTAATTTGTTTTATTTTATCCAACAGTAATCTTGATGAAAAACTTGTTGCTGCATTCTGCTCTCAATTACCTGGTGCTAAGGGAGAACGAAGGTGAGCTTAATCTGGTTAACTCTTTATTCGTCTTGTATTTTATGTTTCGTTATAAAGAGTTAAAATATGGTTGACAGTTTTTTTTGTTTGTTTTTTTCATTTACAAGTATGTGTTGAACTCAACTCATGTGGTTTCTATTCACACTTATTATCTCATCTCTTTTTTTTTTTTTTTTTAACTTCTTAGGAAGCTTTATATTGCCGATGCAAGACCTAGGAAGAATGCATTAGCCAATGGAGCAATGGGAGGTGGCTCAGAATCATCTTCCAATTATTTTCAATCTGAAGTTAGTGAATGATCTTGGTGGTTTTATTATTGAAGTCTTGATCTTCTGGAATATCATGATTTTAGTGACTATGTTTCTTTCTTCAGATTGTTTTCTTTGGCATAGACAACATACATGCAATGAGGGAGAGCTTTTCCCGCGTTAGAGATTATTTAGATATGCATGGTACAACATCATCTGATGGGAGATCATCGTTCTTGGTGAGTACTGAATATCCAGTAACTTTTTTGACAGATTTCATTGAGGGGATACAGTCTGATATATAATATTTTAATGTTGCTTATCATAAAGATATATGTACGTATGGATTCTGCAGAGACACGGTGGTTGGACCTGGGGAGGAGGTAATCTTAGTAGTATGTCTGCTTCAGTATCTTTACTTGGAGATAGTGGCTGGTTGATACACATCCAGAGCGTCTTAGCTGGTGCAGCATGGATAGCTGCACGTGTTGCTATGGAGTCGGCATCAGTTCTTGTGCACTGCAGGTTAGCTACCTTGACTCACATCACCGGCCAACTGTTTAACTTGGATACCAATTTCTGTCCTTGTGATAAGATGAATATGCGTCTGTTTTAAGCAAAACATTTCTATTATCACCAGGGTGAAAAAATATTATTTGTTATGTCATGACTCATCGTATGTCATTGCGCAGTGATGGATGGGACCGAACAACTCAGCTTGTTTCTCTTGCATGCTTATTGCTTGATCCATACTACAGAACTTTTGCTGGGTTTCAGGTATTCCCTGTGCTTATTTGGTGTTTCTGGGTTCTTATTTTTGTATTTGACTAATTTTACTTAAGTGTCATAGAATATGTTTTGCAACTGTAAAAATTTAGTTAATAGCATAATTTATTGGTTTACAATTGTAGACTGGGAGGACCATATCGAATTCTATTTTTAGTATCCATTCATGTTTTGCTATGCACCCTATGAAGATGTTACCGTATCATTCATATAATCATATGTTCTTTCCAACTAATTGCGCATCAACATTCTATATGAGATTCATGCTCGCTACCCTGTTGTCTTATTTAATCTTTTCTATTAACCTCACATCAGGCTCTTGTCGAAAAGGATTGGCTTGCTTTTGGTCACCCATTTTCGGATCGTGTAGGAATGCCTAACATATCAGGATCTGGTAATTTTGACTTACCAAGGCAGTCTTCTTCTGCTGGAAGTTTTCCTTCATCTCCTGTGCGTCAGTCTTCAGGATCAGCAGCCTCACAATCTTCAAGCTCTTCCCATGGACATAACAATTATTCACCTATATTTATGCAGGTGAGCGAGCAACTATTCCTATTGCAATTATAGTAATACTTTTGGTTTGTTTAGATCTATTTCACTGGGTTGGCAGACCAACAGCTTATAGTATGTTTACATCTATGTGTTTCCAGTGGATTGATAGCGTTTCACAGCTAATGCGGATGTATCCTTGTGCTTTTGAGTTTTCTCCGGTATGTATGAAGTCAAACACATTTCTGAAGATTTCATGTTCAACTTCTTCCAGTAATAATAGTGTACTCATTTGCCTTCATATTTTCTGCCGCAGACTTTCCTGGTAGATTTTATGGATTGCTTGCTTTCATGTCGTTTTGGGAACTTCTTATGCAACAGGTAAAACTTTCTTTTGAAGCTCTAAACTGAAGTGATTGTGAAAACAATTGGTATTATGTTTTACCAATATCTGAGCTGGTGTAAATTTCAGTGAAAAAGAGAGGGAACAATGTGGGATTGCTGATGCCTGTGGATGCCTATGGGCATATTTGACTGATCTGCGTTCATTTAGTGCAACTCATGTCCATTGTAACCCATTCTACGATCCTTTGAAATATGACGGCCCATTACTACCTCCAGCAGCATCTCTAGCTCCTACCCTTTGGCCCCAGTTCCATCTGCGGTGGGCTTGTCCCGAGGAAGCTAAAGCTGCAGATATCGGGGTCCAATGTAGAGCCATGACAGTGAAATATTCTGAAATGCAAAAGGTAACTTAATTAACTCATCTCTCTTACCTACTCTCTTTGCCTATATAGTGTATCAAAGTTTTTAACATTCTAATTGATTTGAAACAGGAGAAAGAAGCAGCAGAAAGAAGAGTGGACGAGATATCTTTCGCAATGGAGTCATTAAGTGCAGAGTTGCTAAGAGAAAGGCATTTGAGTTGGGTAGCTAGAGAATCAGCAAATCGAGCTACCAAGGAATATGCAGCTTTAACCCGAGCAGTACAATCACTCGGGTGCAAGATTAACTTCACCACATCTGATGTTGAAGACGACCCAAGGAGTTCTCTGGAGAATAACCCTAGGAGACGAAACAGACACGGGAACAACTCAGATGTTTCTGTATCAATCTCACTAATGTCTGAAGAAAATACATCTGGAAACCCGATAGGACGGGTTTGTGAAGCGTTGTGTCCATTGCGTACAAGAGAAGGAGTATGTCGATGGCCTGAAGTTGGATGTGCTCATGTTGGAAGTCAGTTTGTTGGGTTAAAAGCAAATTTTGATGCGTTTGATCGGCTTGCCATCTACGATAGCTACTTCCAACCTGAATGAGAGTGAATCAAAAATCCGAAGGTAGCTGTAATAGTTTTATTTACAGAATAAAGGCAGTGGAAGGTCACAATCATCAATAAAGACCGACAGAAGAAAAGGCGGGAGCATAACCATATAAACTGACACCCTTAGTTTTTGGAACAAGGGAGTCTCTCATCTTTTTTTACTTTGTGTATAGCTAAAAAACTAAAAGCATTATTTTTTCTTAACCTCTATATATTTAATTTAGATCTATGATTCTTTTTGGTTAAAATGAAAAAGTTGAAAGTGGTGTACAGTTTCATATAAATCGACTACTAGCCTTTAAGTTTCTTATAATAACCCTATTTATTATTAATGTAAAGGAATTGAAGTGGAAAAAATTTGGTACAATAACTCTTTAACTCTCTCTCCATCTCCTCTTAATATTGGACAGAAAAATGTTCTTATCAAGACAACTGAATCAAAATACTTTTAAACCAAATATAATTGAGAAACACGGAACCAAACCAAAATTGAAACTACAAACCGATCCATATTAGCTTAGGTTTTACTTTGGTTACTGTCATTCATAAATCTGACAATCTGGACCCAAAACAGATTCAATGCAACTCTTAGTTATCATCTCCGGAGAAGAAACCTACGGCCCAAGAAACGTCTTGAATGCAGAGAAGACTCTTCTTCTCTATGCATACAATGAGATGTAATCAATTGAATTAAAGAAAATGTAAGAATAAAATAGGGACTTAATGAATTGACATCATCAGCAAGAGTCTCAACGGTTTTGAAGAGTTTCGATTGCCTTTTTCCACTGCAAAGCTCTTTGTTTCGCATCTTCAAACGATAAAACTTTCTTCGGCTGCCAAACAAAAACATGAATTAACAATCACATTTCAATTGCAGAAGAAAAAACTGAAGAAGGGAGCCATTGGATTGTGTGTTACTGTGCAAATCTTGAAATGGGAAGGACTTGAGACTTGAACGTTGAGGTCGTTGGAGTTATCAGACCAGATAATGTTCCCTTTTACTACAAGCTTTGATGGGTCAACGTATATCAGTCTTGGTTTGTTGGTGAGTATTAGCTGCACCTTCTTACTTGTGATTTTCTGTAGCTTCTTCACTGCTGATATCATTAGAACCGATTCTCCCGGTTCTAGAAACTGTTGCCTGTTGCATTACAAAGCAAACATTTTCAAACCAGGTAGATTTTAAAATAGAGAGTTCTCGCGGAAAAGAAGTAAAAGCCTAGCAAAGTCTCACCATCTCGAATCAAAAGAGTCTATGGAGGCAAGCCGAGTTATGGAACCTGAGGACTCAGAGAGTCCGTTGTGTCCATCGTTCTGCAAAACTGAGGTATCTCCAACATGTGTTGGGTTCCATGGAGAACCGTCCCTTTCAGGAGATGCTGATTGAGACTGAAAAAGATAAAACTGATCAAGAGAAGGACAAGACGGTAAACATTTTGGTGCAGCAATTAGAAGTAACTTAAGGAGGTAAATACCGCAGGATCTGGAGCTAGTTTTGGAGGAGTTTGTGACCTTAGGTTCTTCCAGTCAACTCCCTTGAAGAAAGGATGTCTCTTGAGAGAAGCATAACCTTCTGATCCAGCTCCTGGTCTTCTACTAGGATCTGTATCCTGAAATGAGCCATAGCCACAACAAAACAATTATGATGATGGCTTTTGAGATTGACCCGTGATTCATGATCCAGCAAAGACTGGGTAAAAAGTGAAGCTTATCTTACTAGCAATCGGTCGATGAGGTCTCTTGCTGCTTCTGAGAAATGATTTGGAAACTTTATATCTCTAGCTATGATTCTTTGGAAAATTAGCCATTCACTTGCATCCTTGAATGGGGAAGTTCCTGAAAGCATTTGGTACAGAGTGCAGCCGAGTGCCCAGAGATCATTTCTGTTTGAATGTGTTCCAGAAATACCAAAGAAAAGTTGTTCTAAGTAAGAGCCGTGTAGTAATCCAAAGAACTAAAAGGCTATTACAAAACCAAAAACTCCATATATTCCTCACATAGTGGTCAAAGTTTGTTCTAACACAAAACTCTTACCCGAAAGTTGCTGGGGAGGAGTTTAGAACTTCAGGAGGAACATATGCAGCCGTCCCGACAAAAGTGCACGCCTTATCATCTGCATAAGTCACAAGTTTACACATAGGCTTCAAAATCCGAATTGGAAAACAATTATCAAAAGGGCCTTAAGCTCAAGAATATAGAAAAAGGATCATGAACTTCATATTACCGGAAGCCGCATTAGGCAGCACTGTGATTTGGCTGTCTTGCATTGGCTTTACGCTACCAAAATCGGCAATCTTAATATGTCCATCTGAAGTTAACAACAGATTCTCTGGCTACTCAATCAAAATTAAGGGATAATTGTTAGCAAAATGATGTCCTTGTTGGATCTTAAAAGAGATGATATGTGAAAGAGAAGCTACCTTGATATCTCGATGTATCAGTCCCATATTATGTATATACTCAAGAGCGTCCACAACTTCTGCACTGTAGAACCGAGCTTCATCCTCAGATAGACGACCTTTCTGCCAAACACAAAACAACCAAAAAAGAACATAATGCAACTACATTTTGAGAACATGAAACAATATCCTAGATTCTGAAATAGTATCTTACTCTGGTGATTTGGTCGAAAAGTTCCCCACCTTCGCAAGATTCAAGCGCCATGTCTACAAAAATGAGAATGAACCCAGTAATTAAAGCCCTTAAAGCAGAGAGACTAGTGAATAAAATATAATGGTCTATGGAAACAAAGCCACTTGAATAGAAACTACCTACATAGTGATTGTGTATCTTGAAAAGTAAAGAAGAGTTTCACAATCCCGGGATGTTCGAGTTGATCAAGAACAATCCTCTCCAATTTGACATAAGCTGTTTTATTCTCCTTGGTGATAAACTTTTTGTCCATGATCTTTAAGGCATACACAGTTCCATTATCCTTCTTCTTCGCCCTAACAACCTGATTCGATTATACATAAGCAAAAAAATCGAGCTTAAGTAACTTAAAATGAAGCTTCCCATTTCCCACCAAAAACAAAAAGCTCCAAGATAGAATCAACTAAAGGATCAATTAAGCCAACAAACACCAGATTACAAAAATTCAATCTGTAAAATTGATTCATGAATCAAAGAGAGGATTTTTATAGGAAGAATGAGAAGGAAACAATGAATCGAATCGAAAAAACGAAACCTTTGAATAAGAGCCAACGCCATAGATCTTGCCGAGCTCGAAATCATGGTAGGTGAAATTCTCCTGAGGAGCCTTAAAGGCGAAACTTTTGCTTCTGGAAATAGTTGCACCATTAGAAGATGAATTCCCTTGAAGAGAAAGCTTTGAATCAAATTCCTTCTCCATTGTCAACATCTCCCGACTTCATCTACATTTCGACGAGACCCATCAGAAATCAGAAAGACCCAAATTGGATCTTGAAGCTTATGATGTTATTTCCAGGTGCTATTGTGAGCTCCAATTTCGAAAAACGAGAAGTTTCAAATGGATGAAAAAGGAAGGAGAGAAATTCGAAGAAGGGGAGGTGAAGAAGAAGAATCGGAGGAATGTGACACTTTCTTTCTTCATCATTTCATTTTCTTCTTCTTCATTAATTAAAAATAAAATTAGCTGTAATAAAAATAATAATAATAATGGAGATTTTGAGTAGGCCTTGGAACACTCTCTATTGGGCCATAAAATTAGATGGAGGTTTTGGGATTCGAACCCGAGACCATCAAGTGGAGAAAGGAGAGATAGGGAACCCTAAAATTGGGGACTTGATTGATAAAGTGTTTGGTAAAATCTTTTGTGATGTATGTTCATTCATTACAAATTGCTTAGGGATTGAAATGGAGAAGAACAAATTAAAGAAGATAGGTGTTGTGGTTCCGACTGAATTAGATTTCGTTAGAGCCATCCGTCTTGAGTATCAGATACCAGACTGTGTCCCGCTACCAGACCGTGTCTGTGATGATGATATCTCGGAAATCCGTGAAGGCTTTGCGTTCAAGGTCATGTCTGCTGGGAGAAGACTTTCACACAAGTTCACTGAGGTTTTACACGAGTTTCCTAACGTCTATCGTCTTGATCCGTTGTACGCCAGCCTTCTCCATCAGCGTTACAATATGGATCATTACGATCGAGCTGTATCTGAAGTCTCCCATGCACAAGAGATGGTCGACGCAATCTCCGGGGACTATGTGAAGCTTCTGCTCAAGGATGATTGTGACTCACGGGACAAGTGCAAGTCCCTGAGAGTGACTTTTGCAAAGAGAAGCATTCCTGCTTTGGCTTTTCTCGATAAGGTCAGGTAGTACATGGCGAGTTTGGAAGACGATGCTGCTGCTACTACTTTGATGAACAAGTATTCGGACGTCTTGCCTCTGGAAAACGACCCATTCCCTCAACGTGTTATGAAGACGAAATTGCCGACTTTGTTGAACCAGAGATTCTGCTTTGGGTTGAGGAATTGGATTGTCAATATGACCTCTGGCTCAAAGGTGATGATGGTCAAGAAGTGGTCCGACGCATGGAAGCCTTGATTAATTAAGACTATCACTAATATATGAACCTGTTGAAGAATGAATGTTAATCATCTTTTCCTTGTGTTTAAAAACTTCTTTTGCTTTTTATTTATTTTTGGTGATGATTTTTCTTACTAATTATAACATATTTGGTTCAATTATATGAAATAAACAACATCATAACAACCAACATTGAAATGTGAAAGACATGTTAAAAAAATTCGCTTTTTTTTTTAGTGTAATGTTAAATTAAATTCAAAAGAAAAAGAATGTAAAAAATCATTTTCTTACGTGCAACAATACCACCAAGATTCTTTAACTCAGACCCAAACCGATTATACTATTGGAGCCCAAATATTTCATGACCACTTGTGAGATCGTTCAAAAATATCTCCTAGCTTGAAACTTTGCAATAATCAGATATATGAACTCATCTGGCTTCTTCCGCTCTTGAGGAAGATAACCGCATTTCTTAATCGCTTCCAAAAAGGATCCCAGCATCCCTCGTCAGTCGTTACAGCAACTCTACCTTCCATGCTGGCATAATCCGGTACATATCTCCCGTCACAATCATAACTAATACTACCAACATGAAGAAAGTGTCATTGGACAAACGAAATTGAAGATTTCAATAGAAAAAACTGATGTTACCGTGGAGTTTTGATTTGATTTCTTGGAACCTTTTCGGCAATGGAGGTTTCTTCTCTGAGCCATTTATTATTTGCTAGTGTAGCGACCGTGTATTCCACAAGAGCTCTATACCAATTACCAACCCTGGTCTTTTAGAGGCTATCTAGCATGAGTCGAACGAATGTTCAAGGAAAAAGGAACGAGAGTTCAGATTCATCATCGTGTTTAATTACAAGATGGTTTTTAACTTATTACTATCTCCCAATTAAAAATTTACGTCAAAATCAAAATAAAAAGCTAATACAGTATTAGTTTTCCATCTAGATCATCACATTTTGTCAAAACTTATGCACAAAATGCACCCACTAAGGGAAAAAGTTAATTAAAAAAAGAGGATTATATATGAAAAGATGAAAACACTATAATTAGAGCAATGGACATATAAAACATGTCCGAAAAGACAAAAAAAAAAAAAAGTCAAAATATTAAATTAAATACTCGAAAAAATATTCAAAAAATATTTAATAGTCGGTCAAATTGAATAAAAAGATTTGATATCCAATTATGTCATATTAATTTGTTATTAATCATTATAATTAATATCTCATTTTTGTTTGGTTCTATTTCAGTGAATTTTTCAAATACTTCAAGAAAAAAGGTTAAAATACGTATAAAAAGAAAATTATGTCAAGAAAATAAAAAACCATATCAAACTAACACAACCAATAATATTCAAAATTTCTCGTTTTAACAAAAAAAAAAAATCCAAAATCAGAAGCCCAGGCCCAAAATCAGAAGTCCAGGCCTCGAAGTAGAGAACATGAAGTGATAAAAGGAGAAAGAGAAAGCCATCATTTCTTTTGCGCAACTTCTTTTGGCAAAACGCTTTTTTAAAAAAATAGGTGATAAGGTCTTGAATAGGGAGACCTAATTGACAATGGTGATTGTGATTCATTGGAAAAGTTCAAGCGCCTTGAAGTAAATGCTTTAGGGTGTATGTATACTGTTGCAATGAGATGCATGCCTAGTTTGGCTTATCTCGAAAAGGTCAGGCAGTACATAGCAAGCCTGCCAGATAGCTGTTTGGAATTTGAGAATAATGCTGCTGCTTCTACTTTGAGAAAGACCAAGTGCGACGCCATCTTGGCTGATGAAGACTGTACATTCCCTCTAGCTGTTGATGTTGATGTTCATAATGTTGCCGACTTTGTTCATCCTGATGTTTTGTCTTGGCTTGATGAGTTGGTACGTGAAAATGGCCCCAGGATCCGAGATGATCAACTGGACTTTGCAAAACAGTCTCACAATCCGAAGGAGCACCTGGCTACCGTTAGTAGCATGAAATCCTTGGTTATCTAAGAGCTTGATTATATATCGAATCTGTTGAAGAATCAATGTCTCTCGTTTTTCTGTTTTTTTTTTATGCTTGGTCTGCTCTGACCTTGTTATGTTTGCGGATCTTATGTGCTGTTTCCTCGTTCTTGGTCTTCGATAAGAACATGTCGTCCTCTATAATTAGCGTCATTAGTGATAGCTGGATTAGCACGGGCAGTTAGGAGAACCTGCCATAAATCAATTGGGATCATTAGTCAGAACTATAGAGTCATAGTAAAGCTAATACAGTCATTATATATACAATGACTAACCTCAAGACTCGATAAGGAGCCTTTCCTGCAGACCAAATGAAGAGGAGTATCTCCCTTGTGATTTTGAGCATTAACATTAGCCCCTCCTTCAACGATAAGCTATTACAAAATGTAATAAATTTATTGATTATTACTACAAAACAGAATCAATCACACACAAAAAAATGAACCTGGAACCATACCTTCACAAAGTGCGAGTCATAACCATCCCTACATGCCAAGTGAAGGGGCGTATCTCCTACTAAGTTTCGTGCATTCATATCAACGCCCCGTTTGAAAAGATGCACCAAACAACTCAAGTATTTATGCTTCAATGCAATCATAAAAGGAGTATTTCCGCTATAGTCTTTGAACTCGGTTTGTGCTCCTTTCTCTAGGAGAACCTGAGTACACAACGGGCTATTGGAGAGACATGCCACGTTTAGAGGCGTTCCTTGTTCCTCACTTTGAGCATCCATGTGAGCTCCTTTCTCGAGAAGAAGCTGCAATTGAAACCATTAAAGTAACACAAATAAGCATTAATACAAATGATGAAACTTGCCAAATGTGTAGTCAGAAGATTAACCTCCACAATGGATTTTCTGCCAATGCCACATGCATAATGAAGAGGTGTGTGACGTTTCAGAGATAGACAGTTGATGCTTGCTCCTTTTTGGAGAAGATACTGTTTCAATGTCCAGATTCCAATCAGAATTACAATGAATGAGACTGGGAGGGAGAGGAAACAAAAGGAAAGAATACTAACACTAACCTCAACACAAGGGTCGTTATTTGCAGAACATGCCATGTGAAGTGGAGACTCTCCTCTGGAATTTTGAGCCTCCAAATCAGCTCCTTTTTGAGTGAGAAGCTCAACGTATGGCATGAACCACTTTACTGTGACGACGCTGTGCAGAGGCGTCATTCCAGTTGAATTGCAGAAATTCGTATTTGCTCCACTGTCCAGGAGAACCTGATTGAGAGCAAAGAATAATCCAAACTTAGTTCCAATTACCAATGTGTCTTGCATGAAAACATAAAAACAACTTCCAGAGGTAGAATGGTCATAATGAGGACATGGTAATGTGTTTTGGTCTTAAAAGTATGAGCCACAGTATTTACACAAGTTTGGCTGAGTTTGTTCTAGTGATGTTTTGGTGTATGATAGAACATTGTTTGACCTCGGAGGAGTTAATCGCGTCAGTGAAGTGGATTGCTTTTAGGGTTTAGGTGGTCGAGTAAAAGTAGAGCCAGCCTTTTGTGTTTTTATCACCAAATTAGGGGCCAACACGTAGCGAATGTAACCAGGACTAACACAAACAATTTTTTTTTTTTTTTGTGATTTAACTTTGAGTGAATTAAGTGAATAACCAGTTTTGATAAAATATTTAAGAATATAGCATCATAAATTGAAAAATTAAGAGAGTAGCACATGGACCTTATGCAATGACGATTTTAGCCTTCAGACAATTGCACAGGAGAGAAAACTAGAGAGAGCTACATATAAAGAGAGAGAAATATGCATATGATAACACATATATATTCACCCTTACTAATCTTGTTTATTGTGTTAATCTAACAATATTACTTGGTTAAAGTTTGTAATACTATTTAAAGAAACAGATTTTTTTTGTTTATATAACATGATTTGAATTTTAAAAATCAGAAACGAATTTCTTAAGAGATGAATAGTGGCACCAAGTTCTATTAGCATATATCATATAGAATAGCATACTTTAACCAAAAAAAATATAGAATATCACATATTTGTTCAAATTAAAAAGTATTACAGTAACTCTATATATCTTGTAAATGGTGTGTTCAAATAAAAGAGTATAACAATACAAGTAATCTTGTCGATTTTTCAATCGTACTGAATAAATAGTATTACAAAGTCATTATTTACATGTTACAAATCTACAAAATAGTATAGTATTAAATTACAAGTAAAAGAGAACATTTTTCACTAATTTACAACCAATTTAAACACCTTCAATAGTCGAAACATTGCTCATAGTTCAAACACCTAATCACTAAACAAGACAAAACAGTCATGTGTTTAAGTTGCTGTTGTTGTACTATACATAAACTACCAACAAAGAGTTAAACTACATATACTATAGAATTTAATTAAACAGTATAGTAATAGGTGTAATCAGAGCCGGCCATGAGGCCAAGCAAGGCAAGCATGTGCTTGCGGCCCCAAATCTCCTATATATATAATCGGCCCCATTTTTAACAATAATGTTCAAGTAGTCTAGTGGTTTGGAATGTGTCATAACATGTGCAGGTGACAAGTCTTTGCTTTTCTCATTTATAATCTTTTCTTACAAATAATAGGCCTAAAATTATTTTTTGTTGCTTGTGGCCTTCAAATTCTCATGGACGGCTCTAGGTGTAATCGCATCCTATTAAGGAGTTCCATGGAACCAAAGCTTCTAAATTAAACCATTTTCTATTGTAATCACCAAATGCAAAAAAATCATGGGATCCAAAATTGTACTTATAAAGATTAAAACCCAAAATTGTCGCCACACATCCTTTACCCGAACCCAAATTGAAGAAGAAATACCATTCAATTGTTAAATAAAGAACCCAACAACAAAGGTCATGATTCAAAATCGATGCTTGTCGATTCGAATCAGAAAGATCTGGTTCAGACGCTGAATTAGATGGATCGAATGGGATTATGGGAGTTCTTATGGTGCTTGTGAGAAGGAGAGAATAAAGGAGACGCGACGGAGAGAGTGAGAGTAACAAATGACAGAGAGACGGAGAAATGAAGAAGGAAGGAGTTGATGTTGAACTCAAGTCAACGCAAGGAAAGAGATTGTGAAAAAAAAATGATGAGAAGAGAAAAAAGAGATGGGCGTAGAGCGTGTTATTCACAGAGGGCATAATTGGAATTAATACAAAAGATATAGAAAATATTAGTACCTTTTTTTGTTAGGCGTCAGTTTCTTAATTATTAAATTTTTGTTGGTTATAGCTGCAAATTTCTCTTTAACTTTTACAAGAAATCTAAAAGTAATTAGAGGCCTGTATGCTATGCTGGGTTCAATACCAAAAATATTACCGTGCATTAGATCACCACAAGCCATGGATCGGTCTGTATCGCCTTGTGATCCTTCAAATTCCCTTAGGGATTGTGTTCCATCTCTGTATATAATACTCTTATCTCAAAAATAGTATAATTGAGACAACCAAATTGGGTTATGGATATTATACACAGACATGAGAACAGAGAACCAGAGACCAAAATTGGGGATGGAGGTGTGGGAGGAGGCTGAGATGAGATGAGAGAGAGAGAGAGAGGCTGCATACCATAACCTTAATTCACACCCTATCCCTATAATATATATATTAAAATTGTAAATCTCAATAGTATCTTATCTTGAACACAAAACTGACGCATGTGTGGTGCTCATTTTCATAACCTTAGTATTATCTTTTGTGCTTCTTTTATGCACTTTACTACTATTGGTTGGATCCCTTTTTAGTCTTAAATTCTTTATATTATATGATTATTAGTGAATCTTTTTTTTTGATAGGTGATTGATTATTAGTGAATCATAAAAGAAAAAATTAAAAAAGCCGATTCTTTAGATTTTCCCTCCATTTTTTCCAAGATATATTGTCAAAAATATCGCTGCCAATTTGTCTCCAAATTTCAACCTCTTTCTAACGAAACACCATTCAATACATTGTTAGATAATATGTCTACAAGCAAAACAATTCCCAACGAATTGCAAACTCAAGAGGAAAAAGAAGCTAAAAACGCTCAGATTTCAGTTTTTCCGTGCAAATCTCTTCAAACTCGCCGGTAGCTCCGCCGCAGCATCTTCTCCGATTCTTCTCTTCTTCAACGCGGTGTTGTGCTCTTGCTCCGGGAATGTTCGCTTTGCGTTCTCCACCATCTCTTTCTTCTTCTTGGTCCGCTTGCTCGGTTTATTCCTTCCTTTCGTCTTGTTCTTCAGCTCAGTGCTCTTTGCTGCTTCTATGGCCACCTCTTTTTCAGCTTCTATCTCTCCTCTTGATGGCTTCTCTCTCCTCCTAGAGGGTCTCATCGCACCAATCTTTGAAGGGTCGAGCATTATTGTCTCAGGTGGAAGCTTATCAAGAAGCGAATGGACTTCCTTCTCCCGTCTCTGTTTCGATGTTTCAAATGGATTAGCCACCCATGAATCGAAATTGGGTTCTCCAGACCCTGGAATTAGAATGCTAGACCAACCCATCGAGTGACCAATCCCAATAACATCCTCATATGGTCTGAACATAAGCTTCTCGATTTGATAACCTTTCACCATCGAGTGGTTCATGTATCTACTATAGTTATGTGAAGAACCACCACTCGAATCTCCTAAAATCTGAACAAAGGATCCAGTTCCAGCTGCTAGCAAACCTTTCTGACTGAAACTCAGCGTTTTGGCATGAAAACTGTGGATAGTTTGAACTTCCTCGAATTTACGTAAATCCCAGATCTTGATTTTACGCTCTTTACCGGATGTAGCCATGAGATGACCATTTGGATGAAATGCGACAGATGACACTGGCCCAGGGTGACACTGCATCTGGACAAGAGGTGCTTGGCTAGTGGGTTTCCACATTGTGACAGTTCCACCAGAATGTCCCAAGGCAACAACACCATTGTAAGGATTCACTTCCATTACATCTGTTCGGCCTTTACCTGTTCGGATACTAGCAACCATGCCTCCATGGGTTACATCTTGATAATGTAGCTGCCCAGATTTGTTTACTGATGCAAGTAGGAAATGGTTCTTTAGGAACCGAAGTCTGGCCACTGGACCACGTTCCTGGGATAGACAAAGTTTAAAGTCAATAACCAAGAACACTAGGCATATGTTCTCTCTTTCAACCGAAAAGCATAAATCTCACCTTCAAACAATGCAGCTCAGTTCCATCTCTCCCATATATATAAGCATACCTGTCAAAATTTGACAAGACATGATATTAGACCAAGCACCCTCCAAATCACAAGGCATACAAAATGTGATGTTATTAGCATTGAGATACATACTTCTTCTGGGCAGCTGCAAAGAATTGTTCATTGTGCAGGAATGCAACATCACGTACTGTTTCTCTTACCTGCAGATATCATCTATTTCTGTGAGAACCAAATCAAATTTTATAAATAATGATAAAAGATGATAAAATAGAGAAGCAGACCTGAATCTCTTTAATTAAGCTCATATTCATCATGTCTAAAAGAGCAAGGTGGCCTTTGCGACCACCAGCTAACATATGCCGACCACTTGCCGTAAAATCAAGTTTGTATGGGCCAAAATCTACATATGTTCATCAGTGTCAGTAAAGTGAATTAGAAGCACATTGCGATGAGGATATTTATCACACAGACTAACCATACTTAATATTTTACATAAATAAGATATGTTGTCTCTCAGAAAAAGCTTTTGAGCATTTACCTGGGAGCACTATGTCATATTGGTTTCTTGAGCTTAATATATCTACTTCGTTGGCAATATCTGACTGCTTGACTCGCCATGTCTTCTCTAGACCTTCAGTCTCCAAGTAGCCTGCCTCAGCAGGCAAGAGCCACTACACACAAAATTAACACAACCACATCAAAAGACAATAATTAAGAACTCAAAACGATCTGAACTATCAAGACTAGAAGAATCAAAACAGTTGCTCAACGTCAAAACAGAGATACACAACAGCTTCTTTCATCTTCACGAAACACTGAAAAAAGGGTTAAACAAGACCCACACAGAGCTGAATGAAGGAGAAAACTTACCTTCTCGATTTTAGCAGCAGCTTTGGCAGACTTCCCATACAACTTTTCTCGTGAAGCAAGTTGAGTCTTTAGTTTCTTATCTTTCAATGTCTGCAGAAAACAAAGAAAACACTCAACCACTGCATTTCACACCCAATAGCCACAATCATTAAAGCCATACACACATATATATACCTCAAGATTAGCACCTTCTCCTCTAAGATATTTCTTAACTGTAGTCTCCAGCTCAACATCACTCTCCTGCATACAAATTTGAATCAAAGTCCTCAACTTTGCCAAAACACACAAATAATAAACTGTTAAAAATTCGAACCCAGTACCTGCTCAACAGGAGGCAAAACTTTCTCCATAAGATTGTTATCCTCTGAACTCATCTCCATCTTGATCCTTATCACCTAAACGAATCAAACAACTCAATTACAATTAGACACTGATAATTCAGAAACCCATTAGAAGCCCCGGAGATAAATCTGAGAAAAAGACTTGATTTTTCGAAACGAAACCAAGGCAAATCGAAGAAAGAAGCTTCACCTGAGAATAGAGAACACGGCTCGGAGAAAGAACAACACACGGCGGCGGTGAAGATTTGATTGAGAATTAGAAAAACGGTGTGAAGCTATTTAGGGTTTAGCAGATAAATTGAGTTAATGCGTGAAAGGAGGTACTGTGAGCTCCGACATCGATCCTCGCTGGTTGACTGAATTTGAGGGTTTTGTATTTTTAGGGTTTTACGAGAAAAACAAAATATTACAAAAATAAATAAATGATCTGTCTGACGAAAATCGAAAAAAAAAAATTATTGAGTAGGCCTTAGAATACTTTATATTGGGCCTGAGACCAACTAACAAGTTATCTCAATTAGGCCTGAGTTGATAAAAAATCACTAATTAATTAGTTTACGAGTTCAGTGAAAACTCTTCTACTGTACCAGTGAAACAAAACAAGTGATCCTGTTTCTCAGAATGTAGGAGAAATTTTGTTTTGTTAAATAGCAACAAAAAATATAGGTCCCACTCCCATATATAAAGGATTATTCATGTTTTGTTTACATGTTCATATGAGTACATTTAAAAAAGGAAAAAAAAAACTTTAAAAAATCAAATGTACTTTCCTGATTTTCCTCCAGATCCAACATAACCAGACTGCTTTAAAAGTTTTCTATAATAAATAAAACGAAAAAGATTCTTGTTATGGGAAATAAAAGAACCAGATCTTGGTCCCGGGGTGGCCGCATGAAGCTGCTGGTTTGATGGGACTTTGGCGGCCTCGTCTAGTAATGAGTTATCAAATGTAACAATTACTATATATCATTCTCTTTAATCTAGCTATTCCAATATTTGTTTTGGTTAGCTCTAATAAATATGTGTCAAATTAATATTAATGTATGATTGATACACTCGTCTAGCTATATATAATAGGGACTAGGGAGACAATTGGTTATGAAGATTGTAAACCATCCAAGGGAGAGCCCATCATGCTCCTTATCTTTACTTTTTGGTGTCGATTGGTATATATTCTTTGGAATTTTTTGGTTTTCCAATTTATTATTGCGATATATTATATCTAGCTAACCTATATTGTTATAGAAATGATATTTTACGAAAAAGTTCATGATTTGGAGGCCATGCACGTTACGTTTCACTTGCTTTCTTTGTCGACATTGTACATTACAACAAATAAAATGTTAGAACGGCAGTGAATGCTAAACAAATTCATATATATTTTAATTTTTTAATTCACATCAATACAAAAACTGTAAGTAATACCATTCATAACTCAGATTTGCATGTAGCTTTACGTAATTATGTTTCACATGCTATCATTACAATATATCCGCTTTACCAGAAAAAAATTCTGTAAATTCAATTTTCAATTTGTAAATCAGCATCACCAAACATACACATGCGAACAAGATATTTAATAAAATGTATCGGATCTAAACTATATTTAGCATACTATATAATCTTGAAAACAATTCTTTTCATTGAAAAGAAGATATACTTTTTTTTTTTAATGTAACAACGAAAAACTTTTGCGAGTCATAGATTTTGTAATATACTGTATCTTTTATGTTTAGAAACATATATATGTAGATCTACCATGGATCTTTTTCAAGACCCTTTGTGTCTTCTGTTCTCGTAGCGGAGGTACTAGCTCTCAAGGCGGCTATCACGGCGACTTTAGCATTGGGTGTATCAAAGCTGGCTTGTTTTTCGGATTGTCAGGAGCTTGTTCTCTTGCCCAATACCGGTGGCCATACAAACGAACTAGATGGCATATTAGCGGATTGCGATCTCTTTCGTTCTATGTTTATGTTTATGTATGTTCTTTTTGTTCCAAGGACTGAAAACTGTGGAGTTGATGCTTCAGCAAAAGCTTATCTTCTATCCTGCTTTTCCTCCTCCTTACGTGAAGTTTGAGTTTTTATTAATATTATGTTGGTTTACAAAAAAAAAAACCATATATATGTAGTTCTCAATTATATGTTGATCAAAACAGAGAATAGTTACTACTTTATATAATTCATAATATATATGATAGTACGAATTTGAAAGCATTTTTAATTATGAAAATTACTTAAATTCCGGTCTAATATAGACTCAAACAGTTTAATTTCATGTGATAGACACATGATTAGTTGTCTTCTTCTATATGGGTGTACTAATTTTATCTATCTAACTTATATAATTTAAACTTAAAAAACACGGTCGAAACAAAAGAACAAACAGAAATGATCTGGAATCCTATGCATATGCAACAAAATTTGGATTGCCAAAAAAAAAAAAAAAGACACGTTCATTCTTATCAATTAGGTTCGTTTTCTTTGTTACCAACCTGTAACAGTGATTCTTGTGTCTACAATGTTCGTTCCTTGTTATCATCCTGTAATGGTAGGGCCATCGTGTCTTATGCCTCGAAAATATATGTGAGAATCTTTCCTCTAACTCAAGTTGTTTTAGAATTTCAATATTATGATCTTCACCAAAAAGAAAGAATTTCAATATCTTATGAATATATCCTTTGTTTATTTTTTTTGTCTGATAGAACTTTTCGATTAACAAAGTAATAGAACTAGATCTAGAAGTTTATAATCTGATTTATTATTTATGTCCTGTTTTGGTTCATTCATTCTTCCATTTATAGGAAATATGTTGAAGCTAATTCAGACAAGATCTACTTTGAATTGCATTAAACTATGATTTCATTGCAGATTCTGAGTTTTTTTTTTTTTTAATTACAAGTGCATTTTTAATTTGTAGGACAGTTTAAGACTTTAAGATCAGTTGCTGTTATTTCCCGATTCCTTTTCCATTTACAATCCATATAAGTTTGGTATGCTTTTAGACGGTTAGTTTTGGCCAAAGTTTTAACAACCGTAAGTATATTAATTGGACCACCGAAACTTCAACATCGATTATAATTGATGGATTCTAAATGCTACAGATTGTTTGATTGTGATCGTATGGTTTCGTGGCCTTACAAATTACATCGACTTATCCTAATACCTCTCATATATCTCTTTCCGTAAAAATCGAAGCCAAAAAACGTGTCAATGTCAATAAACAAAAAAAACAAACTAGAATAACCAAAACAAAAGAAAAAGAAGAACATAACAAAAAAAATAAAAAAAATAAGAGAGGAAGAAGGGTTGACAAAAAAAGAGTAAAAAAAAAAAAAAGAGAGGCGAGAGATCATATAGATCTTTCCACTTCTGTACTTTTAACTAGATTTGAATCCGCGCTACACCGCGGGGCTATAATTTTTTTTTTAAAAATCTAAATATAATTAGTTTTGTTTATTAATAGAGAGTATAATATAATATTTCGACCTATTTTATAAATGTACCATCCATATATCTATATTAATAGTTTTGACTTTTGAGTATATTAATTGTGTTTTAGGTTTAAATGGTATATCTATATATACACTTAAACGATATTTGGCTTTCTTCTTCTTCTTGCCTCAGTTTAGGAGAAAAAAATTTCTTGCGGTACACCGCAGAGCTATTATTTTTTAAAAAATATTTTTCTTCCTTAAACTTTCAAATTTAGATTTTACCCCGCGGTACACCGCGGCTCAATTTTTTTATAACTAAAAAATTATTTTGTAAAATTTTAATATTGTTTATTTTGTTTTGTTAATATTGTTTATTTTGTTTAGTGTTTCTAATTTATAATTAAATTTTGATTTTTAATTCTAGGATTTCATCCATAGTATATTGTTTAATATTAATATTGATCTAAACCCGTTGTACCATATAACCTTGTCCCGTAAAATTAAACATCATTTGTTATTTTTTTTGAATAATATTTTTATCCACTACAGGTCGTAGGTTCATGCGGATAAGCCCGTAAAGAGTTTCGGGTTTGCAGGTCGACCCGCCAAAAGAGAAGCTATCTTTTGAAACCCTTTGTTTTGTTTAGAGGTTTTAAGAAAATATCCCTAAAAATAATTTTCATTATATGAAAATAAGAAGTAGAAGAAATTGTAGTATCAACATTTCCGATTTTTACATCATTCGTTACAATTAATTTTTTTTATTGCAGATAAAAAATAGAAGTTAACTAAGTCGAGATTTTTAAAAAGATTGTGTAGAGATTTTTGGTAAATTGTTGAGGACATATTTGATTTCAAAATCTTTACTTAAATAGATAAGGAAAGATTTTGTATAGACTTTTGCTAAATATATGAGAAATGAATTTCAATTAAAAATCTTTATTTAAATAAAACAAATCTAAATAATTAATGGCATGTCATTGTAAATACTTCTCAACTTCATGATTTATTTGCTAATTGTGATCCAAAAATGTATATATAGATTTAGATATTACTACTACACAGATCTACTCTATATACAGTATATATCATCACCACATGCTTTTCTACGTGGCATGTCCAAAATATGTCATATCTTGCCGTAAAATTAAATTACTCAGCAAATGTAATAACATATAAATACATATAGCTTAATTAGCGAGTGTGTAAGTACATGTTAAGAGTACTGATAAAATCTAACTTCAAATACGACACAACAGAATGAAGACAAAAAGAAAATAAATAACGTAGCAATATGTAAACTAAAGTTATAATCGTACCAAATCTATTTTTTGGTTGTAATTTAATAATTAGATTTTGTAAACCAATTTAAAACTAACATTAAGGTGAAAAACGCAAAATGTTTATAAGGAGTAAGCAAAGCTAACTCATGTTACAAGCCTAATAATTGTTCTATGGCATGGCAAGGTTTACATTTTTCTTTTCACATTATTGAACTCGGCGTGTAAAACGTTGTGGGTCCATCGTATATGTTGAAATCATAATGTCACATAAAAATTATACAGCTTCTCACATTTGACATATTAAGTAATTACTCCGTCCGTTTCATAAAGAGTGTCGTTTTAAGGTTTTATTTTTGTTTCACAAAGAGTGTCGTTTTAGGTTTTCAATGCAAAATTTAATGATTTTTTATGTTTTATGACTATTAGTATTCTGCAGATTGTTTTACTATTGGGCAGATTATGTTTAGGTATATAGTTAATGATGTTTTTGTTTGGAAAAAACAAAAAATTTAATGTTTTCATAATCTGTGTGCAAAACTCTAAAATGACACTCTTTGTGAAACAGAAGGAATATTAAAGAAGAGATACAGAAACTGATGCAATCAATTGTTTACATAAAATATAATGATGCATGGACTTGTTTTAAATCTAATCACATGCCATGTTTTTAGGTTGTAATAGGTACAAGACACTTATTTAACCAAACTTTATGTTTGAGATCTAAGAATAAGACGTTGATCTAAAATTTGTATATATATGTGTGTACTTTTCTTTACTACCTATAGATGGTATTACTATTACTTTGATGGTTCGAGTTCTTTTGTCAAGTAAAAGTTTCTATATAGACACACTTTAATGTTATTGTTGAGACCATAACCCACACGTCTTTAGATAGGAGACCGATGGTACGACAACACCATTTGCGTTTGTTTCATGAGTTATGGCCCTCCTTAATTCACTCCCACTGTGCTTCCAAAGTTCCAAACTCAGAGTTTCATTTGTCCTTTGTAATTTTTTTTTGCAAATCTTTCATCTATCTTCCAGAATTTTATAATACAGTATATTTTTTAATTACTATTCAACCAATATTACATTACAACCAAATTTCTAAGGTAATCCCAATGTTTTATGACGTTTTAAGTAATTATTAACAAAAATAGGCAACCCTTGCATGCAAAATTGTGAATCACATGTGCTCAAGCTAGTTGTACATACTATACAAGTAACTTACCATCCCTAGTAAAACTATATGTTTTCTAAATTTGGAAATTACGTCCATTTTCCTACCCATATACTATATTTTACCTAGAGTTAATCTAGATCTTTAGATTATTTTTTGTGACTCATTTTTTGTTTGGGATGCTGAAAGCTTGTAATCACATCCCAGTGTATACCTTGCCTCTGTGAAATGGTTCAGCTGTAACGTTTCATTTTGTATGAAATATATACCCAGATGACAAAAAAAAAATATACTATATTTTACCTTACTTATCCCCATTCTATTTTTTATTTATTAATTTTTCATATCTAAAGGTAACTCTCATTTCTAAATGCGACATTCTAACTTATGAATGTATATACGTGTATGTAAAGATACAAACACATTTAACAAACCCTTCTCAACCTCTCACTTCTCCAAGAAGTTTTCTCTCCATCCACACAAAAAAAGTTTCCCAAATAACAAAACACACACAAGTTTAGATATGGATCTTGAGTTATTACAAGATTTGTCCAAATTCAATTTCCCAACACCCATCAAGATCCGATCCAAAACCTCAAAAACCAAGAAGGACGAAGGTGATGCCGACGAAGATGGCCTCAGCTGCAGTACACCCACATCCCAAGAACACAAGATTCCCGCCGTCGTAGACTCTCCACCTCCTCCGCCGCGAAAACCCCGACCACCACCGTCAGCACCGTCTGCTACGGCGGCTCTGATGATCAGATCGTGCAAGAGGAAGCTTTTAGTGTCGACTTGTGAGATAATTATGAATCGGGAAGAGATTGACCGTTTCTTCTCCTCCGTATACAATGAGACGTCGACTACAGCTAAACGGCGGAGAAGTTATCCGTATTGTGCTCGAAGATGAGGCTTAATTCAATATTTACATTTTTTACAGTTTTACTGGAAATATTGTGAAATTAATTATATGTTGGTGTTCGATTTTAATATTTTTAATTTAATTATGAATATGGATGGATAATTTCCCTGCAACCGCATATTAATTTCGCATGGAGGGGTCGATGTTGTAAATTGAGTAATAAATGAAATTTAATTCCAATTGCCAAGATTTCTATACAATAATGTGATATTTATGTCATTTATAAGAGACACGATCGTTTTATCATCCAACTTCATGGAAAAAATAGTTTCAAAATATATATTGTCGACTTCTAAAATTGAAGAACGCGTTTATAAATGACCCATATATATCATATTGACCGATGTAAAATATCCGCATCCACTATGAAGAATCAAAATATCTCCTGGTAAAAAAAAAATTGATTGTGTTATGACGCATGCATGTATGAAAATTTTGAACAAAATTAATTTGGTTTATCTCCTGATAGAAAAGTAATTTTATCAATATGTATTAAATTACAGACTCGTAGTGATGTTAATTAGTGACAACATTGCTTGCTTCATGGGCAATGTGTGGTACATGTTCTATTAAATATAAAATCATTGCATTTATGTGAGAAAATGATGGCAATCAAATCAAAATAATAGTACTCACTATAGTTTCACACAATATAATGTCTTAGATTTTTTTTTTTTTTTTTTTTTTTCATTTTACACAAGTCTATATCTGTAAAGTTAAACTTTATTTGTTTTACTTTATCTTAGAGTCCAATTTCATTCATTTAGGTTGGACCGAAAAGACTATGGTATCTTTACACAACATATATTGTTCTTCAGTTAGATAACTGATTTACATAAGATATCACGATTGCATAAGATACCAGTCGGAAAAAAGAAAAATCCTATGTAGCGTTTCAAAAATAAACACTGTATTAGGAAAATTGTACTCTGTTTGAACAAAATATAAGCGAATTTTTACTGCAAGATGTCAAGTTTATTAGGAATGAATATTTAAATCTATAGTAATATTAATGACAGCAATTAATTGGGTTATCAAAAATGCTAATGGCGTTTCAAAGTTTTTAGGTGTTAATTTGGTAGAAGATGTAGCAGTTGCGTGTCCTACGTGTAACTGTGAAAGCAATAACGCACAGAAAATGAAGCCTTGATGGAAATATATATGTTATTCGAAAATAAAATTGATGGAAATATATGTTTTAAATTAACGTTTTAATTGTACAGTAGAAAAAGCATGCACATGTATAAAACTCAGTTATATTGTATCAAATTTGTTAATCTGAAATTCATGCTTGTTTTTTGTTTATGACTTTTTTGACCGGCCGGTAGAGCGGCGGACGCAACTTTGGGATCTGAAGATATTAAAGAAAATGTCCTAAAGATTTCTAATATCGAAGTTGATTCTCATCGTTTATTTCTTTATTTAATTTCTTTATGATTTCAAAATTCTCACACTATATATATAAGAAGTGTTATAGTACGAGAATTGAAATGAATCTTAGAAAATTTGTTTAATGACCGGGAAATATGCATGTGTTAACATGTTTTAATTTAGGCTGTTTTCAAAATTTGCAGTTGGTATGTAAAATTTAGCAGTGAGTACAAACAAAACGATACACCAAATTAATGTTTGTAGTATTTAGTAAATGCATGGTACTGTGGTAGACTAGCTAAGTAAATTGCATGTGTTACAGTTTAATATGTAACCTCATGCATGTGTATCTCTTTCAAGTTTCAACAACCTTTTTGATTTTTAGAAGTAACAACTTCAAATTCTTTTATTGGCGGACAAAAAGATAAGACGATTACTCACCAGACCAACAACATTAAATGGAAATTAAATACATATAGAGTAATTAAATGGCTCTGCGACCAAAACATGGAAATTAATGGGCGTTATTCATTAAACCAGTAAAATTGAATGGAAATTAAATATATATAGAAATTAAATGATATGATGGTCCTGCGACGAAGGAGGAGCCATATCTACGCAACTCATCCAACAAGTAATTGTCTTAAAACATAAGCTACTCTTTTTACTTATTTCATGATTGTAAGTTTCTTATTTCAATTATTCTATCATTGCTCGAGTTATTTAATAGAAGTTAAAGAGTGTGTATCATACAATGTTGTCTCTTTTAACTTAACAAAAAGGCATTTGGTATCATCATGTCGCATGTAAGAGGAGCTACAACTTTTTTGATTCATGTGTTACGTGGTCTAACAAAGGGAATGTGATGAATTGTCGCTCTGGGAATAATTTCGTAACGAAAGTTGTCTTACCTAAAAGTCTTTATTAATTCTCTGAGTTTCTGTTGAGAGAAATAGCATCAAAGCTTGAAAAGGTTTAACACATCTTTGACAAAACAAATTTAGGAAGACCAAATCCAAAACAAAAATAATTACTATTTCTTTTTGGTACTGGGCCGGGCCGGGCCGGTTTAATCCAAGGCAAATGGCAAGATCCATAGAGTTTACATACAAACTCTAGTGTCACCAAAAAAAAAGTCAGAAACCGTGCATTAGTTAATGAACGCTTCGGTACTTTCTATAGTGTTTTCGCATCTGTCAGGTTTGCTATCTCGAATTACAGGCAGCGTATTATCTGAGCGTATAAGAAATTGATATACGCTAATTAATTTATTCCCGTTATTGTAGAGAGAAACTAATGTTTTTGGTAGAACCCTAATTTTTGTCGATCTGGCCAAGTTTTGAAACGAAATTTGATTGTTTGGATTTTGGTAAAGGAGATCAGGATTCATCGCCGGTACCATGTTGGTTAACTGGCTCGCCGGGAGACCCAGCAATAAGTTTTATGCTCTTCAAAAAACAATAGACGAGCTACACAAGGTATTATCATATATGTTGACAATTGATGTTTTTAAGTTACTATATATATTTATTTTTCTGTGAAATTGAATCTATTCTCAAAAGCATCCAATAATGTGTTTCTCATTCTTCTTTCTGATCACTGATGTGTGTTCACCTCAAGACGCTTGAGTCTCTTGAACAACAAGAAAAAGTTTGTCTGGAAAGAGCTGCCGTGCCGTACAGTACAAGGAAGCAAAAACATGTTACCTGGCTGGTGACAAAACAAACATCTTTTGCTTTTGAAAAAAAAAAAGTAAAATAAATGAAACATCTTTTTTTATATATAATTATGACCACATGGATCAATTTAAAACATGTGTGCTGAGGCTTGTTATGCAGGTGCTAAACATAGGTTGAAAGAGAAGAGGATTAACGACCAAACCGCCCAATATCATAGGAATTTGCAGCTTCTTCTACATGAAGCTGTGAGTTTTTTCTTTTTTTCTTTTTTGTGTTTTGCTAAATCATTTTTTTTATAACTACTTTTTAAGCGATAAATTGAATTTATTATCACTAGTTTTCTTTCTTCTATACAGCTGATTTTGTGTGAAAGTAGAAAAGAACAAATGATTGAAGCTATGCGGGATGGAGATTTTACTACGCAGAAGACAACGCAAGTAACAATTTATCTTTGTTTGTTCCTTTTACTCTTAACTTATATGTATTAATCTAGCTCATAGTATTATTCTACGTCTATTTAGACTGATCGGACGGACATAATGTGTATCCATATTTCTTGGCTACGCGTGTCCACCTTTTAGAGACTATGCCTCTAGTTAACATATGTTTTACTATAAAATAAACATATTTAGTCATCAAAAAAATAAAAATTGAGAGAATCTTCTACAAAAGTAGCTCACAGACCCAACCAAAGGACCATTGAATACCGTATATATAGATACACAGACATATAAACACACAAATATTCGCGTCTTCAAATTGTGAGAGATAAAGAAAGAGAGAAAGAGATGGGAGAGATTGGGTTTACAGAGAAGCAAGAAGCTTTGGTGAAGGAATCGTGGGAGATACTGAAACAAGACATCCCCAAATACAGCCTTCACTTCTTCTCACAGTAACCATACTTACTTATACATAGACACATATATATATAAGCTCTTTACATGTTGTTTATATATGTGAGCTAATGAACAATATAATTGTGATAGAATATTGGAGATAGCACCAGCAGCAAAGGGCTTGTTCTCTTTCCTAAGAGACTCAGATGAAGTCCCTCACAACAATCCTAAACTCAAAGCTCATGCTGTTAAAGTCTTCAAGATGGTAATTACTTACTTTCCGATTTTCTACATCTACATATATGTGAATCACTTGCATATATTCGTATCATTATCTTACACTTCTTAGATTGAAATTAGAATGTTTCATTTTTTACAACTAAGAATCTTATTTACTCATTATATACCTTTTTTTTTTCTTATATAATAGTAGAAAATAATAGTATGAATTAACTTTTCTTGTCATTTATTGACGCAGCCATGTGCACACGACTTGCGATTTGTTTGAACTTGGCTAGTTGGCATTGTCTTCTTCTTTGAGAATAAAAATCTCATATTAGTAAAGAATACTATTGTATTATTTCATTTTTAATAACAAACACACATTTCTCTGTCAATAAAGATCTGTTACTGAAGAATCCAAGTGGTTCAAGTCGCTTTATGGATTTTTATTTTTTTGCTAATTGCTATAATAGAACAGAGCCATATAAACCAAATTCTGTTTACTTTTAATTTTGGTTTATGACTTGGTTTGGTTCAACTCACTTTTGGCTTCTAGGACTTTGCATAATATGTATATATTTTCTGACTTTACTCTTTTTTTTTTTTTTGGGTGTAGACATGTGAAACAGCTATACAGTTGAGGGAGAAAGGAAAGGTGGTAGTAGCTGACACAACTCTACAATACTTGGGCTCAATTCATCTCAAAAGCGGCGTTATTGACCCTCACTTCGAGGTCTTTTGTTTTTTTTTAATAAAAATATAAAAATATAAAGACATGATTTTTATTTTCAATTTTAACTAAACAACAAGTGTGAATGTGAAAGCAGGTGGTGAAAGAAGCTTTGCTAAGGACATTGAAAGAGGGGTTGGGGGAGAAATACAACGAAGATGTGGAAGGAGGTTGGTCTCAAGCTTATGATCACTTGGCTTTAGCCATTAAGACCGAGATGAAACAAGAAGATCAGTCATAAAACCCTAATGATCATTTGGGTATCACATACATGATACACATATATGTTTCTCTGTGTGTACTATGTTAATCTTTGACTTTCTACAATTCACTGCTTTTGAAGAAGGATCTTGTGCGATCTTGTGCTATCATTATTCATTAGGGAGATACATGATACTGTAGTTTTTCTTGAAATTGTTATTTGTGAGAAATATCATGGTTTGAAGTATTTATTTTCATAAGATGGGTGTTAATTAACGTGGGGATCATTTTATAGTCACTCAAACTAATAATTTGACTTCCCTAGACATAAGATATTGGATCTATTTCAGTTCAATAAATGTTTTTTTTTTTTTTAATAAATAATATGCTACATATGATTTGTGCCATTTGTATCGTAATGTTCAAGTGCACTAAATTATTTAATAGAAAAAAGTTTCTAAGTAAAAAGTAACAAAATTTGAGCAAAACAAAATTAACAATTGAGCAAAACATAAGTATTTTTAAAAATAATGGACACAAACAGCTGAAATAGTTCAATATTGTAGAGAACCAAAAAAATCTACATTTCATTTGTCTCGTAAGTACGTTAAATAGACAAGAACAAAAGATAGATTAATAAAGAGAGTTGTGAAGAATTCGTGAGCTCCAGCTTCTATCCAATCCCTACGCTCATCGGTTTTGGAACACAGACACTCTGAAGGCGACACCACAACGATCATTGACGGCACACCTCGAAGTTTAAGGCCCACAACCATCTAGCAAAAGAGAAATACGGTGTGCAGAGATTACAGTGGAAAGGCGTGAAGAAGGAGAGATTTGGGGAAAGGTTGAGTGTTGCGATCTTTTGCTTGATGGGGGTTTTAGCCATTGGGAGTTGTCTTGTTGTTGTAAAAACTATTAGTTTACCAATGGATTTTATTTTTGTTAACCGTAGTTCATATTTTGGTGGTCCTCCACAGACAAGCTAATCTACTTAAAACAATAGTAGAAAAGAATTCAAACTAAAATCAAATCAAGAACCCGATTAGAACCATAACATCAACTCTGAAACATACTTTTACAGTATTTTGTATTGTGATATAGAATGAGATTTATTCAATATAATTAGAGAATAAAACATTGAGCAGCAGAACACTGCAAGTAAATCTATATCAATGTACAAACACAAAAGTCTTGTTTGAAAAGAAAGGGGTACCTATCACCCGGAAGAGACCAAAATGCTCACTTTGAAACTAACTGAGAGTACGAGGACCCAGAGACACATGAAGATTAACATTGCCCATGCTGAACTATTTCCTGATTTCTCGGAGGCAGTATTCCCTTGGACCAGCCCCAAAGAAAGGATCAAGTCAAAGTTCCCGTTTTTGCCGTATGACCAGCCCATGTTGCCGTCTGATATTGTGATCATACCTGCGGTTACATGAACTGAACCTGATGATTGTGCTGCGTGTAACCGGATAGCTGCATCCTTTGTAGGCAACTCAGAAGCAAATGCAGGCGGAGCAGGAATAGCGGCCAACATGTGGCTTGCCTTCTTGAGGAACGGGTACTTGTAATCTGCATAGTTATGAATTGATCCATCAGCAAAACAGAACACGTGACACCACCTATTATCATATGGGGCTAAAGTCTGATTGTGGTAACATGGTTCTGTACCTGGCTCAAACTCTGTTGCATCTGCATCAACTTGTTTTGAACAAGATGCTTCATCCTTTTCCTTTTCTTCCACCACATGTTTGCTCCCTGACGTCTCCTCTTTCTTTAGTTCCTTGGTCTCGACCTATTGGTTTAAACGTGAGTTAAAACTTAAAAGGAAACAAAAACAAGTCGAAATATAAAGTTTTATACCTCTTGGAAGAGCTCTTCTTGATCGACAAAAATATCTTCATTTCCCATCAGTTGAGAAGGATCAAAAGTCAAGTTTTGAGCACTCTCATCGTCCTCATCAAAGAAGGTAAGATAATCTTCAAAGTCGAAACCATCTTGCTGGGTACTGCTGAGATCATTTGTTTCCAGGTACAGACCATCATTCTGCAGAAGATTACTGTTCGGATCCAGAAACGCCTCACCGGTCAAGTAGTTGCTCTCAACTGGAAAATCATTGTAGCATGATGTATCAGTCCCAAAGATGTTTTCAGATGATAGCAAATTTGAGGTGTGCTCATCCTGGACACCACAGCCAATTTCTTCCTCTTGAAACAATGCGTCATTTTGAAGGTTACCATCACGAATAATAGGCTTCTGATCTTTCTCATAAGATTCTTCTGGTTGCTCAAAGTAGCCACCAGAGTCCACATAGTTTCCTGGTTGTATATAGTTTACGGAGTCTGAGTAGTTTGTTTCAACATTATTGCTCGACTCCCCGTGAATAAAGTTTAACGGGATAGGAATGGCATCATAGACCACAAAGTTTTCAGACTTCTGCAAGATATAAAAATTCCAATTGTAAAATTAGAAGAAGAAGAACATAATAGACAGCCTAGAAGGAAATCTGATCAAAATCAGTGAATGAGAAGAAGAGATTTTCACAAGCTCTTCCTCAATGAATACAAAGGAACAAATCATTCGACCAAAAGCTAACCAAGAGATATCAGTAAACTTTAAAACCAATCCCTAATGAAGAGTATATTTTCTATGTTCCAAACAAGCCGATAAACCAAATACTTGAACACAAACCTGATCAATGTCATCCATATCGACATAAACATGATCTTGACTTCCAAGATCTTCTTGATTAGGTACAAAGGTCATATCATCCTCCTCCTCCCACTCTTCCTCAACAAATGGAGCACCATACTGCTCTCCATTTTTAGGTCCTGAACCACTCTTCTGAAAAATCCTACAAAGCACAAACGCATCCTTCCCACAATTCCAAAACAAAGTCAACAACACAATCCCATTAAACAACAATAAACTAAAAAAATCCCAAGTCTTCTTACTTGGTGAACACCAGTTTTATCGAGGTCTTCATCAACCAAGCGATACTCATGCATAACCCAATTGGTTCTTTCGCCACGAGGAGCTCTACCTTTGTGGTAAACAAGAGTCTTCTTCATCCCTACGACTTTTGAGCCATTAAGAATCTCTCGATCTTTCCCTGTGGTCTTCCAATATCCCATCTCAGTCGCACGATTCGTCTTCGACCCATTTCTATACTTCTTATCAAGCATACTGAAGAAGTACCACTCCAAGTCTCTACTTTTCAGCTTCGACTTGTCTAATTCCCACCAAAAACAACAAAATCAAAAAATCAAGCAGAATTCAAATTATATCATCGCTTCCTATACAACAATTTCGATCAAATCATCAACAGATAGAAGAACTGACCCGGGAGATCCCACGGCTCGGATTTGTATACATCGGTAACAGAGATAGCATCAAACTTAAAGGGTTTATTGCAGATCTTGCGTTTAAGGTAGTAACGAACGAGTTCTTCGTCCGTGGGATGAAAGCGGAACCCAGGAGCGAGCGACGTCACTGAGCCACGACCCATATATACTCGGTGGACCAAAATAATGGGTTGGGAGAATTTGAGGAAAATGAGAACAAAGCAAACCGGAGAAGACGATGAACCAATCGGAGCTAAGCGACCGTAGTAGCTACAAAATGTGCAGAAGAAGTTTCACGCCGTGAGGTTTTAATATTTTCCAGGAAAGTGTTCCTGTGCCGGGATAGCATATCAAGTGACTGGCTGTGACTGTTTTTGGGTGACTGTCTTTACTAAACCGACACGTGGAAGTCTTGGACTAGTCATAGCTTTTAAAGTCTCTAGAATTTGTTGGGGTTGGTTGGTTCCCGGAAACGATTTATCCACTTCAGTAAATATCAGATGACTAAAATTTAAAATATTTGAAATTTTCGTTGAATAGAAGAGTAAATAAATAGAGAATATATTTGATGTTAGAAAACGCAATCCAGGGTTAAATCGTACCAAACCCTTTTTCGCTTTTTAAAATAATTGCAAAATTACGTGTAACGAAAGTCTTCTAACGTCGCTGACGCATCCACATTCGTAATGCTAGCTGAATTGTTCAATGACGGTTATACCCTCACTCCTTACCACTAACCCCGGTATTACCGGAGACAATGAAAGTCCTTGTCTGCAAATCTAGATGATAAATGCACCTTGAAATGACAATTATGCCCTCGGACCTAACCACCTCTAGTATTGTTCTCGTCTGTGGCATGTTGGCAGAACGTTCTTGAGACAAATTTAAGATAGTTTTTGTCTGAAAAGACTAGATAGATAGATGATATATGACAATGGAGCAACAACCTAAACTGTTCTCAAAAGATGCAGGAACATCCAAAAAAAAAAAAAAAAAGAAGGATAAAACACTCGGCTCAGGGGCTCGAATCCGTTTTATCCTATGTTACAACAGAGATTCACACGGTTCGCAATCCGTCTAGAGGAGCTACATAGATGGCTCATAATATTAGGGAGATTAAAGCTAAAAGGCGAAGAGCAAGAAGAAGTAACCTGGAGAGATGGTTTTAGAACCTTTATTGTCCATTGGCATTGTTCTTCTTAAGTTCCTCGTTCTCCTGACGCAGCGCATCGATCCTTGACTGGAGAATACTGATCATAGCTTCTGCACTCATCATTTCAAGCTTGAAAGTTTCTCTTTCAACAGACATCTGGTGAATCTCCTTCTGGAGATCATTAACCTTCTCTTCAGGAGATGCAAGTGGAGTTTGAGGAGGAGAAGGTTCCTTGTGAGGACGTAGCGGTTGCTGCGGCTTTTCTTTCTTGTCGGAGATACCCATGAGTGAGAACTCAAGCAATGCAGAGATGGCAGTGTTGGTGGCAGCGGCAGATGATGAGATTAAGGTGGTTGTATTGTCGACGGTTGTTGTTGTGGACGAACAATGGTCCTGTGTGTTCCTGCTTGAGTTGTTGTTTGACTCATTCTGGCGTCTACGTTTGTATTGCAGGAGAGGTAATGGAGCTTCTTTGTTGAGAACACATACAGGTGGAGCAGGACGCTCATCTTCTTCCGTGTGCTCGCGTTTGAGTGTTTCCTCGTTTTCATCATAATTATTATTGTTGTTATGCTCCTGCGGCTTGAGCTCATTCTCATGATGATTCTGTTGGTTAGGTTCGATATCCATTGGAGCTGTCTCTCTCGGTGGCTCATTGATGTTGATGAGACTCTTGCTGCCTGACTGGATTTCCTACAACAAATTACAAGTGAACCCCAGACGACACATAAAATATCTGAAACCAAATGCTTCAATCAACTTTGCGGATGAAAGATCAAAACTGCATTTTCACTAAAACAACAAAAAAATCATTATACTTCTGGTCAACATTTACTGATCAATTAAGTGAGTTCATATGATGCACAGTAACAAGTGCTGGTCAATGAGGATGCAAAGTTTGAAAGATCTTGTAATCAGCATGATTAAGAATAAATCCCAAGAAACAAAAAAGAAGGACCACAGAAAATTTAGATATTTTCTGAATCAAGAGAGTTGATTCATCAGATAAACCTATAAGGTTGATTTTTACAAGAGTTGGCTCGATGGAGTAATAACTCAGCCCACTGAACCAGTACTTAGAGAAGCTTCAATTCAACACAAGAAGTTTTGCAGATAAGAAATATAATATCTTGTGAAACAAGAGAGATGATGCATCAGATAAATTTGTACATTTGCACTGTATATAACATTGAAATCGTAGATTGGTTCAAATAAACTCAATCAGCCCAATGGAACACCATTTAAGAGAGAATTTCAACAGCGTTTTTGCATATAAGAAATATTGAAATGAAACTAATAAGGTTTGGGTTATGAAGCCAGAGTATGAAGAAATCACAAACCTGGTCCATCTGGTTGTTTCCATTGGCTACTGGCGGCGGCTCTAGCCTGAGCTTAACGTCTATTCCTGGAATCAGAGCTCCTGCATCATCAGCCCATTCCTCTTCCATGAACGGCGCATATCTGTTCCCACTTGGTGGCCCAATGTTATTCTTGTGGAAGACTCTGCACAACACATATGCATCTTGCTGCACCCAAACAAAGAATTGAGATAAGATAAGATCTTTGGAAAATATCAGAAACCTAATTTGAAAGTAATCTGAAAGTAATACAGTACCACCAGGTTTCCGTTTTTCTCGGTTTCATATTCCACAAGGCGATACTCGTGCATGACCCAATTAGTCCGAAGCCCGTCTGGGGCACGCCCGCTGTGGAAAACAAGCGTCTTTTTCATACCAAGCAACTGAATGTCACGGCGGATTTCTCTGTCTTTTCCAGTTGCTTTCCAGTACCCTCTGTTAGTTGCTCGGTTCATCCTAGCGCCGTTTCCATACTTCTTATCTAATGCGCTGTAGAAGTACCATTCTTGGTCCCTTGTCTTTAACCTCGAAAACACTGAAACACAACACAACAGAAGGAAATTACTTAAACCAGACTTTAACTCAAAACTTTACATTTCCTGAAACACAAGCAAACAAAATTGGAGCACAAGTTAGCCTGAAATTCTAAAGAAATCTGCAAAAACGAATATTTAAACCACTTAAGAAGTCGATTTTGATGAAATGTCTTCACAGTGTTATAGCCTAAACATACATAGCAGAAGGTAACAACAGAGAATCTGCAACAAAATTTCCCACCAAAATGAATCGGAACCTATAAAGTTAAAAACTTTTCCCAAGAATCGAGTCAGAAGAAGCGAAGAAGCCCAGACCACAAAATCCCAAATCAGAAGCAACAAAGTCACAGAAAAACCCAAAATTGAAGAGATGCACAGAAACCAAGAAAGAGCGAAGTGAAACCCAAAGAACCTGCTAAATCCCAGGGCTCATGCTTATAGATATCGACCTCTCCAATCGCATCGAAGCGTACAGGTTTGCCCAGAACCTTCCTCTTCAAGTAATAGCTCACGAGTTCCTCATCAGTCGGATGAAATCGGAAGCCAGGAGCAAGCGAGGTAGCCGCAGTAGCAGTACCCGGAGCAGTCGCCGAGGGCGGCGCAGTCACAACAGCCAGAGATTCGCGACCCATTATAGCAAAGTAAAGACCGTACTTGTTCTAGGGTTTCCTCAATTTCCCTATCCCCAAATCTCACCTGAAGAACAAAAAGACAAGTTGGATAAATGGGTTTTTTGATTTGAGGAAGAAGAAACCAAAGAGATAAGCATAAGATGAAGGGTACCTTCAATTGCAAGAAATTTGTCTTTCTTTTCGCGTTCCCAGAAGGCTAGTAGTAACAAAGTATTTTGGATTGCGATTCCAATTTTGATTTTCATTTTCTTTTTTTTTTCATTTTCTTATTTCATTATTTCTCTTTTTGAGTGTGGCAGTAATAAAACCCTAGACAAATGTTACTGCGTAGGTTTTTGTCGTTTTATGTAGTAAATTACTTTCGTAGTCATCTAAAAAGCAAGTAATTTTTTTCCAACTCTTGGATAAAGATAGTATTAGAAAGAAAAAAAAACAAACCTATCGAAAGTACAATCATTCAACAAGGGTCACACAAACTCATAAATGATACTACTACTAGACAATAGATTCTTAAAGGAGTTAAACATAGCCAGGTTCCGTATATTAGGGGGACGATATAGTTAAAATAAAATACAAACATCAGACTTTATAACACCTACGAAATTCCATTACCTAGTAGATATGAATCCATTTCGAAAATACGTCTCTGATCAAAACTTCTTCTTTGAAACTTAATGATAAAAAGATGTCGACACTATAATAATCTAACAAATTAAGACAACCAAGAAGCTTGTAGATGAAGGTTTAGTAAGATGCACCAAATAAAAAGACCACATTTGGCTGATTCCTACATGGCGGCAGCGGCACCATCAGACAACATTTACAAATGTGATTGTTAATCAGACAAGTTCCGGTCTAAATCATTGGCTCCGTCACGACCAAGTAAAGAACACGGGCCATACCAAGTAGTGGTCCAGTCGCCACCATCAACACCGAGTCTATAAGAAACTAATGAGGTTTTTCTCCTTAATCCAGCACAGAGTTATCGAATCGAATCTAAAGAAAGAACGAAGCAAGTGTAGTATGGAAATTAGAGTTTTAGGAATTTGGAAAAAATGAGAACAAGCAAATCGGAGAAGAAGAGAGGCGGCAACGAATCCTCCGGGAATAAGCGACAGTGGAAAAGATTAAGAGTGAAATGTTAGGCAGTGAGGTTTTAATATCTCTTCCAGGGAATTGTGCTCTGTAAATAGTGCCGATACTCTGATATTTTTGGGTAACAGCAAATAAAGTAGCGACACGTGAAATTTTGGACAAGTCTTAGATAGTCTCTGTAACTTGTTGCGGTAGTTGGTTGGCGCAAATTTATACTCCATCTGTTTCGTTTTAGTTGTCGTTTTACGACTTAAATTTTGTTTTGTAATAGTTGTCGTTTTAGGTTTTCAATGTAAATGGTTGGTAAAAATTCCAGTATTATCCCTATTATTTTAATGTTTTAGCTAATGAAAAAATTTATAAGATATATTAATAAAGGGTAAAACAGAAAATTTAATGTTTTTCTTAATTTGCGTGAAAAAAACCTTAAACGACAACTAAAACAAAACGGAGGGAGTATTATATATATATATATATATATATAATAATGGAATTAGTTTGAAACACAAAAATTAGGTTTTCAGCAATTAAAAAGTTGAAATTAAAAGAAAAGTAAAAGGGAATTTTGCCAAATGTGCCACATTTTGGGAAAATATTAGCAAATGTACCACATTTGAAATGAATTTAGCATCCATACCACATTTGGTGTTTGTGTGGCAATTCTTGGACGATTTTGCCCTTCTCTGTGCGTCAGGTATGTGTTAGGGGAAGGAGCTACAGTAGACGCCGGTTGGGAAACGGGGACAACTTTGTGTCAGAGAAGGACAACTTTGTCTGAAAGACAACTTTGTGTCAGAGAAGAAGGACAAAACATTGCATTAAATGCAGTTTACATTTACCATGGACAATAATTATGAAATAGAGTGAATGATGTCCACCAAGAATAAGTCCAGGTCTCTTGATTGTCCATCGCCAGATGATGTGGTTTTACCAGCCAGAGATCTGGATTTACTCGGGGACAACTTTTCTTGATTGTCCATCGCCAGATGATGTGGTTTTACCAGCCAGAGATCTGAATTTACTCGGAGACAACTTGATCTTTATTTTATTCCGCCAAAGAGCCGAAGACGAAGATCTGGATTTACTCGGGGACAACTTTGTTTTACCATCCAGTGGAAAAAAAAAAGGTTCAATAATCCGGGTAAGTGAGGACAATATTGTTCGACTAATCTGCAGACCAAAATAGATGCCGAGAAATCTAAATAAAATTCAAAACCCTTAAACGAGAACAATTGGTAGACAAAATGTGGAATTCATGATAATAAAACAAAATGATGAATCGGGGACAAGATCTAAACGCAATAGAGAATTCCCAATCGGGGACAAGATATGGACAACAGTAGAGAATGTTTATATGAAAAAAAGTTTTGTCGTAAATGAGAGAAAGAACTAGACAAAGAGAGAGATAAAGTGAAAGTGAAAGAAATAAATAAATAAAATAAAAATGTAACAACAAATAAAGAAAGAGAAAATTGTAGTTACCAATGTAGAGAAATAAAGGAAGACAGAAAAGTTAGAGGGGCACATCAACTACAGGTTTTGGTCTCTCATGTTGGAGGGTAAAATGGTCTTTACCAACGGCAATTGTGGTACAAGAGAAAAATGAGTATATGAAGTGGTAGAACCAAAAATGTTTCGGTGAAATGTCGTATAACAGCTAATTTTCTCAAAGTAAAATATATTTATTTATTTGAAAATGGAATCCAGGCTTGAATCGTATTTAGCGCTTTTTGCTTTAAAAAAAAAACAAATAATTGCAAATTACGTGTAACAAAAGTCTTCTAACGTCGTTGACGGAACCACATTCATAAATCGTAACGCTAGCCGAATTGTTCAATGACGGTTACACCCTCACTCATTTCCACTAATCACGAGTTTAGCTAAAGCTGTCTTCCCAGTTCTTCGAGATAGAACATTATTAAGCAACAGAGTAGTTCTTTGTACGGAAGACCAGAAGGTAATTTCATGAAGATTATGCCCTCGAACCGGACCACTAATGATTACGGTTTTACCCCAAGAGAAAAAAAAAAAGCTTTCTTGAGACCAAATAAAAGAGAGTTCTTGTCTGAAAAAGACAAGATAGATAGATGATAATAGTATATGACAATGGATCAGCCTGAAATTGTTCCCAAAAGATGCAGAAACATGAAATAAAAAAAGGATCAATAAAGACCCTGCTGGGTGACTCCGTTCCGTTTTATCCTAATTTTACAACAGAGATTCATATGGTTTCTGATCTGTCTGAACAAGCTACATCCATAGCTCATACTATTAGGAAGATTACAGCTAAAAGGCAAAGAAGAAGAAGAAGAAACCTGGAGAGATGGTAGTGTGGTTTAACTAGCTTGTCCACTGGCGTTCTTCTTCTTAAGTTCCTCGTTCTCCTGACGCAGTGCATCGATCCTTGACTGGAGAATGCTGATCATAGCCTCTGCACTCATCATCTCAAGCTTGAAAGTTTCTCTTTCAACAGACATCTGGTGAATCTCTTTCTGGAGATCATCAACCTTCTCTTCAGGAGATGCAATTGGACTAGGAGGAGAAGCTTCCTTGTGAGGACTAAGCGGTTGCTGCTGGTTTTCTTTCTTTTCGGAGATGCCCATAAGTGAGAACTCAAGCAATGCAGAGATGGCAGTGTTGGTGGCAGCAGCAGCAGATGATGATGAGATTAAGGTGGTTGTATTGTCGACGGTTGTTATTGTGGACGACGAACAATGGTCCTGTGTGCTCCTGCTTGAGTTGTTGTTGGATTCGTTTTGGCGTCTACGTTTGTATTGGAGGAGAGGTAGTGGAGCTTCTTTGTTGAGAATGGAGAGTGGAGGAGGACGCTCATCTTCTTCTGCGTGCTCGCGTTTGAGTGTTTCCTCATCTTCTTCATAACCGCTATGGTTGTTATTCTCCTGTGGCTTGAAGGCGCTCTCATGATGATTCTGTTGGTTAGGTTCGATGTCCATTGGAGTAGCATCTCTCGGTAGCTCGTTGATGTTAATGAGATCCTTGCTTGTTGAATGGATTTCCTACAACAAATTACAAGTTAATGTGAACCCCATTAGGCATAAAATATCTAAAACCCAAAATGCGTTGATCGACTTTGCAGATTAACCAAAACACAATAAGTCTTTCTCTAGTTGATTATCCTTTAATGCAAAACGAAGATTGTAAGTCTGAAATATCTTGTAATCACGAGGATAAATCCCAAAGAAAAAAGACCATAAAGAAAAATTTAGATATCTTGTGAATCAAGAGAGACCATTCATTAGATAAAGCTGTAAGGTTGAGCTGAATTCTACAAGAGTTGATAGCAAACTTAATGGAATTGTGCAGTTTAAGTAACTCAGCCCACTGAAACAGCACTTAGAGAAACAAAGAGCTTTTGCATATACGAAATATGATATCTTGTGAATCAAGAGGGATGATTCATCAAAGAGTTTTTGCATATAAGAAACATTGAGTGTAAAGAAAGCACAAACCTGGTCCATCTGGTTGTTTCCATTGGCTTGTGGTAGAGCCTCTACCCTGACCCTAACGTCTATTCCTGGAATCAGAGCTCCTCCACCATCAGCCCATTCTTCTTCCATGAATGGCGCATATCTGTTCCCACTCGGTGGCCCAATGTTATTCTTGTGAAACACTCTGCACAACACATATGCATCCTGCTGCACCAGACAAAGAATCGAGATAAGATAGGATTCTTTTAACAATATGAGATAAACCCAATTCGAAAGTAACTCTTTTGGACAAGATAATACCAGCAGGCTTCCGTTAGTTTCAGTTTCATATTCCACAAGTCGATACTCGTGCATCACCCAATTAGTCCGAAGCCCGTCTGGAGCACGCCCGCTGTGGAAAACAAGCGTCTTTTTCATACCGAGCAACTGAATATCCCGGCGGATTTCTCTGTCTTTTCCAGTTGCTTTCCAGTACCCTTTGTTAGTTGCTCGATTCATCCTAGCACCATTACCGTACTTCTTATCTAACGCGCTAAAGAAGTACCATTCTTGGTCCCGAGTTTTCAACTTGGAAAACACTGAAACACACAACACAACAGATGAAAATTTACAAACCAGACTTAACAACACTTCAGATAACCAACAAACTTCATTTCCTGAACCACAAGCAAACATAACTGAGCCACAAGCAAACACAAAATTCTTAAGGAATCTGAAAAATCGACTTTCCCCAATTAAAGAAGTCAATTGGATGGAATGTCTTCGCAGTGCTATAGCCTAATTGCCTAAACATAGCAAAAGGTACGAACAGAGAATCTTCTCTGCAACAAAAAATTTCCCAGAAAAAGAATCGGAGCACATAAAAGCTAAACCCTTTTCCCAGAAGACGGAACAACAAATAAGCCCAGGCGACAATAATCACAGATCAGAAGCAACAAATTTACAAGTCTCACGGAAAAACCCAAATCACAGAGATACGCAAAAACGAAGAGGAAGAAACCCAAAGAACCTGCTAAATCCCAGGGCTCATGCTTGTAGATATCGACCTCTCCAATCGCATCGAAGCGTACAGGTTTGCCCAGAACCTTCCTCTTCAAGTAATAGCTCACGAGTTCCTCATCAGTCGGATGAAATCGAAAGCCAGGAGCAAGCGAGGTCGCCGACACAGCAGTACTCGGCGCAGTTGCCGATGGCGGCGAGGACACAACAGCCAGAGATTCGCGACCCATTTAAGCAAAAAAAGAGACCGTACTTGTTCTAGCGTTTCTTCTCAATCTGTACATCAAATAAAGTTGTCCAAATGTGTTTTTAATTTGACAGAGAAGAAATTAAAAAGAGAAGCACAAACATTAAAGGTAGCTTCAATTGCAAGAAATTTGCTTTCTTTACGAGTTCCTAGAAGGTTAGAAAACAAGTAATTTCGGATTTGCGATTCCGATTTTCATTTCCCTTTTTTTTCTTTTTTTAATTAAATTTTATTTAATTTCTCTTTTTTGAGTGTTGCAGTAAACCCTAGAAAACGTTACTGCTTAGGTTTTTGTCGTTTTATGCAGTAAAATAAAGAGAAGGAAACACTGTCGTAGTGTGGTCTTAAAAGTGAAAAGTAAGTATTAAACGAAAAATATTTATATTTTACGATTGGAATTTCCTAAAAATGTCTTACCATAATATATGTAGTTGACCAAAAGCATATTATATATGTGTGTGAATATAGAATAGAACAGTAATATTGATTACTATATAAGTAAATAATATTTAGATAGATGATGAAAAACAATAAATGAAAATCAAAGATTCTTTCTGTGATTAATAAATCTTTTTAAAATGTCAAGTATTTTTACACTAAAAGAAAAAAGTTTATTTGTTTCCTTTTACATTAAATGCATTGTACATATCTCTAGTATAAAAATCTTATATTTCATAAAATTCTGCAGTTCAAAGATTTACAAACTTTACGGTAAATAATAAAATCTAAGGAAACAATCTTGTTGGAAAATATATAATGGTTTTGTCTTCTCCTTATCAAAAGTTAAATTTTGATAAGTACCTTTTTTTTTTTTTTTTTTTGTCAATCGATAAATACCTTCTCTTTTCATATCCAGATTGCCAAATATTTTTCTTTTTGATATAAATGTATAGGTTAAAAGAAGATTTAATCTCGTAAGGTTAATAAATTTTATTTAATTAGGATAATGTCGTTTTCTTTAAAACCCATAAAAATGTAATAACAGTTTAAAAGAAGTTGACCCAAAAAAAGAGTTAATGAGAATAATATAGAAGGTGAAAGAAAAATAAAAAAGGAGTGACAGATACGTTTGCTTGCAGAAGGATACTTTACCAATAAGGCAAGCTAAAGGGGAAGTGAGACTTGGTCCACACGAATCATCATCTTTCCCATTTTCTGTTACTAATGTATTTATTTTTCTTCTTTTTTCTCTGTTTATTTCTAGTGCCAGTCCTCTTCAAATTTGTAAATCGTAGTTTGGTTTTCATTTAAAACATTTTCAATTATGAAATATAAACATTAACTACGATTACAACTTGAATAATTTAAATGTTTGTATAGTCAAGGTGACAAAGACAAAAAGATACCTTTTTTTTCATCTTCTAGAAAATGGAATAGGCCTCTATAATTTTTTACTGAATTTTTGGTAACGATAAGAAAAAAACAAACGACAAAAAAAAAAAAGAAAGATAAAAAAATATTTCTACATGTTGAAATTTTTGCTGTCGACATTTAGATATTGAAAGATTAATAATTATGGTGTACGGGGCTGAATTGATGAGGCGTACCAAAAACTATATGATATATTTTTGCACTATTTCGTTTTTTTTTGGTACGCTATGTCTCTTGTCTCTTATGCTTTGTATGCGTAACTAATTCGAAGGCAGAATTTTAAACGAAAAATATCCAACTCTTACATTTACACATTATTATGGAACTAAAAAAGTAAAAGTAAACGAAAATACTATTTTGTTTATTTATATATTTTTGTTGTCAGCTATCTGACACCACTGTCTCCAAAAAGGACAAAATGCTAAAATATCAAGACTTTTTCTTTGGCTCATAAAAAAAAAAAACGGTTTGAGCCTCGGCCCTCGGGTGTAAGTTCTGGGCCTAATTTCTTCTAAGCTTAGAATATTAAAAGCCCATGATTTATTTGTAGCCCATTTTAATGACGGACGGGTGTAAATCAAGCCCATGTTAATTTTTTTTTTTTTCATAACAGTTTCTCGTATTGAGACTAGAACAACATGCATTTGTCTTCACGAAGCAAATGAAACACTGAATCTTGAGGAGCTGAGAAAAGTGTGTTATGAAATTGCAATTCCGGTAACAAGTTGCATATCTCAGGGTACAAATTTTGTGATGGTTAACAAATTAATCCGTTGCAAAGTATATTCATAGCAAATTATGTGACATTAATAAACAAAATAAAAGCATAAAGGGCACAATATATTGCATATTGATCCCTCACTCTCGACCTACAATTTTAATGTCAACATGAACCATTTTTCTGTTTGAAATGCAAATTTAACAAAAAGAGTTGGACCCGTCACGCCCTTTTCATGAACTTTTTGTTTTGTTTCTTAAAGGGTTTGAACCCCTTTATTTTTTTCTCTAATCCAAAAAATTCATTCATTCTTTAAATACAAGTATATACATGAACGTGACATAAGTTTTTTCTAGAAAACTATTTAAATGGATCAACTGAAAATAATAGTATACAGAAAAAGCTATATATTTATATGTATTTTTAGTTGATTTATGTAAATATAAACTAAGAATGTGGTCTTTACGAGAATGCCCCAATAGGCCAATACTAAACGAATGTGGTATTTTATTATTTATATTGTGTAACCAAAAGATCTTAATTACATTAACTTTGGATGTAGTTACAAAGCATCTGCATTATGCCTAATGGGAGTATATATAATTGTATAATATTTAGTTTTCTTAGGAAATTAAGGAAGTAAGAAAGGAAAAAAAAAAAGAGAGAGAGAAGAATCTTGCAAGTCTTGTACAAAGCAAGGAATCAGTAACTTTCTTAAAAACTGGTTCATCAATTTCTGCTTAAATTTTTTAATAAATAAATTTTAGGTATTGAATTTTGATTTCAGTAATGGCAATCCACCAATGTAGGAGGGGATGACAAGACAAGAGACTTTTGTTCTTCTCTCTGTTTCTTCTGTTGTGTTTGTTCATGTTCTTGTTCGTGTTCTTGCTTTGAAGCAAAGCTTAATCCGTTGACCCGATTCTCATCTTCCGGGGCAGGTAGATTCAGATCTAAATCTAACGACACAACCGCGCTCCTTGCTCTCTTAACCGGAGCCTGAACCGGACCATCCGACATCTGATCAAACGACATAGGCGACAATGACAAAGCCGTGTTTGCAGTAGCCTGAGTGGCTGCAACCGCTACTGTGGCGGTAGAGGCGGCTGCTGCGGCCACCACTGCACCTCTATGGCGTCTCATGTGACCACCTAATGCTTGCCCGGATGTGAATTCGGCTCCACATATCCCACATTCATGGACCTTATTATTACTAGCTTTACCGTATGCCACAAGCGATCTATGGTTACTATTGTTGTTAGGAGTTGTGGTGATAACGTTGTTGAGATGGAGAGAAACGGCGTCATCGTAGATAGATTTCTTGTGGTCATGGTTGGAGTGAAGACCCGTGGCGGCTTTAGGCTTCTTGTGGCTGGCTCTATGGCCGCCAAGAGCTTGGAAAGACGGAAAAGTCCGGTCACATGTTTTGCACTGGTAAACATAGTAACCAGCTTTGCCTCCACCACCATTCGTTGTGGTCCCATTAGATGAAGGTGTCTCTAGAAACCTCCTGCTGCTAGATCTATACGCGTTGTTGTTATTACCGGATTCCTGGTAACTTATCATAAGCTGTCTTGTTTGTTGTTGCGGGTGCGGTTGCGGTTGGTGGTGGGGAAGAGAGTGGCCTTGGGCGAGAAGGATCAAACAATTAGCCATATCTTGATCTTCCTCGTCAGCCGTGGCCTTTAATGTGGCATTTTTGTTGGAAGATGAAGAGGCAGAAGATGAAGATGTAACATCATTGATCAAAGTATTGTTATCATTCTTGTTGTTATTGTTGTTGATCTCATCATTGAGACTCTTCTCCTTGGAAATAAGACTAGTGGACTCTTCTTCAGCATCCGGTTCATGCGAAGACAAAGGAGGGATGATAGAGAAAGGGATTGGGGACTGCGGACGTTGCCGCTTAGTCCGTTTCCCTTTAAGGATCAATGATTGCTCCCTAGCGGCTGATACAGCCTCCGCAGCTGCTTCCATTGGCTATATAGAGAGATCAGGAAGAAAGGGAGGTACTATTGAAATTGATCAATTGGAAAAGATGATATAGAGAGAATTGAAATTGAAGATGGAGATGATCAGCTTTAAGGATTACATATATATAAATATGTATTTGTGTGTTAAGAGAGATGTGTGTGGATTGAAAAGATGCATACATAAATAGAGAGTGATTTAGGGAGAGGAGTCAAAGAGAGACACCACATTCTCAAGTGTGTGGAATATGTTGGACTTGTCTTTTTGCAGCCTCTAAAATTTTAGTACTTCTGTTATTGTCTCTATTACAATCTTCCCAACTTGGCAAACTCATCACAATACACAAGAGCTAGAGAGAGGAGAGAGAGAGAGAGACAAAAACATAACAAAAAATGTGTAAATTTAGACAATTACTTGAGTGATGTGTATTTTGTCTCTTCATTATCCCTTTAATTTACTCTGTATAACAACTTATTTTTGGATTGGTTCTGTTGAAAGAACTACATGTTTTAAAAAATATATTAATAACTACATGTGGTAAACTATAGATTCAAATTGTTTTTAATAATCCGGATCTAACCTCTAGCTCGATATTTTCTGTACTTATTGACATTAAATTTGACATTATTGTGAATGGAAAATAAAGATTGAAGTCTAACTAGACACGCTATTTTTATGCTTGAAAATATTTCAGTAAATTACGAAAATTAGTTGTAATCCTCTATGTTACCATCTTTGAGAAAATATCAAAAGATAAGAAAGAAAAAAATGGTAGAAGAGATTACTTTGGGTGAACGAATGCGTAAAATAATGATAGTGCAAGCCTGGCTCTCACGGAATCTACGGCTCTCTCTTCGTCGTCTCTCTCTACCATTACTCCACTCCATCTCTTTTCTTTTTATTTTATTTTAATAATTAGTATCGTCTTGGCATATTTCTAATACGTATACGTACTCATCTCTACGTACATACATGTTGGTGTAATTAATAAATACACTATTCGAATTAATTTTTGAAATTGATACCAGAAAAAAAAAAACTTTAAGTCCAACTAATTTGTCGTAAGAGTAAGACGACGACTTATTCCCTAGCTCTAGACTTAAGACAATAATTTTGGTAATGCTAAATAATGACCAAGTCCTCATCTCTTAGATTGAAAATTAATAAAAAATATAGTAGAATTCCGTAATGACCACACATATCTTGTATAAAACAAGGAAAAAAAAAAGTAAAAGAAAGAAAGAGTTGATCGGATCGGAAATCGATCGATCTATGAACTTCAACCAACGTAGTAACATCAATGACTTATTTATGGACTGTAACTGAATAAAATACTAAACGACGTATCACGTATGCATGTCTAAATTAATTTAACTTTGTTAGTTATATATGTTAGAACGGATGAGTGCAAGTAAGGTGATAATGCTTGTAGTCTTGTAGATTGATGATTTTTACATTTTCAAGAAACATGCACATTCGCATCGCACGTATTACCAACTAGTATACTATAGACTATAGTTTGTCCAAAAAACCTGTAAACTGAAAGTCTGCTTTTTCTTATAAGATACAGTTTCAAAATATAATAATATAATTAACACATGTTGGCGTGTGTATGTATTATGAAGTATATGCCGATTTGTTCATGGTTGCATGATGTGAAGAGCACCCACTTCACGTAAAGAATATATTACTAAGTAACAACGAATCAGCAAGTGCAGCTCATCGTATCTCCAAAACTTTTCATATTATCAATCAATATATTAAAAGTGGACAATCTGGTAACCGAGACAAAATATAATGATTTCGGGAATGGAAATGGACCAATAGCTTTAGATGAAACTGCATTTTAAAAAATAAAATATAAAATACGTTTAGTTACATCTACAGATTAATTTACTTTAACGTAGTATCTAGGATGAATGTGAGTACTTTATATACTCAAATTAAGTATACATTTTAGTCAATTTCATTAGTATATTTGGTTGATAAGTGGCCTTCTGAGTTCTGACATGTTCACACACACATAGACATATATGCATAAAACAAATCCATTATCATTTTCTTATAGATGAAATGAGGGTTATTTTTAGCTGAGTTAATTTTATATAAAGTCTACTCTTTATTGTTGGATGTAGCTAATAATTAGCATAAAAATGATAGTGACTAATTATTGCTTACTCCTAATGATTAGGGAATAGTCGACTGGATAACATGGACTGCATATACTCCCTCCGTTTCAAAATATAAGTCGTTTTAGGTAAAAACACGCCGATTAAGAAGATCTACTTTTAAAAAGTTCAACCTATCATAAAAGAGACTGCATAATATAAATGATCATAAAATATTAAAATAATATATAATATGCATCGAAACTCGAAAACGACTTATATTGTGAAACAAAACATTTAGTCCAAAACGCCTTATATTATGAAACGGAGGGAGTATATACGTATAGACATTAATTAGTACATGCTTTCAGTATTATATACATAAGTAAGTATTGGAAAAAGAATTAATCAAACAAAACTTAAGTTTCCATTTGTTTCCTTTTCTATCATTCATTGGAAAAAATCACAACGCCGCCTAGCGTGGTTTATCATCTTAAAAATAAATTGATTAATAGTTGAAGTCGTTTATCAGATAACATATAAGGTGACGATGTCAGAACTAATCAATCGAAATCTATAAGAAAAAGTTGAGTGTTCTTATTGTCGGATAACACTTTTGGAAACAATTTGTTTGCGAGTGCATGTAAACTAGCATTTTTACTGATTTTGTTATAAAGAAAACTTTCCTAGATCCTGACATTGATAAGTGTTCATTGTCAAATGTCGCTGAATGAAAAAAAAAAAAAAAAAAAAAAAAAAAAAAATGTCGCTGAATGTATAGATATACCTAGGATGTTTAGAGGGTGTTTCATATTATTTATTTGAACATTGTTTTATTTTATTTTACAACCTAAACAGAAGCCCACACGATTAGCGAAAACATTTTCTCTAAAATTTGAAAATACAAAATATTATTAATAATTGGGTATCCACTTGATAAATCTCTGATTATGAAAGTATACAACTCCGTTGCCAAAGAATAGTATATCTAGATAAATCAAAGAAGTAGTACAAAAGCGGTGTCAAGAGATGATAATGGGAGAGTTAAGGAGAACAAGTCGGTTAGTATATAAAGTTCCGTTTAGAAGAGAAAGAAAGCTTTTAATTATTGAGTGAGTGGTTCTTGATCTCGTGTCTGCTTTCATCGTAGCACGTTTCTTAGTTATATATAAAAATCAAAAGAGAAAGTTCTTAATATAAAAGAGAATGTAAAAGTAAACAGATAAAAGTGAGTATCCCACACTTTTCTAGCTACCAGTTATGAGTAGAAGAAAAATGCTTTGATGAAGAATAAGCCTTTCCTTGTCTCTACTGCTTGAGGTTTTCTTTTGGGTCAAATTATTTGAAAAAATGGACACAGACATTATCATTTTTCTTAAAAAAACCCTATGTTATGAGGGTTGGAACTGAATACACATTCTTGTGTAATTCGATGGATTTGGGTTGATATATTAAGAAGAGTTTTCAGGTGGCTAGATCATAATTTATGTGTTTTCAAGTGAAAATCAATAGATAATGAGTAACACATTCGTTTGGGAAGTCTGTCAGTTGGGCCTTGGCCCAATTAGTTTACCTGGTAGCCAGAAATGCAGGCGACTTGACTACCCTCTGGCACTTAGTCGGAATGCATTCCAAACTCGGGATAGACAGAGTGGTAGCCCGTAAGGACCTAACAGTTAACACGGTGGACCAAATCCACTATGTAGCACTTCGGTGCGTTCCTACCGGAACCGACCGGATAGCCGATAGGGTTTATCAAAAAAAAAAAAAGATAATGAGTAACCGGCTTTTGAGAGTTTTATGTATCATGTAAACTTTTTTATGATATAATATTAATATCATTGATTTGCAGTGAAAGAAAAAGAGTAATTGACTCATGTATATCCTATGTATTAAGTATTTTCTAATTTCCGATGTGAGGTCCTGACAAGCTCAACATCCCTAGCAAAACTAAATATACACTGAGTATCTCGTATAGAATAGTTTTTGTTTTTCGTCGACATCTTAGATTAGTTATTAGCTAAAAATAATAAATTTGTGTAGCAACGCAAACCATGTCCTCTTCCATAAGATAAGACATCTATGATAGAGAGAAAGGCTTAAGGGAAACTCAAGCACAGCATGTTACTAGCTAGTTACTAGGCAACTAGGCAAAAGACAAGTCTTGATGGCAATGATAATCAATGATGATGATATGAAATGAAGCAAGCAGATTATATCAATACCGCGGTATGTTTTGTTTCAAGCAAAGCTATTGAGAAATAATCACTGAAAGGGTTCTTCTTACTAGATAAAACAGTTCGTTTGAACGCTTGTGCTAGCCATACCCGCGAGACCATTAAAGGCACAAACAATAATCAAGTATAGCTCACTTTCCCGCAATGATGGCATTTATAATCCAATATCACGAGGAGAACCTAGAAGATCACATTTAAAAGAATGAATACTAAGGTGTTGTTCGTTTTTGCTTTTGGATGCAACGTTAAAATGAAAATGTTGTTCATTTGACAAATCTACCATTTGTGTTCGGATAAAAATGATCGTGTCTAAAATATCAATGTATATAAGTATTATTATATTGACTATATGTTTACGAAAAAGCAAAGAATGAAAAACTAATGACTATTTATTCTTGTTTACTTAATTCAAAAATTAAAATTAGATTTAAGTAGTAATCTATCATTTAAAATAATGATTAACAGAGACGTACATCATTTCTAAAATATAGAGGTAGATCTGATTCTTACATCTTCCCTCGAATCAAAAAGAATATATAACAACAAAATTAGTAGGAGTTATATTACCATATTATACATAATTAGATGGGGAATCATGATTATCAATGAAACCCAAATCTAAACGTGACCATCCCAATTATACCTGAAATGGTAATTCTCCTCACCGTTCACATTTTGATAGATGCCATTTTCCCTGACCGACCATCTAACCCAATTGTCGCGATGAGGCAACTGCTTACTTTCGTAGGCAACGATCGCCACATGATTCTCCCAGTCCTTACCTTTCCATAGATGACACCAATAAAGCGTTTTTCCAAATATATGATCAGTGAAAGAATAACTGTACGCCGCACCGGGGCGTCTCACGTGGTCACCGAGATTGCTGTCTCCGGATTTGCAATGCACTTGTAAATAGTGTCCGTGGTGCAGGTTGTTATAGATAAACACCGATCCTCCTATCACATGTTCGGTGTATAAGCATACAACAATCAGAAATATTGTCACACCTAACTTCATCTTTTCTTTTCTTTTACGTTTTTTTTGAAGTAATGGGTATTTTGAAGGAGTTTATATATGTTTTGAATTTTTGAGTAAATGTTGTTTAAAAGGCTGCCCGTAAAAATCTGTCTTTTATTTTTTCTATTTTATTTGTGTATAACATTTACCTGAAAATAAAAACAAGTCCTACACTGATTGGCATTTTACCATTAAATAAAACAATGATTCTTGGATATTTTAAGGAGATGTGTATATTAAATTATACTATAACAAATAACAATATAGTACAGAGATTTAATTAGCGGTTCTGCCACAAAAATAAAAACTTGTTGTTAACGGTGTTCTATATTATTATTTTTTTCATCTTAAAAGAAGAAGAAAAACAAACCCTAGTATTTCATGGATTATATAAGTAGTTAATCCAGATGATTTGAAGATTAACTTTGTGTGATATATCATATATCTCGACGTGGACTGTTAAGATTACCGTTGGGAATTGATATTATCTCTCATAGATCTGATATCTACATATATTGTTTGTAGGATTTGATGGATAAACAAATTATACGTTATGTATTTTTTTTCCTTCCTGATAAATACAACACAGATTTCGATATATAAATTCGTTTTATCTATATCTACATGGACATAAATACTTGATTTGATGAACTCCGCTCAATTTCTAATTCTAATGATGATGTAAGATTATTAATTCAAAGTCATAAGTTTTTGTTTAATCCGATATATATTCCTTCGATCTAATCTATTAATGCTGAACGAACCTCTCATACTAAGTTTGGGTAACTCGAACCGCATACCAAAACCCTATTCTTGAATGTAGAAACTCAAGTAATATATAAAATTAATCTAGGAAAATAAAAGAGGTTCATGTTCATTAATTAGGACTCTTAAGAAAGTAAACTCTCCAAGTTGACATGGGAGATCTCGAGTGTTTCAAACACTACTAAAAAACAAATTCCAATATTCATAAATAAAATAAATTTATTAAACGAAAACTAGATAAAATAAAACAAAAATAAAGAAGAGGCTAACAAGCTTAGAAAGATAAAACTCGATCCCAGTGAGGAAGATCTTGATAAGGTTAATGGAACATCCCAACCATACGCGAATGCAGGCTGAAGGAGATAAACCGATAGGTAGATTCCGTCTTCTCTAGCTTCTCACACGTTTCCATCGTTAACAACAAAAACTTGATGATGCTTAAAATTAGGTCCTTGCCATAGATGACACCAAAAAAAGTCGTAATCATGTTCTTTGTAAAGTAAATGGTAGGATCCTGAGGGATGCACCCTATGGTATCCCATATCTTGGTCAGTGGATTTGCAATGGACTATAAGATCGTTTTTGTCACTCAGTTTATTTCTGATCCACACGGATTCTGTGTAGGAGTCGGATAAGGCTGTGTTACTCATCATGGTAAGGCCAAAGACAAAAACAAAAAGGAGAAACGGTACACGATTCATCGATATATACCGTAACGTTGTATTGAATTTTTGCAGTGAATTCTCTGATTTTTAAAACGAAGATCAAGAAACCGTGGGGAGGGTAATGGATAGAGAGAGGAAAATATGCGGAAGCAGAAAATTTTTCTCTGATATAGAATGTTAGAAGGTTTCATAGTCTTTAAGTAATTATAACAATTACTAACAAGCATGACTTTATCGATTGCAATTTTTAATACGTAGTAATTTAAAAATACGTGGCAGAATTATAAATGGTTAATATCTTATGAGAAGTTGATCAAGTTTGCAAGGGGTATTGAATCTAAGATTATCCGATAAATCTCTCAACTAAACCGAAGTAATTGATGTTAAAACTAAATTCTAAGAGTGGTTAAAATGAAAATTTTTATCCTATTTTCAAACAAGCGCATAAAAAATCGATCCGGAACTATATTAAGAAAAATGATAGATTAATTTGATTATTAAAAAAACATAATTTGAACCTAAACTAAAATTATACAAACTGATTCAGAAGACATATATGAAAGCAGCAGTGGGGCGATCATAATTAGGGAATTGTGTAACACGCGTGACCGAAGACGTGAACGTTCAATTCGTCGCCGGAGGATTCCAAATAAGTAATACAAAATAATTTATGTATCAAAAATAAAAAAACATTACAGTGTATATTCTTTAGATATGTATATTATATATCTAAACTAAAAAAAAATAGTGGATAAATTGCAATGACAGATACTCCAAATTGATATTCTGTTAATTTAGGTCACGTATGGATCAAGCAACCGGATCCCACAGAAACGCAACACATTCGTCGCATTAATATCTCAAAGTCAATCCGGGTTAAAGACGGTTATTCTTTTCTAATTAATGTATGACTTTTAGCGAGAATATGACTCTCCCTTAATACGATTTTCTTTCCGTCGTTTGTTATTTGTTTTATTCAACAACAACAATCCTACCATTCTCAATAGTTTTTTTTTTGGTAGGAACCATTCTCAATAGTTAAGCCTTCACACAAAATATCCCTTTTTTGCAACATTTTTAATTTCGTTTTAAAATTTTAATAGACATTGAAAAAGTGAGATGAGATTTTTTAACTTAAATTTCAATGTTTAAGCGTTTAACCGTTAGACAAAAAAATGAAGAACTAAAACCAGTAAAATAGTGTGCATTAATAAAAGTTTAAAACCATTTCAATTACTTTGGGAATCCATCTTGAGTTGTTGACAACTGGCCCAACATTTACTTAGGGAGGATACGGAGCAATTATTACTGTTTACATTTGCTTTGAGAAATCCATGATCTATAAATATGCTAATCTTATTAATTCTTACTTGGAACCCTCTCAAGTATTATTAGCTTTTAAAAAAACCATTTGACTCAAAATGGTTAATAATATTTTCTTCTATCTCTTTGTTATTATTTTCTTGTATTTTGGTTCTAGTGAAGCTATTAGTCTTAAGTGCCACCAAAACACCATAACTTTTCAGAACAACCTCTTTGCAAGTCGGGGTATTCTTAAAGTTCATTGCAAATCTAAAAACGACGATTTAGGCGAACATTTTGTAAATTATGAAGGTCCAACATATAATTTTAGTTTCCATGATAATATCATCTTCAATACAGAATTTGATTGTGATTTGTGGAAGGGGGATCATATGGAGTATCATCAATCTTTTGTGGCATATACATCCATTTTTCTTATTAATTGTGGTGAGTTACACACATGGGATGCTAGAGATAATGCAATTTACTACTCAAAAGATGGTAAGCCAGAAGAGCTCAAGTTCCAATGGATTAAAAATTAAAGTTGATCAGCTCTTATTCCAATTCCATCTTATATGAGCTAATTAAGTTGCCTTTTTATTTTTATTGTTAGAATATACACCAAAGGCAACAAAATAATTTTCTTGTATATGGTTTCGATTTATGAATCTTATATATTAGAAGAGTACAGTTTGAAAAAAAAAATCAGTAATTTATGTTGCGTTTTTTTTTCGTAAGACAAACTGTAAATCTTGGTCGATGAGATCAAATGGAAAATTTAGATATGACTCATAAACCGAAATCGATCATAAGAAAACATAGATAAGATCCATTATTCTGTTGTCAATTCTAACACACAAAAATGCAACATAATTAGTGCATAAGATGAAATGAGAATTTAGCTTTACGAACATCAACCTTTAATCCAACTATACATGAGTTGCTCCGGCTTATCATTTTTTGCCAAGTAAATAGCATCATCTCTTATATCCCATGTGTACAACGCGCCACATCTATAAATGGGATCTCCTTCATATGCTGTAAAATTCCTATGATACTCCAGCCTAGCTCCCTTCCACAAATTACATTTGAATATCGTCGTGAGAACGAGGTGATCATGAAAACTAAAATTGTATGTAGGATCTTGAAATTTCACAAAATGTTCGCCCAAATCGTCGTTTCTGGATTTGCAATGGACTTTTAGAGTACTATGACTTACAAAAAGGTTGTTTCGAAAAACTACAGTGTTTTTATGACATTTATCTTCATTCGACCCAAAACACAAGACTAATATAAAAAACAGAAAGCTAAATACAAGATTCATTCTTTTTGAATCAATCTGATAGATTATATTTGGGGAGGATCACAAAATACTTATTTATTATCTTTGTGTATGTCTCTGGAGATTTTTATAGGCTTCATATGTTTGTCAAAGTTTTTCTCATCCTTAACAATTATTGCCAGATTATGAATCACTTTGGTTTGATGTTTGAACTCCATTTGGCGGACATATATAGAATTCATTGGTGCCTCTTAGTCTTACCCTCTGGAAACAAACTTTCAGTAAATTTTCTTAAATATTCTTTGATTTTTTCTTTGTTGTCATAAAATGGGTTAAATTTTTAATGAATAGAGTATTTCACTAGTTTTAATTCTTCTTATTTTATTAAAATAAACAAATTTACATAACTTTTTTTTTTGAAAAAACTCATCTTCACATTTACATTAATTTCTAATTATTTCAAGTTTTAATAAATTAAACTGAGTTAAGTCAACTTTTTTTTTTAAAGTTTTTATATAAATACATATGAACAAGAAAAATGAATCTTTTCACTCAGAAATATCTTATAGTATAATACTAAATCAAGATGAAAATTTTGATCATGTTGGTATCAAAAAGAAATTTTTTTTTTTGATGATATGCATATTTCATCGGAATTTACTTGGATAAAGCTGAAAATGAAATGTTTCACTAAAGAACATGTAAAGAGGAAGAGGGTGAAAGATCAAAAGACCGAGTTAGAAGAAATGTTAAATTAAAGACTTGACCATGGTTCTGGCATTTTGATTCGATCCATCAACAATTGTTTGATTAATCAATCTTGGTTGCAATTTGTTTAGATGGGTTCCTTTGTACAATAAGGGAAACACATACGAATGCAGATTCATACATGATACATTATATTCAATGGATTCATACTTTTGTTACATATTTGTGTCTATTAATTAAGCACCAAAATCGAAAGAAAGCTTGAGCTTCATAAACATAAATTAGCATTACGGAAAAGAAAAAAAAACATTAGTTTGTCGTCCAACGTTGATCGAGCTTTTCTGGACCAGCATTTGCGGATAAATAAATCCCATCACGTTTGGCAATATATACACGTAACTCACCACATCGAGGAATTGGAGCACTTCCTCTGTATGCTCTAAAGTATTGAAAAGACTTCCCTTGTTGCACTAAGCAATGCCATGTTGTTCTTTCAAATGCAGCCTCACGGAAATTTATACGAACTGGCATACTTTTGAATTTCACTGTGCCGGTGACTCGATTTTTACTGTTGGATTCGCAATTGACTTTGAGAAGAGTACCAGGACCGAGTGCGTTTCGAAATATTATTGTGCAATCTTCGCAAGCTTCATTTAATCCAAAAGACAAAGCAATGATTAACAAAAAAGCTATGAGGCGATTCATTTTTTTTTTTTAAATCTAAAATGTACTTCGGAGTAATATGAATTTAAAGAACATGAAGGTGTAGTTATTTATAGTTTTTTTTTTTTGTTTATTTATGTAATAGAAGTTTTAAAGGCCATGCAAAAATTAGAACACAAACGTGCACCAATTAAACAAACGTGCACCAAAAATAGAAGTTTTTGACATTTGGCACTTTTAATATTTGATATGTGTCATTTTTTCTCTTAATTATTTGCAATGTATTTACATTAATATACCACAATTATTTTCTCTATTTCTTAAATAAATAAATAAATAAATAAATATTTCTCCCTTACATTTATTTTCGGATATTTTATAGTTTCCATTTTATTTAAAATTTTCTCCATACTTTTAACATTAATATAATGTGGAGAATAAAATTCATATATGAAACCAAAAGTTGTTTTTCTCTTAATTATTAGTAGTATTTTTAATTATTTACATGAATTTATCACAATTAATTTCTCTACTTGTAATAATTAAAATAAATTAATAAATATTTTCTCAAATCTTTAATTTTTTCCTATTCTCCATACTTTTTAATACCAAAACTATGTGTAAAGAAAATTATGCAAAAATGAAAATGGCAAAAAAAAGAGGTAAAGCCCTCCAAATTTAGAGAAAAAACATTATAGGATTTGTTAACCATTTCATTTATCTCCAATGTGTGTGTATTTTTTTTATTGCTTACAAAGTATATTTCATTCATTTGCTTTAAAAAAATATTACACAATAACCCACGCGCGTAGCCTGGACGGTTATCTAGATTAAGTAGTTAACTAATAGCAATATGAATTCGTTTATCGTCTCAAATCTTATTCATTTAGAGCATACGAAGACAACAGACTAAATTAATAAAAGAACCCCTCAAAAACAATATTCGTTTATCATCAATTACAGAATTATTACAAGCATGTTAAACACTATGAAAGCTGTTGGAATTTGTTATTGAGAAAACGAGAAATGTAGAATTTGGCTTCAAGTTACAAAGGCTGACCACTGATCCACCTTTGGAACATGATATAAGTCTCCTCTGGTTTATACTCTGGTGTGTGTCCACCTCCCTATAATCAAACCCACAAATCAATTAAGAAATATAATGTGAAAACTGCAATCAAAACGTTGAGTGGAAATGAAACTAGAGGAAAAGACTTGCTTTGATGGTAGCAAATGTCATCTTATTGGCATAAGTCCTCGTGTATCTGCCACAAAGAGAGCGAGTCTAATGAGCTCATATATACAACAATAGAATGAGTTAACAAGAGAGCCCCATCAAAACAAAAGAAACGGTAATACCCAGTGATTTGATCGCCTATCATCCAAGGTCTCCAGTCATCAATGAGAGAATAATTAAGAGACCTAATCCAAGCTTGAGTTCCAAGGTAAGGTACTTCCATGTCGTGATCCCCACTGTTCACCCAAATAACCTCACAAAATTCACAAAAAGTCTTTGAATCTTGAAGCACGTCTTCAAAAGCTAGAGGTTAAACTCTCACCTGAAGATGAGAGAAGGATAGCCATCGATGCTGTTATTCATATGGTACGGTACACTGCTTTTAATGTCATGATTGTAAGGTATCTCCCGATAACAACGTACCCATTCCCCTATACTCCCCTGCAATTATAGATTCTCCTAAAGAGTTTAACACTTCGTTACCAAATATCTGAAATTGACTTGTTTTATTGTATTGACCTTATTGACATGAAGAGCTCTTTGCACACTCTCATCATTGGCCCAGTAGGTAGTTAACAAATACCGATACATCTGCAAACACAACCTTGTACAATACCTTTTTTTTTTCTCAATGGTTTAAAAGAGTGCAAGATGTATACTTACATAGCAATCAGGAGATGTTTCTACACACTCTGGCGTTATTATAAGTGCTTTGTTTATTCTATTAATGCACTACAAATAACACAAAAGTCTGAATTAGTGATTACTAGGTAGACAGAAGAGAACATCAACTAGTATTTCCATGAGTGTGTGTGTACCTTCTGATATTCACCAACGAGTTTCAAGCATTTTGTGTTACGTGGATCAACATTTTCATATTTTCCTTTGCAGATTCTCTTCATTGACTGCAAGAAAAGAAGATTTTTGAATTGCTTGTTATCTACTTTCATTGTGGGTACAAGAGGTAAAAGCATGTCATGTTACATACCTCGTAGAGTTCATCAGAGATCAGTGCCATTCCATGAGCATATGGAATGCGATAACTATTATCAACTTCATTTTCTGTTGATGGGTTTCCGAGGATATAGCCCTGCTTTTTTGTCAGTGTAGCAAGGACGAAATCTATCAATTTTTAATGCTCGATAAGGTATAATATAAGAAGCAACAAACGCCGATGAACCTGAATATTTATTGGAGGTTTGCAGCATACATAGTTTCCTGCACCATCATGTTTATACTGTTATAAAGAGAAATATTTGATAAAGAAACGAGACTCAAAGAAAAGGGCTTGGAGATTGATATGCAAAAATAAAATCATACCTTTTGAGATTTCTTGAACGAGTGCCGGAATGACCATACCGCAATAAGAATCCCCACCGACATAGAAAGGGTTGGAGGAAAACTCTTGATGCTTGCCTAGCCACTGCATATCAACCAAAATAAACTCCTAAATATCTCTGCACAAAGAGTAAATGTTTTCAAGAGACAATTAAGTTAGTCTTTCACCTTGTGAAGAAACTCATGGATCCTCTTGGCTTCTCCTGAATCACTTGGTTTATTAACAAGTTGAGTTCTTGAGTAAGAGAAGCCAGTTCCAACAGGCTGATCCAAATATATTATACTCGAAACCTAAGATAAAAATGATACACAGCTTAAAAGATCTGAGCATAGACCATCATGTGAAAACAAACACGGCCTTGTGCTACCTTAGTCCACGAATATGTAGTAGCGACCAAGGAAGGAAGAGTTCCATTGTAAACCTCAAGCTTCACAGTCACAGGCCCTGATTCAAACATGTAGAGTTGAGCACGTGAGGATCAAGCTAAAAGGTGACAATTTGAACTATAATTAGTCTGAGAAGAACTCAAGTCGGTTAAAAGCATGGACCACAAATTGGAACAGCTGTTTTTGCTCTTCGTCCTTTTGTGATATCAAGGCTTAAAGGTGTGTTTGTCTTATCTCAAAACGCAGGAAAGGTGGCATCTTTGGCGGTATGGAGACACGAGATTCAATGTTGTCTACTCTATTAAGTAAAAAAAACAGAGTGCACATTGTTTAAGGTTTAGTGTAAGGTTTGAGAAAGACTCAATCTTTTAAGCTCCAAACCTAACAAAACAAGTCACAGAAAACGAAGCAGAGAGACACAACATAACATGATAACTATGAGTTAAAAAGAAGTGATGTGTTAGATATTACCATTCTCGTAAAGAAGACCAGAGATAGAAGAGCAACCAGGTCCTCCACTTAACCAGAGAAGAAGAGGATCTTCTTGTGGACTCCTCTCAGACTTGATAAAGTAGTAAAACAACTGCACTTCCTCTTCCTTACCAACACCAATATACCTTTTCATTCACAAAGAACCATATTCATGCATACTTTAGATTATCTCGAAACTCAGAACAACGGATCAAACAATCACAGAAAGAGAGGAAAACAAACCCGGTTTCGAGCTCAAAGGGAAGAGGGCCATCAAAACCAGGAAGAGACTTGACGATAGAGGAAGAAACAGTACGCTGACTCAAGAAGATAAGGAGAATAAGAAGAAGCAGAACAGAGGAAACGTAGTCGTGAGCCATTCGTTTTATCTGATAAATCAATTCCTCAAAAGTACAATTATTGAACCTTTATAGCTCTATAGAAAGAAAAAAACAACAAAAGAACAAAAAAAAACCTTAGAATTATCTTTAAAAGACAGGCGGTAGATTGCGTACCGTGATTCACTTGTGTCCTTTTCACTCCCAATCTCTGAACTTTGGTTTCGTTGTCAAAACTGTCAGATTTTTTGTTTTACCACCGCTCGAGTTTAATTACCCATAATATAATTAGAGAGCTTGTTTTTACTAGTTTATTTACTGTAATCAAAAAATGAAGAAAAATATTTTTTTACCCCTGAACTGATGAGATTCCGAAAGATTTTACTTAGCAGAGTAAAAATCTTACACAGAGAGGTTCTCCATCAAACCGAATTAAACCTTCCAATCCGCTTAGTGCTTGTACAGTAGCAAGACCACTCGCTAGCTCTATCTAAAAGAAGAGAACACAACTACGAATATACATTGTGATTACAGCATCAAGAAATAGCTCATTGAACAAAAGTGAAGTCGCAGAATCTCAAACAAAAGAGGCTGACCAGAGGATATTCGATCTTAGCGAGACTCAGAAGCCCCCTCGCATCTTCTCCTTAAGTGAGGGTTCCTTGTACGATTTGATTTTTTCAGCAGCTTGCCTTGAAGGTCTTCCAACAGTTGTTTTTCTCATCTCCTCTGATTCATCGCATGTTGGTTTGTTCTTTGATTCTCTTTTAAGCTCCATTGAAACCGATGATGATACATGACTAGACTCCTCAATAATGTCATCATGCAAAGGCGGATCTGCGGATTCTTTGATGGCTCTCGGAGTTTCAATGTTTGCAGATTGTCTTCTTGAAGAGACTCTGTCAAGTATACCAGTTTAGATAAACACTCTTAAAACTTTAGTTCAGCGGAATATAGAGAATTAATCTATCACTGCAAACCTGCTTTTCCCGATTGTCTCTTTCATGTCATGTGGTTCTACTGCTTTGTGTTTAGACCTGATAGACTGTTCACTTGCACAGCATCTAAAATGACATCCATAAAGAAAAAAGAGGAAGTAGCATAAATGTACTTGGTTTATGAATAAGTTATCAATCAAGAGGAATGGAAAAGGAAAGAACATGTGAAGCTTCTAAAACCTGGCATTTGCAGCAATCGTTTGATCATTATGTGGACCATTCAAGTTTTCAGTCACGCACAGCTCTTGGAAATTAAACCTCGCAGACTGTCTTCTCAAAGATACCCTGCGGAAAATACAATCGCATTAGATAACAGTCTTAACTCTTTAATTCTGCAGAATACAGAAAATTTATCTATCACTACAAAACCTGCTTTTCCCGGTTATCTGTTTTGAGTCATGTGGTTCTACTGCTTCGGGTTTAGACCCGGTAGACAGTTCACGCACAGAGCATCTGAAATGACATCCATAAAGAAAGAAAAAGAAAACACCGCAAATGGCATAAGTGTACTTCGTTCAGGGATATGTTAGTGGAAAAGGAAATAACATGTGCTGCTTCTACAAACCCGGCCTTTGCAGCAATCTCTTGATCATCATGTAAACCATTCAAGTTCTGAATAACGCCCAGCTCTTGGATATTGAACATCCCAGACCTGCGAAAAATAAAACCGCATGTTTAGCAACCTTCATAAAGGTACACTACTTATAGACACTGCCTAACGCTTATTGTAGACCTCTTCCTCCTGGTTGTCTCTATTGACTCATGGAGGCTTTCAGATGGCTCAGGTTCTTGAGATTTTAACCGGGCAGAACGCCTTCTCAAAGGGAACCTGCTTGAAACAGAGAGAGTGCAAAAGTCATTTCCACAAGTCTACACAGGCTTTGAGTGTCAGCCCTAAATTTGAAACTGGAAAAAGGGCAGTTAAAAAACCTTGACTCGTATGGGTTTTCAGATGGCTCAGGTTCTTGAGATTTTACCCAGTCAGGATGCTTTTTCAAAGAAACCCTGCTTAAAACAGAGAAAAAGTGCATACTCACAAGTCAGTTCCACTAGTCTTCACCCGCTTTGAATGTTATTCCTAATTTTGAAACTGGAAAATAGGCAGTTAACAAACCTTGCATCCTCCTTATTTTCTCTGGTGTCAACCACTTTTTGCAAGTTTACCGTTTGGCCAGTGGCTCGAGTTTTAAAACTGGCAGACTGCCTTCCTGCACAATACCTGCAGCAAAAACAACACAAGAGAAAAAATAAAAGCCCAAATAAGATAGTGAAATACAAATATATAACTAACTCATCTAATCGCGTTGAATAAATGAACCTCTTGCTTTGGGCATTGTCGAGGAAAACCTCCTTTTTATCAGCAGCATAGTCACCATCTGAGACCAATTTCTTGTTGTCAATGTTGTCTTCTGTCGGACATGTCTCTGCCAGTCTATCAATAATATCTAATACTTCGGAATTGGTAGGATTCTTCCTTCCAGAAACTCTCCTATAAAGAAAAGCAAGAAATCCAGGATAACCTAGTTTTTACAAGACTATAGATGAAACATCAAGCAGATTGAGCAAGAGAGAGACCGGACCTTTTATTGTTGGCTTTCTCATTTATTTGCAATGAGTTAACGTTAGAGCTCTCTGAAGCTGAAAATGAAACAAATAGTCACTAAAGGTAAGCATGCTAAGAGATTCCTAGAATCCACAATGATAATAAGCTGAAAAGTTTTCATTTTATGCCTGAATGTTGTTTTATCTTACCATTCTCATGATCTGCGTCATTTGGCTGAAAGGTTCTGCAAGCCCCACCACAAGCATTTGCATGAGCCTGAAGGTCACGACAATGCAGAAGAAACATAAGAACAATGGAGCAGTAGGGTCATAATGTCTGATTCCAGAGGTCACAAAAGCCAATTCTCATAAGTACCTTTACTTTTGTTGCATGATGTGTACATGGAAGGGTTTGCTCCTGGAAAGAAAAGATGACAATTTTCTAGGTGATTTAACTTTCTAGTTTGTAATCATGGTCAACGAAAATTACATACAAATCGATAGCATACCTTAAGCAGTAATTTCCTGGCCATGACTAACCCATTCTTGCAACCAAGTTCGTGCTGAAGTACCTTCAGCTGAAATGCACCGAAATTTCAGCTGAGGAACTTATAATTAATGATCAAGCAAGCCTGTGTTTGAGCAAGTTAAGTTCCAGAAAAAGCATACTTGGTCTTTGCTTGTATTGGACTCCTGCCAGGAAAGAAGAATAGAAAATTGCTTTGAAATCACACTGTAACCAGAGAATTTCCAATTGAACCATACAAAGATGAGACGTACCGCCAAGATACGAGCGTTTGCCTGGGCAAGTAGCAAATTTTGTTCTTGAACCTTCTGAAAGTCAATCCTAAGTTTCTTCAGCTCACTTTTGATTCCACTGTGTCACAAAACAACAATAAGTATTAGCAACAAATAAATGTACACGCAAAACTCATAAGTTTTCATATTTTCGAACAAAAATTACTCTCTCTCAGTGACGACTTTCATCAGTCTCATGTTTTCCTGCAAAAATAAGTTGATAAAGAGCCTGAATAAGCACAATCAAAGAAAAGGAAACAAATTCATTTCTCTATATCCAACTGAAGAATGTCATAAACAAATTCAAGAACTCAGTGCCTTTTGAAGATTTTCAGCGTTTTCTTTGGAAGAGACTAATATAGCTTGTTTCTGCTGCTTCGCTCCCTGATTCATTAGATTCTTCTGATTCTGCAAATTAGTAATATCCCCCAATTTTCGTCTTTGTGCACTGTTCATCGGAGGTTCCAGAACCATTTTCTCTCCTTTAGCTTTGTTAATAGGCACACCTACAGATTTAATACAAATCTAATCGTAAAGCTAGCATTCTCGTGTAATTCGAGCACAAACTAGAGAAACCCCTAAAATCGACAAAGAACAACACTCCGCCCAGAAATTTCAAGTAAATGAGATTGAAACAACCGAATGCGAAGAGAAAACTAACAATTGGCGAAGATCTAAAACGGATTAGGTCACAGAGACTCAATTTAGCATCTAAATCGGAACAAAACCGTCTAGTATTCCGATTGAAGGAATCTACAGAGATGTGAGCTCTCTATTTCAAATTAAAACACAGAACTAGGAAGGCGAACAGATTGCGAAGAGAGATTTCGTAAGCAAGACTAAATTCGAACCTTCACCGGCATGATCACCGACATTTAGAACCGTCGCGCGAACCATCGTGAAACCCTAATCAGCTCGTCGCGTCGCTCAATCGGAATCGGAGTTTGAATCCCGGAGGGAAAAAAAAGTGAGTGAGAGTGACTTCACTATATACGACTATCGAGAGTAAAAGGACAGTCAAAAAAGTTTTTTACAATACTCCATCATAAACTTTTTTTTTTTTTTTTTTGTCAAATATACTCCATCATAAACAAATTTATTTATTTATTTATTTATTTATTTATTTTTTTTATACTCCATATAATTTAAATTTAAAAAAATTTAAGTGCGGCGAAAAAAAAATAAAAATAAAAAAATAAAATTAAGTGCATGTGAAGCAATAAATTTTACTGAAATGATCACATATATCACAAACACCATAAGGCTTCATGAAAATAACTAGAATGGAAAATGTATTTATCAATTGACTATGTGATCATCATTTTAAATATATAAAAAAGAAAAATCATATGTCATCAACTATATAGAAGGAAATTAAATCCACAAATATAAATAAAATAGATGGTTATGATATCAAGCGATCATGAATCATCCAAATATTTTAATCTAATGTTTGCTTTCAATTTTTTTTTTTTTTTGTTTGCTTTCAATTTCTAACTGAAAGATTTCAATAACTCTTGATAAAATAATATAAACATAACCATTCTTAGTTTCTTACTTGACGCACAATTACTATGCATAAATATTGTGGGATTGGACTTTTGAATGATTTTATTATATAAAAGTGGGTCGTAGGCGAAGGTTTCTATTTTATCAACATAAGCACGGCCCTGTATTGACCTCTGGTTTTTGGTTTTTGATTACGATCTGGAGAAGATATGTGTTTTGCTACTGAGTTGTATGTGTATCAGAATCAATCATTCGTAAGCCATATATAGCTAAACCCACAGAAGCAGAAATTAAGCATCATTTCAAATTGTATTTTCACGAGTGTACCGGTGTACGTAGAAAATAAACATGGAACTATCTGTGAAATTTCTATTTATTAAGAGGTAAGGATATATCTACAGATTCACTCTCACCCTCAATGTTACAGAGTTACCCCTCGGGTAAAGAAGACAGAGCATTGCATTGGTAGTACATAAATTGCAAATGAGTAATGACCAACAATATAAACAGTTTATTTACGAAGACTTACAGTAAAATGTACAATGTTCAAGAGTGTCTCCAACTTATATAGTATGTACTGTAGTCCATATGCCGAAGTCAGAGATGTCAATCCTTAAGGAAAGGAAGACGAGTACCCGTAGTCCCCATGCTATCATCTGCTGCTTTTTGGGGGGATGAAGATGACAACGTCTTCTTGGTTGATCGGCGAGGAAGAATCTGAAGGCGCGGATTAAGGTGAGTGCCGAGGTTCTCAACTGCGAGTTGGTAACTCTCCACCAGCTCTAGCTGCCTAACTATTATGTCTGACCGTCTAGGAAGAAGCTCCACTGGTTCACCTCCCGGGATTACAATATATTCTATTGCTAGACGGACTTCCTGCGTTTCAGAAACATGGGTGTATCAGTAGTTATGCTCGCAGGTCTCCATAATCTATAATCACGGTATTGAGTCTTTTGTAACATGAGATATGGGAATGCTATAACTAATAGTTGGTAGGTCAAAAAGACTGATATGAGATATTTACAGGAGGGGGATGAGAGTTACCTCGAGGGCATCAAGTTCTTCTAAACTGGGTTTGCTCTCGGGAGCATCATCTTTGATCTCGATATCATCAACATAAGATTTCTCTATATTTTCAGGGGCAGAGCCAAATGATTCTCTTCCAAGGATCATTCGGACTGCCTTCACCATCTGAGCCATAGTAGTTGACTGCAAGGTAATAAACATGACGAAAGAAATGAATCAAATTAACGAAACAAAGGAATGCGCTGAATCATCATTAGCCATGCAAGAAGAAGGATACCTTAATGACAAATATCGGTAGCTTGTGTAATTTGGCAACACGACGGATCGACGAATTTTGTTTCAATTCAGAACTTGAGGCTAGTATGACATCTGCTTCTCCAACATCATCTGTCACTTCTATTTCGTCGTCTAGGCCCATAACTTCGGCTACTTGAAGGAGATCAGCTTCAAGGACCTAGAACACAATCAGAGGATACCACATCTATTGTTAGTATCTTTGGCTGTGTAAGATCAAGCTAATTTTCCAAGGAAGAAAGGACACATTTAGAAATTCGGGAAGAAAAGATCAGGTTCTTTACATTGTAAGTATAAACATGAACCGGTGAGCTTCTTGGGCTCTTGTATGTGTTACTGCTGGCCTTATTATACCGAATGGGAAGAAAATCTTCATCTTCATCGTCAGACAGCACTTCACTTGCGAAATCTCTGTTGAGCAATGGTGCAGGCTCCTCTTCAACTCTCTCCAAAGGAATGGGAGTCACTAACTTATGAGGAACATCGTCTTCGCCACGAATTTGACGGATCTCAAATAGAGCGGATTTCCCTATAATAACCAAGAACTTTGTTCGGTTTGGTTTTACCATTTGTTAACTCAATTTCACTATTAGGAGAGGAACTCTTTTAACTTACCAGCTAGTATAGCATCAACGGTGACATCTAGTCTTTGATGAACACGACACTCAGTTCTCGATATCATCTCTACAGCACAAGTAAATGTGGGAGGTCCTTTTCTTTCAAGAATTGTCTTCTGCACTTTTCTTTTCCTTGCTTCTTCATCACCAAGAGTCACACTCTGGGTAAAATAAATTCAAATTAAGGCTGACTCAGATAACAAGAGAGCAAAAAAGAAGAAGAAAAGTTGTTGTTTAAGGTCATACCTCAATTCCACCAATAAGAATCTGCAAAGAAGGATTTTTGATTATGTTGTCTATAGTCATCCCATGAGCAGTTGCAACAAGCTGAACACCTCGTTGAGCAATAGTGCTAGCAGCTAAAGCTTCAAGCTCAGTTCCTATCTCGTCAATGATGATTGTCTCAGGCATATGATTCTCAACGGCCTCAATCATAACCTGCATGAAGAACTTGTTACTACAGCAAGATCCTTTTGATTCCTTCCTACACCATATTATTACAAGGTTATAGAGTTGAGAGACGTACATCGTGCTGTAAATTCACATTTGGAACTTGCATCCGCCTGGCACGGCCAATTCCAGAATGAGGAACATCACCATCACCTCCAATCTCATTTGACGTGTCAACAATCACTACACGTTTCCTGTGTTCATCAGCTAACATCCGTGCGATTTCTCTATACAAAGCAAACCAATCTTGTCATATACCATGTATCAATCACAGTTTAACAGAAACAACATCACATTATAAGTTCTAACTGATGTACCTGATTAAAGTTGTTTTGCCAACTCCAGGAGATCCTATGACCAAGATGGATCCTCCTCCTTCTATCAAATCTCTTATAATTTCTGCACTTCCAGATACTACACGACCCACTCGACATGTTAGACCAATTACTTGCAGTTTGCGATTACGTATAGCGCTTATACGATGCAAGGATCTGTCAATCCCCGATCGGTTATCATCCGAAAAATCGCCAACCTAAATTCAAAACATTCATCTCCTTATCAGCTTAAATTCATCAAAACCTTTTGATTCAAACACAGAAGAGACCATAATCAGTAGAAGCAATTCTTATCACTCTTCAAGAACTGCAATAAGCTAAAACATTTGGGAAATTAGTTGCATGTGTTAGATCAGAGACACACACATACTTTTGATACTGCAAGCTCCAGATCCTGGTGTGTCACAGGCTGCTCTGAGATCACCCAATCGCCGGAAGGGAATCTAGCAAGTGGCTTTCTCCCTAAATCCATCACCACTTCGATCAATTCCTCAATCGCCTCGTGCTTAACTAGCTCCTTCCTCGTTGCCGGAGGAAGAATCTCGAGGAAAGCGTCAAGCTCCACCGTAGGCGGAGCCATCTTCGGTGACTTCCGAGATGAGATCGACGCAGAGTTTGACGAATCAGCTGACGGTGACCGAACATCGAAACTGAATCCATCAGATGGTCTCCGTACAGGAGACGGTGACGACGCCGGAGATTTCGATGAAGAGATTCTCTGACGCGCACCACGTGTTCGACGGAATGAGGAAGAGGAATCGGATGAAAAAGCGGTTGCGGTGGCTGAGATTAACCGGCGGGAAGCTTGCCATGAGCTGTTGATGTCGATTAGAACTAGCCGCGAGTTCAACGCCCTCATCTCGATAATTAATTATTTAATTATGTATCTAAATAAAAAATGAATTAAATAAAAGATTCTGTTTTTTTTTTTCGTTTTAGCTACTGCTGTGTGCGTAACTGCGTATGTCTGAAAGGGAGAAATGAAGAAGCTAAAAAGGAAAAGCTACGGAGGAGAAGAGCTATGAAGCAGAAAGAAACGACAGCGTTTTGATTATTTGTTTTTATTTTTTGGAATATGATGATGCGTGAAGACTGAAAGTCTGAAACTAGTGGAAGATTCCAAAGGATCAAAGCATCTAATTACACATAAACTGCATCTGTATAGAGCAAGGTAGGGTCCATTGTGGAGGGAAAGAAGATAACATAGCCGTTTAAGCAACTGGTTCAGGTGATGCCACGTGGAGAGTTGGACAATCTTGTTGACACGTGTCTGACAAAGAAGCTACCGTTTATTGCCTGTTTCTTTGGAACTCTTTGACAATTTTAGCCCAAAGGCGGAGTTCGTGTTTCTCCCACGGCAGATGAAAAAAAACTCGTCAACTTTTTTGCTCTGCAAATTGAGATTTGAACCAAAATTGCTGACTAAATTAAACCAAACAAAAACCAGACTAAATTAAATGAAATAAAGGTCAAACCAAACATTGTGAATCTATAAAGACGGTTCCTTAATTTCTTCAGTCATCTTCGTTTTTTAGCTGAATGGGCTTTAAGTTGCTTTACAACAGTAGTTCAGGATTGGGCCTTCTAATCTGGTCCATCCAGAAACCCACGTGATATTCACTAAAAAAATTAAGGGTTTACGTCCACGTGAGGCCCATAAAATTTTTTGTTAAATAATTAATATATAGGTATAAACGTAACAAGAATAGCAAACCGACCTTAGCTCAGTTGGTAGAGCGGAAGACTGTAGTGGGTTATCCCAAAGAAATCTTTAGGTCGCTGGTTCGATTCCGGCAGGTCGGATTTTTTATATTTTCTTTCACTTTTAAATTATGTGGGACCCACACTCATCCATCTTTTGCTTCACATTCAACTCGCGTGCCTAACCGTCGATCACAACGCCTGACGTTATCTTTATTGTAACGTAACAGATTCACCCACTATTTCTCAAATTTCGCAAAATAGCCCCAACTTTCTCGGGCACGTATCAGAAGATCTTTCTGTGATATTTCCTGCCACGTGTACCTTCTCTTCTCCCCCAAATTGTTGTATACAATCTCGAAAAAGGAAAAAAAATAGAAGCACAGTTGGAAAAAAAAATGGAGAAACTAACTTTTCTCAGCTTTCTTTTGCATTTCGTCGTCTTCATCGCTTCAACGTATCCGTCTTCATCGTTTCTCTTGAACGATCGCACCTTTGAGAGATCAAACTTGCCGTCAACGCGCGCGGAGAAGCTGATCCGGGAGCTAAACCTTTTCCCGCAGCAGGATCTGAATGTGATCGATGTCGCTGATTTGCCTCTCACTGCCGCGGAGGGATCGGGGATTGTTGAACGGAAGTTCGTATTCCCGAATATACTTGCCGATAATGGTGGCGCAACTGTCGAAGATTTAGGTCATCATGCTGGTTATTACAAGCTCCCAAAATCTCGTGGCGCAAGGTTTATATCTAACTCTAGATTTTGGTTTATGCATCTGTACATTTGTGTTCGCGAAGATTCAGCATCTGATTTGTTATGGTTCGTTTACAATTTGCAGCTAGCTCTTGACTAGGTTGTGTTTTAGTTTGATTTGAACATTGAACTTTTGGTGACGTTTTTTCTAATTAGAATCTCAAAGTACTGTTGATTTGCTTTGTTTTTTACTTGTTCGCTTGGTGTGTGTTAGCATGTTCTACTTCTTCTTCGAATCACGCAACAAGAAGGATGCTCCTGTTGTGATTTGGTTGACGGGAGGGCCTGGATGCAGCAGTGAGTTGGCTATGTTCTATGAGAACGGTCCTTTCAAGATCACTAGTAACATGTCTCTTGCTTGGAATGAGTATGGATGGGATCAGGTATAATTACTTTCTATTATAATCCTTGTTAACGATTTCCCAAACCGCCTTAATGCTCTCTATTTTTGCACATGAGAGTTGATTGAGAATTTGTCTTGCAGGTTTCCAATCTTCTATATGTTGATCAGCCTGTTGGAACTGGTTTCAGCTACACGACAGATAAAAGTGATATCCGTCACGACGAAACTGGAGTTAGCAATGATCTTTATGATTTTCTACAGGTTTGGTCACTGGATCTTCTCTTCAATTCCTTTTTCTTCTTCACTTTTCTGCTTTCAAACTATGAATTGGATAAACACCTCTGTTAGACACTTAGACTGTTTTCGTTTTCTTGAGTTTCAAAAAATGGGAATCTGCCTATGTTTGCTTAGCTGTAACAAGATCTTGATTATGTTTGCTGATGTTTACCTCAGGCTTTCTTCGCAGAGCACCCTAAGTTGGCAAAAAACGACTTTTACATTACTGGAGAGTCATATGCTGGGCATTATATTCCGGCTCTTGCTGCCCGAGTCCATAAAGGAAACAAGGCTAATGAGGGAGTTCATATCAACCTAAAGGCATGTGACTATTTCTTGTTTCTCTCTTAAGGTGTTAATGGAAGTTTGTAGTGCTCACAAGTATAACCTTGCAGGGATTCGCCATTGGAAATGGGCTTACAGATCCTGCACTCCAATACCCAGCCTATCCTGACTACGCTTTGGAAATGGGTTTAATCACGCAAAAAGAGCATGATCGTTTAGAAAAGATTGTCCCACTGTGTGAATTATCAATTAAGCTTTGTGGTACTTACTCCTCTATTCCTTATCAATTTATCTTTAAAATTGCCCTGTGTTTGATGAATCCTGAATCCTTGTTTTTGTTTTTCCAGGAACTGATGGCACAACTTCTTGTTTGGCATCATATCTTGTTTGCAACTCCTTGTTCAGTGGTGTAATGAGTCATGCTGGTGGAGTAAACGTAAGTACAAAAGAACTGTTCAATTTTATTGCATCAAACACAGGGCAATTGCTAGATAAAATTCTTTCTGGCAAACCATTTCTATCCTCACTTGTAGAAAAAAATTGTGTTTAATATTTCTGCATTTGAAGTAAGGGATAACTCATAAGAGTAACAACGCATTTTCTTGTGTAGTATTACGACATCAGGAAGAAGTGCGTGGGAAGTTTGTGCTACGATTTCTCAAACATGGAGAAATTTTTGAATCTGCAATCTGTGAGGAAGTCGCTTGGTGTTGGGGACATAGAGTTTGTCTCCTGCAGTACTTCAGTCTATCAGGCAATGCTTGTAGATTGGATGAGGAATCTCGAGGTTGGAATTCCCACACTCTTGGAAGATGGAATCAGCCTCCTTGTGTATGCTGGAGAATATGATCTGATCTGCAACTGGCTCGGTAAGTTCCAAAACATAGATAATCAAATCCAGACATGAAGATAATGAAATAGATAGAATTGAACGGTTGAGTGAAACAAAATTGGAGCAGGTAACTCGAGGTGGGTGAATGCAATGGAGTGGTCAGGGAAAACGAACTTTGGGGCGGCTGAACAAGTTCCATTTATGGTGGATGGCAAAGAAGCAGGCTTGTTAAAGACTTATGAACAACTCAGTTTCCTCAAGGTCGGCTTTTCTTACATAATAACAACAGTCTTTCTTTGGTTCTGCTGGTTATCTCATAGTAAGTAACAACAACAAAAGGTTTGGTGATTTAAACATGAAAATACAGGTGCGAGATGCAGGACACATGGTTCCAATGGACCAGCCAAAAGCTGCATTGAAAATGCTGAAGCGATGGATGGAGAATTCGCTTATCGAAGATGCTACTGTTACTGTGGCTGCTCAGGGAGGAGAGGAACTGGTTGCTCAGATGTGATCCCATCTTCTTTGCGTTCCGTGAAAACCAAAAGCAGCAAACATAAAACAATGTGTGAGCAATTGACGTTTCCTTCTGTAATTTGATCTCATATTGTCATAAGAAAGATACAGTATATGTAGGGGTTCCCCAATTCCGTTATAAAATCAAACTCTCCTGACACCAAAAACATATTCTAAAAGGAAAAAGTAATTACCACGAAGTGTGTTTTCTATGTTGGTTTCCGAAATATCGAAATGTATAAAACAAAACTTAAAGAAGTCGTTATACAAAAATAAAACTGCGGTAGACTTGCAAGTTAATAAACTGGTTTTGATGCGGTTTCTGTACATGACACATGGCAAAACATGATTGGCTCCAGGAACGATTTTATCTAACAAGCAAGATAGAGATGAGATTAGGAGACAAGGAGCAATGTCGATTTCTTCGTTGGGGTCTGCAATCTCAAGGCCAACTTCTTCATCATCTTCATATACGTACTTAGTAAGCTGTTCTCGCATCTTTGGCCTCGCTACCTCTTCTTTGTTATGGACAAAGAACAAACCTCACCACACAAACACAAAGCTTAAGCAGCAAAAGCCATGTGTTAGAAATTCAGCTCAAGAGATTCCACAGACACTTGAGGAAGACTCCAAGTTTGTACCTTTAGATCCTCAAGATCCTCGATTCGGCCCTCCAGTCAGTTTTTTTCACCCTTTTAATCTTTGTTTACTGTTGATAGATAGTCTATAATGATAACAAACACTTTGATTCTATCTTTTTATTTGCAGGTTTTGCTGTTGCTTGGCCTTCAACTTCATGAAGCACAAAAGGTGATATATAGATGGAAATCACACTTGGCAAAGCTTTTTGAGTCATTGGATTAATCCATCGTCTTTTAATGCAGATACAGGAGCTTCTGAAGGAACTTGATGGCGAATTCATGGAGGTTATCTGAATTCTCCCTCTCTCTGACTCTTGCAAGATCCTGAAACTTTTCGAGATTTCATAAAACCTTATGTTGCTTGCTGTTTGGACTCCAGATTGTTTTCTGTACAGAAGATATGATCCCACGCTCGTTATGGGAAGCAGTTAACACAAAACAGCCTGACCTGAACAGAGTGAATGTATGTGGCTTTCAATTTCCATTCAGGTACTTTTGTGTTGTTTCTTACATATATAGATCCGCCCATACAGGTCGCGAAGTCGCTGCCTCGGATCTGCTTTTTATCTGGTTTGACAGGAGAGGAGATGATGATGTTCATTGATGCATTTCCAGAAACTGGTACCTACAAAATACATATTCAAAATGAAACTTAGGACAATAAAAGGAAGACTCTAACGCATGTCGTTTTAAAAAACTGGTGGATCAAATGCAGGGCTGGAACCAGTTGTGTTTGCAGCTATGGTTCCGAACAGTGCTGATAAACCTATCTTTGAGTTAATTGAAGAAATCATGGGAGATCATGAGTTATTGGTTAGTCAATCTTGAAAATGTTGCAGCAAAGTCAGCTATGGTCTTGAATCTTGATATGCATAAAACAATGAAACACTTGTTCTCTATGCAGACCGGGAGCGGTTCCAGCTGAAATTTTTGAGTGAGGAAGACAGCAGGACAGCTTTAAAAGTCTTCAGGTTTCTGCAACATGACTCTAAAAAGTTTTTTTGCATTACCCAAAGTATATTGTACAAGAGTGTAGTCTTCAAATGAGATGCACAAGAATGCAATCATCAAATTATGAACCGACACAAGTTCCCTTATCCTAGTGAAAAGGTCACTTGGACAAATATCCAGAGTCATCAAACAAATCTAAAATGAAGACAAAACCAGCTCAATATGTTTTTCTCTGATTGGAGTTGTTTCAAAATTCACATACCTGAAAATGATTGAACTATATTATAACTCAATAAATTGCAGAGATACAATGGATTGTTGCTTAAGAGTGTACTCTAAAAATCAAGAGTTTGGGATATGTGAGAAAATCCATCAAGAATGATATATTAAACAACAGTGTGTCAGTTTGTGGTAAAACGATCAACTCGAAATCTGAAAAATTGGAGGAAGAACTAAATCTGATTGAGCAGCAGACCAATGAGCTAGTTAATCAGCGTGAATCTATCAGGCAGTTAATCCAGGAACTATCTGAAGAGCTTGTTGCTAAAGAGATGGAGTTTGGAATGTGTTGTAGAACCAAGTAACCACTTGAAGTTTGGCTTTACCTAATCCAGGAGAAATTTGTTCTGGAAGAAGTGCAGAAGCATCTTAATGAAGAATTGGCTCTGAATTAAGTCAACTTGAATGGCGGCTTCCAAGAACTGTGGGTTCTGCTTGCCATGGCATTCGGCTAGTGTCTCTGTGCATACTTGTGCCTTGGCAGGAAAATAAGCAATTTTGCCATCTTTGATAAACAAGAAAATGACAAAAAAAAAAAGAAAACAAAAAGAAATTCATACAGCTATTTTCAATTGTGAAGTCTCAGTGGTTCTTGGGTGATGAATAAGAAGCGGTGAGGGGGAATCTGGGATATATAGCGTGAAAGAGAAATGCACAAGTTTTTGATATAAACCATAGTTGTTGTTTTAGTACACAGAGACATCGATAGAATAAATGCATTAGCTCATCATCATCCATGCTTTGCTTTGCTTATACGTATGTTTGATCAGCGGCATACATAGATCAAGTATGTATGTAAATTTTAGAATGATACAATTGGTTACAGTTCAGTACTTAAAAACAATCGTATTAGGAACCGCAATTTTTACAAGCCCGAAAACGATTCGGCCCAAGGCCCAACAGGATAGAGATTAAAGAAATTATAGCCTATTGAACACCCCTAAGCTAAGGCTATACTAATAACAATTGTGCCGACTATGTCGCCGTTGAGATATGTCTCTGCGCTGGCATCACGCGGAGGGAGAGGGCTTCTCTCTCGCCGCAGTTTCTCTACATCCGCCGTTAGCAAAGGTAAAGTTAAGATCAAAAGCTCTGATTCCTCATAAAATCTTATCATATTAATATTTTTTCTAAAAATCTTTTGTTAAGGAATGATGGAGAGATTTCGCAAACTTTCCAAACCAGTTGGAAGACTGACTGCGGGATATCTAATAGGTATATATATATATATATATATATTCTAATAGAGAGACTGAAAGAATTGTTTTTACGATCTTAATATTTATTTTCTTGAATATAATGATGCTTAAATTTTCGTCGATAAAAATTTCGATTTAGCATATCTTCACCTTCACGATCTGGTATCAGCGCATAGGGAGAAGTTAGTTAAGGAGGAGCTGGAAAAAGGTAAAAAAAAATAAGCGATTGTTTGACATTGTGACCATTTGGGATAAAACATTACTGGGTTATTGAAAAACCAAACACTAAACTTGAATGTGTTTTTCTCTGATTTGCAGTTGAAGAAGAAGAAGCAGGCGCAGCCTGATCTGATGAATTAAAATAAGATATGTTTGTGTCTTTGATCTGAAGAATTCCAAAATAAGAAATGCAATTTTTTTCTTTAGAGTAAGACAATTAGGATTTTCTTTTTCCTATTTATAAGTTAGATTTTACAAATTTTCATATCTTTTATATTATCAAAATATATAATTTTATTTACATCATCTTCATATTTTTACAATTTTTTTGTTAAGTTTATATTTTTAGTGGACATACATTCAATCTTTTTTTGTCAACTGATATTATATATATGGGATAACGAACATTACAAACTAAAACTCAAAAAGAACTACTGAGAAAGTGAGCACCACAACTCCAGTCTCGAGACACAAACAACAAGGCCATTTAACAACTAAGTAAATGCCTAAACAAAAGAATGAGCTCCAAACAACTTAGCCAAATCATCCAAAAACTCAAATTCAATCAGAGGTAAACGACTTTTCCTCTGCGAAAATACCTTCCAACCAAGAAGGAGAACCAACCGCAACATAGGATTGAAGCCTTCAATCATCAATCACACTCTTCGCAATCATAAAAGCACCTCTGTTTGGAGACGAGTTTTACAAAATATATTCAATCAAAATATATACTTAATTTTAAAAGATTTGTTTTAATAAATATAATGATATCCGTGCGTAGCACGGAAGAGAATACTAATAATAATAAAGCGCACGAGAAAAAGGAAGGTATTTTCGCGGTTGTGCCGACTATGTCGCGGTTGAGTCACCTGAGATCTGTCACTGCGCTGGCATCACACCGAGGGAGAGGGCTTCTCTCTCGCCGCAATTTCTCTACATCCGGTAAAGTTAGGATCAAAAGCTCTGATTCCGCATAAAATCTATCATATTTTTTTTTTTTCTAAAAATGTTTTGTTGTTTTTGTTATCTGTGATTGTAGATGTAGAGACGAAAGTATTGGTGGAGGTCAGGAATATGAAGAAACAGATGCTTCTTCTCTGGGGATATTTATCCTGTGGAAGTATGGGCTACCTTGCTTGGGGTAATCTTGTGATTATCCGTTTATTATCGGTGGAGAGATTATTCATTCATTATTCCTTAATTTTTTTTTTTCATACCTTAGAGTCTATTCAATTACACAATGCTCTCGAACAGGCGAGACAGGTATGAATTCATTGTTTCTTTTAGGATATATATAACATTTGGTATATAAGGTTTTCGAAATAACATTTGGGATATAACATTACTGGGTTTTCTAGATAACATTTGGGATAAGACATTACTGTTTTATCGTAAAACCAAACACTAAACTTGAATGTGTTTTTCTCCGATTTGCAGGTGAAGAAGAAGAAGAAGCAGGATCTGAAGAATTAAAATAAGATATGTTTGTGTGTTTGATCTGAAGAATTTCAAAATAAGAAATGTGTGTGTACCTTTTTATTTCTCTCCAATACAATCAATTTGCCTTTGCTTTTGTTCGAATGTGTGATTTCTGATTATTATTGATGCTTCGGCTTATGGTTAACAATCTCTTGATATCATAATTCGTTTTTTCAAGATCCATAAACCAAACTATATAATGTTTCTTTCTCTGATTTATTTTACTTCTTCTACATATACTTTGCCTTTAATATGCAGCAAAGTCAGCTATGGTCTTGAATCTTGATATGAATAAAACAATGAAACACTTGTTCTCTATGCAGACCGGGAGCGGTTCCAGCTGAAAGTTTTGAACGAAGAAGACAGCAGGACAGCTTTGAAATTCTTGAGGTTTCTGCAACATGACTCTTTTAAAGTTTTTTGCATTACCCACAGTATATTGTACAAGAGTGTAGTCTTCCAATGAAAAAGTAAGATGCACAAGAATGCAATGATCAAATTAAGAACTGACACAAGTTCCCTTATCCTAGTGAAAAGGTCACTTGGACACATACCCACAGTCACCAAACAAATGTAAAATGAAGACAAAACCAAATCAATCTCTTTTTCTCTGATTGGAGTTGATTCAAAATTCACATACCTGAAAATGATTTCACTAGACGTATATAACTCAATTAGATATAATGGATTGTTAAGAGTGTGCTCTAATAATCAAGAGCTGAAATGTATGTAATCTTAAAACCAAGAACATAAACGAGTTGCGTTCTCTAGTGAAAAAGGTATCTTCTTGGACACTATTTAACTTAAAAGAACCAGACTCATCATCAAACATGATCTTCTCATACGAAGACAAAATCATCAACTCAAACCCAGAAGAGTGTAATTGATCAATCTCTCTTTCAGTATTCACAAACCAGAAAATGGATCAAAGAAGCTAATCTTCATCATCACTCTCATCACTGAAGTAGCTAACTTTCTTCTCCTTTCTCTTCTTCCTCCTCTCTTCTTCTTCCTCTGCTTCTCTCATTCTCAACCTCTCTCCGGCTTCATTGTCCACCACCGAAGCCCAATTCTCCTCCTCAAATCCCTCCAACGACGGCGCCGCAGACCAATCCCTAATTTCCTCAGCCTCACCTTCATCCTCCTTCCGCCGCCCCCTTTTCTTCGGCGGCGGTGGTCTCTCCCTTGGACCTAACTGATTTTTAGGGCACTCATACGAAAGATGCCCTTCGTCTCCACACTCGTAACACCTGGATTTATCCTTGTAAACTCTCTTCTTAATAAACTCCGACGCACGTCCATTATCGGCAGCGATCGAAACCGTCAATTTCCGACCGTTAAGAATCTTCGCGTCCATAGAACGCGCCGCTTTAGCCGCGTCTTCACGAGAAACGTAGAGCACGAACGCGACGCCACGGGATTGGCGAGTGTGGCGATCTTTGAGAACAGTGACTCTCGCGACCTTGCCGAAAGTGGAGAAGAGAGTGTGGATGTCGGAATTGGTGAGGGAGAAATCGAGATTGGAGACGTAGAGTGTTGATTTTGAAGGAGCTAAGCCGCCAGATCCGCCGCCGGGAGCTGATGATTTCGCGGAGGAGGAAGAAGGTTGTCTAGGGTTCGAAGGTGGTGGTGCTGCGACGGAAGAGTAGCGATAGTAGAAAGTGTCGTCCTCCTCATCGTCGCTCTGATGAATCTTCTTCTTCTTCATTTCCACTTTCTTCCTTTATTAATTATTTCAATTTTTGTGTTCATCTATGAACGAGAGCAGCTTTCAAAGGGTATTTTATAGTATGTAACATGTTGATGAATAATTAATTCTCGTAGACCTTTTTGTTTTGGTAAGAAAATACATATTTTGATGTAATGAAGCAATGAAAAATCAAATATTTTCTTTTTAGGTATTTGCAAATAAAAGTTCCTGATAATATAGACAAATTATCATTAGTTAACATTTTATAATTTAAATTTGTTACAATAGTAATGGATTATGAACTACAAATTTGGGAACAACAGATGTTGTATCAATCAGGGATTCTCCAGAAGCAGCAAGTGTTCATTCATTGTTCCAATCTTTTTCATCGTCTCACCACCATGTAAGGAACCACCTACGTGTGTTATTCTCCATGTAAATGATCAGAATTTCAAAAGGAACAAACAAGTTAAGAAAAATGAATACCAGAAGAACTAGATGCAACTCCTGTGCCCATAGACTTGCTTTCCCCTTGCATGCTGCTACCTCCTATCGACTCTACTATTCTAGGTTGTTGTTGCTCTGAGGCTTTGCTATTACCTAAAGACTCTGATTTTATACTCTCTGAGACGCCATTGTTATTACTTTGCTTCAGCGGCACTGGTCCTTTAATCCTTCTGTACAACAAAGAGATCTAAGAGATGTTTTTTTTTTATAAGTGAGAGAGAGATTATTGCACATAAGATTTTGTAGTAAACCTGATCATCTTCCGCTTCAATGCACCGGATTTTGCTTTTAATATACCTTCTCAATATAGAAGAAGTTAAAGACGTTACTACGGGTTCTATCCTATATGTATGGGAGTAATCAAATCAGGAAATTACGGAGCCTAACCAGATTTTGTGCCTGAGGTAGATGATGATGGTAGCTTGCCACCGGTTCGCTCGGCTTTAATAGAAGCAATGACTGAATCAGCTCCAATACCAAGACCTTTTCTCCCCACCAGTTTCACTCCAAGTGTCTCACAAAGATAGTTAAGTCTCTTTTCATCACCACCTCTGACTTCTCTCAGGTCAAGAGCCTGTTGTCTAGTTAATAATGTATACACCTGAATCTGTTGCTGTTGGTTGAAATGAGACTGAAGCTGCTGAAACAGTATCTTGTTTGAGTATTGATCTGCTTTTGGGTCCTCGTTTCTCTTACGAGGTTCGCTTAGAGTTACCCTCAAAATCGCAGGAGATTTTGGGTCCGGATTCCTCCTGCTAAAGATTATGGAAAAACTCCCAAATTCCAGATCAGGGTCCCTGAATAAATCTGCAAGAAGAATGGCACAGGAATGAGCATTCTTTGATGGGTTCCTATCGATTCTTTTCCTTATGCCTCGGGCCTTTGCAGACTGAGCCATGTTTGCAGCTTCTCTCAGACCAGTAACAAAAGCTCCATGCATGGTTGCAGGGTATCGCCTTGTCGTGGCTTCCCCGGCAAAGAAAAGCCTTCCATCTCCCACACTTTCTGCTAATATATCGTAATCATCGCCTGAAGCTCCCACTGCAACATTGGAGTAAGATCCTAAACTGAAAGGATCCCCACCCCATCTGGTGCAGACCGTTTGTAGCGGATCAGGGACAATTATTCCTTGAGGTTCATAAATACCTGAAATTCATTAAAATGGAAATTGTGTCATACTAATAACTCTGGACCTACGTAAACAAAGAGTAGGTCTCTTGAAGATTGATATTGACAGGTAAAAATTGAAGGTCTCTTGAAGATTGATATTGACAGGTAAAAATTGAAATTTTTAATTAAATGACAATCAATAGATATAGTAAATCTATTACCCCTAAGAATATGAAGAACACGAGTCACTGCGTCAGTGGGTGGCATTGTCTCAAACTTATGAGCAGCTTCTCCCGCAACCAACGCGATCAAGAGAGGACCACCAGCAACAGGTGCGTAGCTATAGAACAGAAAGAATTCACCTCGATAGTTCGGATCCTCAGTAAGATGCCCAAAGGTATCGAGATCTGTGCTCCAAAATACATACGGAAAGAGCATTGCAACTTTGTTCAGTAACCCAAAACCTAATCTCTTCATACAATCAAGCTTTCTCTGAGGTAATTCGGGAACAAATTTGATGGATCCGTTCTTAAGAACACCAAGGGGAACTGTACACAGCACCATATCACCCTCATACACTTGATTTCCAGCAATTACCTTGACACCATTTGAACCATATCTGATTGTTTGGACGGTCTTCTCATATAAGATTGGTACATTTTCAGCCAAAGCCTGAACCAGCCTTCCATTTCCTCCAGGCAGAAAGCAGTGGTCTCCACCCATATCATATGGGTCATCTTGATCCCAGAATGCAAGAGAAAGCTTTGATACTAGGCCCGCATTTGCATATTCCAAGTTAGCAAGATGCCAGTTAAACAAACCCATCTCCTCTGTGGCCAAATCATTCCCAGAAACCTGCCTGAATGTCTCGAGTGCTGCCCCAAGGGAGACATCCATGGAAACATCACCCATCAACTGCCTAAGCTTACTTGCCTTGTCTAGAAGCTGGTTAAAAGCTACCTCGACCTTCATATCCACATCTGGATCAACCGGTTTACCATCCACCCTATAAAGAGGACACTTATCTCGTACCTTATAAAGAGAAGAACCCAACTGTCTGGCTATAATCCCTAGAGGATTTCCTAATGTTCCAGTCAAAACACTCCCACCTAAATCCGCTGCAGCACCTACCCTATTAGCTTCCATCTTTTTGGTATAAACCCGTCCACCGGGTCGTTTCCTACCCTCTAAAACCGTGACTTTAAACCCAAACCTCATCAGTTGCCTAGCTGCAGCCAACCCAGACAATCCAGCACCCACTATAACCACACTAGACTTACTTGATTGAGCAGGAAACTTATCTTTAATTGCCTGTGCTATTCCAAAATTGATATATCCATGTGTAACCAAGTAATTATAAGCCGAATCCAAGAGACTACTGCAATGTTTAGGAATAGAATCGAAAAACGTCTCCTTTGTGACCCAACTAGATATATTTTCTCGCCATTTTGATATGATGTGGTTCCTAATCAAAATGTAATTCACTTGTTCAATGCCTCCAACCACAGGCACCACACCGAATTCAATCTCTTCCTCGGTAAGCGAATCAGCAGGAAACCCAGCTGTGAGAGCAAGCAGAGCTTCGGTGGTAGCCTCCTTGTTAATCGTAATGATCTCATCACCAATCCCAGGATAACTTTTCAGAGTCTGGTTTGATCCATTGACAATCTCTACGTTCAATCTACCGGAAGAAGAAGCTGAAGATGACACGAAATTAGTGTGACCTGGAAGAACACCTACGTTAGGGACGGGGAGGGTATTAAGCGACGACACAGAGCGCTGAGAACGGCCTCTCCTTCGTTTCTTTGGCGCGGAGAATGAGACCATCTGCTCAAAACTAG